ACATGTCCTCCTCCATAAAGGTCTATATAAAGATTGTTTTCGCGTAAGATCTCTTTCATCTTCGTGAAGTCCATTTATGTGAATGGTACGTGTACCTACACACACACATATATATTAATCAGATCATACAAATGTACAACCTATATATCAAGATGATAACGTTTTAACACACTATTTTGAAATACTAGCACACTAAAACGGTATCATTTTAATCCACAGAATACATACGACATCCAATCTGATGAAGGACCACACTATGATACTTGAAGAGAAGCAACCACTCTCTATCCTTGGTAGACAAAGAACCGACTGAACCTCACACATCAATGACATCATGGCATGTTATTATAATCCTTTTATTTTCTATGTCATCTTTCGTGCACACACACTACCACCAAAATCAATGAATTATCATGATATATTCCCACCAAACTTAAGGATAAGGTTGGTTGTAAAACTTGATATCACCAACCAGCCAATTTGTTTTACTTTACAAATTAATCCCTAGACAGGGCATTCTCAATTCTCATTATGTCATTAGCCACTTTGTTTTAATTTTAAGGTGTCATTACATATAAATGGTGTCAATGATTTATATTTATTATTTGATGGAGTCAAAGTCTCGTAGTTTTTAAAAAATAAAAATATGAAAAAACATTATTTATCTTTATTGAGATACCACTTTTAGGCACATAAGTACCACTTTTTTTTTCATGCAGGTACCACTTTTTGTCATTAGGTACTACAATTTTTGTGTTGTACAAAAAAAGTGGTACCTATTCTCAAAAAGCGGTATCTATGTGAATAAAAGTGATACCTCAATGCATAAAAAATGGTACTTATCTGCCTATAAGTGATATTCAGTAAACAGTGTTTTTTCATATTCACGTCCGCATTTTGATCAATTTTATTTTTTTAATATTATGAGACATTGACTTCCTTAGACCGTAAATATGAACCATTAACAACATTTATTTGTAATAATTCTAATTTTTTTAAAGTCATTTATTGCACTAAGAGTTTACACCACACAAGTTCACCTTTTAAGTGAGTTTGAAAAGGTCCAAGTTGTGGACAACTTGTGAGTATTCTCAAGAGTCCATGCAACTGTGACAATTTTCAATGATAAAGCAACTTTGACTTAAGGCCTTGTCGATCAAGTCCATTTCAAAAGCAACCCAGAATGTACTACCTTACCTACTTCGGCTGATACGTGATAGAATTATAACTTAGAAGTGAGAACGAGTCAATCAATGGCCAATTCAAATGGAAATCAAAATTTTTAAGAATTTGTTCGGTTATATGAAATTTGAGTTTTAAAATTAAAATTTGTGATTTTAAGTACACTTTAATTTGGAATTCAACTCCAACCTGCAATTAACGGTCTTAATGATAGCAAGAAAACTCTATTTATGGTATTTATTTATGATTATTAATGGTGATTTTGTATTTGAAAAAAAGTCCCCATTTTAAAATTTTTAATTTTCTATTTATGGTTACATATCTATGATTATTAAATGTTGTTTTAAAACAAATTCCTTGTGGCACTTTAAAGTCCAACCAACCTTTTTAATATTACTTTAAAAATTCAAATTTAAAAGTTTTAATTATTATGGTAATCATTGTTACAACATATTAGTGCTCTATTCATATGTAGTATATGAATTTGGATCCCAAATTTCTTCTAGATTACTCAAACTTGAATGCTCTTGACAAGCTCATAAATTGGCTCTCTCTATTTTTTCTTCTCATATCCTTTATATAAGCATTTAAAGAAAAAATAATTATAATTATTTTATTTTTACAATTTAATTTTATATTATTAGTTTGGCCCCCTAGACGAGTATTTTTGACTCCATCCTTGCAAACCAAGCACCTCCCAAAAAGTGACTACGATTTAAATATACTTACGGTATATTATTACAATATATTATTCCTATTGTTGGGAATGATGAAGTCATTTTACACTTAAAGTGACCACGTTTATATATAATTTTTATCATTTTACATTTATCACCTTCCAAAAAGCTATTAAATTCAATAATCAAATTCTGTCTAAAAATTCCAATAAGTTAAAGTTAGTTTTGTAAAATTAATTAAAAATATTCCAATAGGTTCGGATTTAGTAATCAAATATGTTACTAGTATCAAATCATCTAACGTCCAGAATTATATATATAAAATACATCCAGAATATTTTTTTATATTTTATTTATTTATTTTTATCCTAACAAAAAACATAGACATGTCACACGACATTTACAAAAACAAAAATATAGAATCACATACAAATCGCAAAATCTCATAAAACACCAAACCACACTCACTGATGTCAAAAATTTTATAATCAAATACGTTCCGAAGTGCAAAATAAAAAATTAAAAAAAAAAAGTCCAGTGCAAAACATTGTATAGAGGCCGGATGTGACATAGAGGATGTGACACCGATAAAAAGACTATGAAAACAACTGTGCAACATATTCCAAACATGCAACACCGCCTTTCATTTAGTATTTGCATATATATATATATATATATATATATATATAAATAAATATTTATAATGATGCCGCGTCTTTAATGAAATGCATTGGTCGATTGTTAACATCAAAGTCTCACCAGCCAACAAATTAGCGGTTCCTTTTTAAAGGCAGAACAGCAAAAGATTTTCGACACATAATAATGAGACGGTTCCGCCTCCTAAGCAAGAACTCTCCTTCCAAAGCCAACTACTACATTGAGTTGATTCCACCTAATCTTTAAATTAATTCTACACCAACCCCACGCATAAATATATTTAATTTTTCAATAAATTATAAATTAAAAAAAAAAAAAATCCAAACACGAATACGTGCAGTAGTTGCCTTTTCCGTAGTAATTTTTTTATTTTGTATATGAATATTTGATTGAATCTCCGTTGAATCAATATAATATTAATGCAGGAAATGGAAATGGAGTAGTTTGCAAGACAACATATATAATTCATTAGAATTTGAATATATATATATAAGAGAAAACTATATTTAAGTAAAAAGTTAACAAACGTGAATGATAAAATGGTCAATTTTAAACTATTATTTTTTACTCTTATTGAATTAAGCAAAATAATTACACATGCATAGACAATCATTGTTGAAGTACAAAATACACTCCAAATTCATATTTCAAAATATTAAATTATACTTCTTAAATCAAATAATTTATTGACTTACAAATTGAGAAAAATATTAATCATATTCAACGAGATATGTGAATTTTTAGAAACTTATTATCTTCTTCTAACTGATTTAGTAGACTTTTTTCATTTCCTCCCAATCAATTCCTGCGATTTCCCAAACACCCAGAACTAGCAATACAAAAACACCAAACAGTGTAATCATCCAAAAGGGTCTAATTATTGTTTCTTCAAAAGCAAACCCATATCAACAAAACAAAACAAATAGAACAAATTAAATCACCTTTTAACACTTGTTTGTAGAAAACCATCAACATTGATGACAAAATCAAGACATCGAAGAACATTTTTAATTAATTAACTAAAGCCAATCCCTTTTTTTTTTATTTCCTCAAAAACCAATAATGACAACAAAGAAAACCCATGATGGAAAGAAAGTAAGGAACACAATAAAAGCACTTTCAGAAAAAATGAGGACTAAATGATTTTTAATTTCACATTCTATTTACATGTAATTTTTGAAACAAAGAGAGGCTATTGTGTGCTCTGAGAGACTTTGTTTCTCGTTCGAAAATTTAATAATTTCCATAAGGATTATACATATAGATATAGACTTATAGTCTGTACCATTACATTTCTATTATTTGCCAGATTTTTAATTAATTTTTTTTAAAAAAATAAAAATCTGTTTCGATATATATATTAACCCTAAATTTTTTTTAGTGAATGAATTATTTGGGTGTTTGGTAAATGCAGGAATTGATGGGGAGTGAATAAAAATCATCTCAAAAAATTGACAAGGTGGTGTAAGAGATCATAAGAATTCATAAATCTATGACGGACAGATTTAGAATCAATGAGGTCAACGTGGTGAAGACAAGAAAATGACTTGTGTTTTTTTGAGAAAAAAATTATTTGATTTAAGTTGAATAATTTAGTAATTGGAATAAAAGCTTGGAAGTCATTTTAGACTTTGAAGATCGGTTCTCAATGTATATGTAATTATTTTACCTAATTCAACCAAAGTGAAATACAAAATTTTAAATTGACTAGTTTATTATTTAGGATTCATAACTCTATCAAAGTGTAGTTTCCCCTGTATAAAACTCATATCAAGAGATCAATTATAAAGTCTCTCACTCCATCAAAATAGTACTTTTGACGATTTTTAGAATGTCACGCTTCGAAATAAGATCTACCTCTCAAGTTATAATATACCAGTTGTAGGCTATAATTTAAGTATATGATATAAATAAATAAATTTTTTAATTAATTGACGTGAAATAAAAGGTTGAATATGTAATTGTAAAAAATGAAAAATGTCTAATTGAAGTAGTGCAGACACAACTAACAAATAAATAATTTCCTCTGCGTAATATATATTTTTTTATGTGTAAATCTTATTTTTATTTGTGGGATTAATTGCATTTATTAGTATTGTAAATTAGATTCAGTTAATAGAGTTATTCATTGGAACGGCAAAGAGCTTTCCGCAAATATTTTACGGTTCAGACAGAAAACTCTAGTGGAACGTAATAAATTCTTATCGGATGATGATACATGGCAATTTTTGACATAAGCAGCACACAGTCCAAGATGGATCTACCTACCGCAGCAGAACCCACTTGGAATCAATCTTGAAGCTCCCCATCCCACGCCTTATAATTGGGTCCCACCACAAACCCACAAGAGTTGGTGAGAACAAAACATGGGTTTTCTATTTTGATGTAACTTGGGTTTAGGTCAACGTCTCACCAACTTCTTTATGATTCTTCTATACATATATGCTTAAGGTATCACACTATCCTCTCCAATTTCAATTGTGCTTTTAATTGAAGCCACCATTTTATTGGTTGTAGGAGTAAATTTTTTTTTTTTTTTTTTTCCTCCTCTCTTTAACGTCTTGTTTGGGTGAAGTAGGCTTCTGGTGGTATTCTTTTAATTAGTATTTGGTCGTCCTGATTAGGCGCGGTAGGTGAGTGTCCCCAAATAATGTAAGCTCTCGTTTTTAAATATATTCCCAAATCTCTCAACTCATTTCAACCAAATCAATACCAAAGGCTTCAAACACCCAATCAAGTCAAGTCATTCCACACATTCTTTCTCTTCTGCATTTTCCAGGTATTTTCCCTTCTTTCTCCTTTTAGAATGCCAATTAATCTTTCTCCAAAACACCACCACATTTTAATAAAAAGTTTTCGTCTCTAATTGGGGCAAAAACCCCTCAGCCGGCGCAAGTTAGCATAACAGGGAGGCGCAAGTTAGCATAAGAGGGAAGGTAATTTTTTTCCCCTGCCAAAAAATATCACCACAGGCTTCAATCCTCCAGAAAAGTTAGCATTTATTAATTTTTTTTCGTAAAATCCGCGCAAGTTAGCAGGACAGAAAAAGTACTCCGTATTTTATTTTTCCAAATAGCACCACGATATTTAAATATCATTTCCCCACCCCCCCCCTCCCTCCAAGTCACTTTTTCTGCCGGCGCAGGTTAGCAGGACAAGGGGCGCGCAGGTTAGCAAGGGGAAGATGAGGATCGTGGTGAGGGAGTCGACTATGGTGCGCCCGGCGGAGGAGACGCCGAGGCAGGGGCTCTGGAACTCGAACGTGGACCTGGTGGTGCCCAACTTCCACACCCCGAGCGTATACTTCTACCGGCCCACCGCCGCCGCCGACTTCTTCGATGCCACAGTCCTCAAGCACGCACTCGCCCGAGCTCTCGTGCCATTCTACCCCATGGCCGGGCGGCTCAGGCGGGACGAGGACGGCCGAATCGAGATCGATTGCCAAGGCCAGGGCGTGCTCTTCGTCGAGGCCGAGACGGACTCTGTTGTCGACGATTTCGGTGACTTCGCACCCACCTTGGAGCTCCGGCAGCTCATTCCGGCCGTTGATTATTCCGCTGGGATATCCTCCTATGCTCTTCTTGTCTTGCAGGTAAATTTTCTTTCGATGCGCATTGTATGTTGCACTTGCATTTTGTTTACAATGAAAATATGTTTGTTGTGACTAATTATTTTCAATTTTGTATGTGACATTCTTGATTGTGTGTGGGTCCACACCAACCCTATTGAACAACTGCCTTCACACAATTCTTTGAATGGTTTAGGTTGGATTTGAATTGAAATGTTTTAGCTCCAAGTCCATAATTTTATTATGGAAAATGATAAGTAGTTCGAAACTGGAATCCTCCATCTCCACCCACGTAAATGTAGTCTGTATCTCAACTCTTTCATTATTAGTAAATTATTGAAATATTAATAACTCAAAACTTCAGACCAATTCAACCAATCTGAAACTAATCCCAACCTAATTCAAGTCTAACCGATTTTTGTAAAATGAGTTGGGGTTTTACACCTTGGGATCGGGCTCGGTTAGACTCCTAAAACAGTTCTACCTGACTATTGCACCTCTACTTTGTACTCCAAAAAAATTTCTTCCATTCCGTTTTCTATGGTAATATCTCTTACTGAGTGAAGTGTGACATAACTTCTGTTGAATGTCAGTTTAGAATTTAGATCCTGTTGATGTGAGCCTTCTTCATTGACTGGTGGATAAAATTAATCATAATGATCACTTTGACTTAGTCTATTTATTGACTGCTCAAATTGGTTAATAAAGAGAACTCGTCACTTTTGTTGTGGAAGAGAGTTTTTGACAACCTTGCTCAATGAAAAATGTTAAATTATCTGTGATTTTTAACATTTTAATTTTTTTTAGAGTGAGTAAGATATTTTATGAATGAAATAAAAATAGTTATAAACGTCGATGTACCTCAACGGGCGTATACAATTTGAGATAATTGTTTAGTGATCATGGTATTAGTTGATGTGGATAGGTATGAAAAATGGTTTATTAAAAATTGGGCTAAGTAAAATATAAAAGAAGAGAAAAGTCAACTTCTTTAATGTTATGTTGAGTTAATTTTTCTAGCATTCTAAAAATTTGATACATAATAAGATAAACTGTTTGATTTATGCTGTTAGTGTGCTTGAAAATTACAATTTTATTTGATTAAACTAATCGTATTTATTAGATATATGCTTTGTATATATTCATGGTATATAATGTATATATCATTTCTGATGGTTATTTATTTTGTTCCTAACATAGACTAAAAACTAGTTGGTTCTGTATATAACTTCTTGGACTGCAAAAGATTCCACTTCAATAATGTGTAAGACTTTTCTTTCCCTTTGCGCATGTGATATAAATAAATATAATTTATCGGCCTTCGGTAGTTGGGTTGGCACCCATCCTTGAACTGATTAATTTATAATTATAATTATCGTGGATGTTCTGTAGTTTTTTATTTTTTAAATGGCTGTACTGTCATTTATCGATGACGGTCCTTGATGTTATATTAGATTAAGAGTAACTATTACCAAATCTATGCCTTTTTCACAATGGTTCATTTGGAGTAGGAAGAGGTGGGAAGTGAAGAGGGAAAGCAAAATGGTTTGGATGGACATAGTTTCCATCAATTGGTAAGAATGAAAGAGATGGGAAGGAAAAGGTAAAGAGGAGATGCTTTTTCTTCTTGAGGAACAGTGGATATAGTTTTCATCAATTTGAAAAAATGAAAAGGAGATGGAAATTGAAGGGGAAAGAAGATGGAAACACTTTGGCATGTGGTCCATCGTATGCTTTCCGCCCAGAAATGGACAGAAAAGAATGATAGAAAGGAAGGAGCCTTTCCCTTCTACTTTTTTAGTTTTCATCCTTCAAACAGCAATTTTCTTTTAATACATAAGGGTATAACACAAACAAGTAACAACCTTCATTCCTTTCCCATTTCCTTCCTGTTTAACCAGACCAAAAAGAGGTGAGGATAGCTTCCTTCCCTACAGCCCTTTGTAGATTTTGCTCCTTCAAATTAGATGGGGTACAAGTATATGGAACTTGTTTGCATGGTTATAAGAAATATAACTGTGGTGTCTTTACTTAAACTATTAAGTATACAGACACAAAATTATATCTTACTGCATAATTTTGGCAAATCCAACTTTAGGTCAAGTTAATCTACCCAACTTTTATGTCAGCTGCAATAGTTTGCAACAGGCATAACCCCGAGATGACCATTGTCTGATATACGCAAGGTCCACAACCACTGAGTCATCCGTTATCATCGAGAAGCCTTCCATATGGAACAATACCAGACCTGTGGTACGAGTTGCAGAAAATTGCTAAAGCAATCATGACCTGTTTTTCTAGATTTATGAAACCCCCATTTTACAAAAAGTCATGGAAGTAACCTTTGTCACAGGAAAAAACTAAAATCAATATTTGATGTGATAGTTCAGAGTTAGCCTTCTTTATCATAAATGTGTAGCAGTCTTACACCTAATGCACACGTGACAATCACATGCTTTGCGGCATCAGTTTAATGACCTGTTCTACTTGCCATAACCTACTTGATGTGGGGTGTGGGACATGCACCATTTACTACCATGGTCCTTGTGTTGAAATTAGGAGAAATACATAGGATCTTTACCTATTTTTGGTGATAAATAATAGCTTTTGCGAAGCAAAGTGACCCTATTTGTAGCACTGTCAAGGTTTGAGATTTGGCTCTTCAATGATTTTCCTCTAGCAATTAGAAAATTGACATTACTGCTCATTATCTCTTCATGTCAACATTACTGTTCAATTATACATACACCTTAAAGTTCTGTTTGTTCATCCTAGGTAACAGTTGTTACTGTTAACAGAACATACACTAACCAACGGGCCAGTGGCCTAACGGTATTAGGCCCTTACTTCCCAAAGGGAGGTCAGCGATTCAAGCCTCAGTGGAGGCATGTGTGTGTGAGTATCAACTAAGAAAAAAAATAAGTAAATAAATAACAGAACATACACTAGAGCGGAGGGTTGACACATAAAACATTGGTTCACTTTTAATTCTAGGTCATGAATAGGCTGGAACTAGTCACGTCGAATCTATCTCAAAATTCAGTTGGACACAAAGCTGTTCAACTCAAGCCTGAGATGTTTACAGTTGAATATATAATTATGACAAACCCAAACCTAACACAACAATTACCAAAAGCATTTTCTGCAAACTGAGTTGGAGTTGGTATGTTTTGCTGCACTCCAATTTAACTATTTAAGGGCAGGGCTGATGCAAAAATTACGCACTCTAGTCATGCTATTTAGCGTTAGCGTCCGGGATTAGGTATGTTCAAGTTAGGTAAAAATTTAATCTAGTTCCAAAGGATTCAACCCAGGGTTGATCAATTACTGAAGCTCGACAATTGCTGTTGACAACAATTTTGGGTGGCAAAAAGAGCTGGATTGGTTGTCATTTGCCAGTGAAACTGAAAGTCAATTCAAGAGCTCATGAAACACGACATTGTATATGTTTCAAATTGAGAATTTCAATGATCAGTTATTTAGTGTCAATTAAAAAATCAGTTGGTGTCAAATGTGGAGCTTAGTATGATTTTAATTTTTCCTTTGAGCAGGTCACATATTTCAAATGTGGTGGAGTGTCACTTGGCGTTGGCATGCAACATCATGTAGCAGATGGAGCTTCTGGTCTCCATTTCATCAACACATGGTCTGATATGGCTCGTGGTCTTGACCTCACAATCCCGCCGTTCATTGACCGGACCCTACTTCGCGCCCGAGACCCCCCCCAGCCTGTATTCAAACACGTTGAATACCAGCCCCCTCCTGCCATGATAGCCCCTCCGCATACCACAAAATCTCAATTGGTGCCTGAGGCAACTGTTTCCATTTTCAAATTAACCCGGGAGCAAATCAGCACTCTCAAAGCCAAGTCAAAGGAAGATGGGAACACGGTTAACTATAGCTCATACGAAATGCTTTCTGGACACGTGTGGCGCTGCACGTGCAAGGCACGTGGACTTACAGAAGATCAAGAAACCAAGTTGTACATTGCAACAGATGGACGTGCCAGACTCCGACCCGCTCTCCCACCAGGCTACTTTGGCAATGTGATTTTTACTACCACTCCTACAGCTGTAGCCGGTGATCTTCAATCAAAGCCCCTCTGGTATTCTGCAAGTAGAATTCATGATGCATTGGCGCGGATGGACGACAATTACCTAAGGTCTGCTCTTGATTACTTGGAATTGCAGCCTGATCTAAAAGCCCTTGTCCGTGGGGCTCATACCTTTAGGTGCCCAAATCTTGGGATAACCAGCTGGGTTAGGCTGCCCATCCACGATGCGGATTTTGGCTGGGGCCGACCAATTTTCATGGGACCTGGTGGGATTGCATATGAAGGGTTGGCATTTATGTTACCAAGTCCTACTAATGATGGGAGCTTATCAGTTGCAATTTCACTGCAAACAGAACACATGAAGCTCTTTGAGAAGTTCTTGTATGAGATTTAAAGAAACAAACAGTCTGACCAATTCGTTCGTGCTGGTTATATCAAGCTTGTTAATTTGGGAATGGCAAAAAAATTTCCTTGGTGATGTTCTTTCATAGTTTTTTGTTCCGCACATTGTTTATGTAATGAAGCAAAACTCTTATCTGGGTTGTGAAATGTGATCTTATGTCTTCAACCGCAAAAAAGCCATGCAATAGTGCATGAGAGGAACATGAGAGCATTGTACCACCAGAATGAAATTGAATTAGAATAAGAGTAATGTTGTTTAATCTTATGAAGTTGCTTTCTACTAAGCTTTATGAGTTTGAGTGATTAGTTGAGAATGCATAAGGTGATTGGTGAAGCAGTTTTGGAGTACCATCTGCTTAATGGAATTTCGAGGATGGAGAAATGTTGTGACATGTTTTGGTGGATCCAAGTGATGCATGAACATGATTGTTTTGTTTATAAATTTATCGAACTGATTATTTGTTCTGTTCACTTGCAATTTACACTTCTCAGAAATAGATAAATTTGGTCATATGTTCTTGAACAATTAGCTTCACCACAGCCAGAGGTCTCTGTGAGAGGATTCCTCAAAATGACTCACTCAAATTGTGTGGCACTTGGAGTTCCATTGATGGAGGGTTGCCATTGCATGCATCAAAATTTTACCACCTCAAATTTGCTTGCAAGTGATGAATAATTTACTCTTGATATATGTTGTAACAATTTGTTCAATTCAACTATAATCTACTCACTCCATTTTATGTTGTGTGTGTGTGTACATGTATTTGAGTAGAATAGGAGGAACATTGCATAAGGAGGGTGAGATCTGTGCTCAGAAGGAACCCTAGCTTTATGCTCAACACATGCATGAGATATATTCACACTTTAAATTATTGACTTCCTCAGCCTTTAAAGCAAAAACTTCTACATTAATTCCACACACTAAAATTACATGAATGGTTCAACAAATATAATCCCAGTGAAATGCAACTTAATTTATCTAACTCCTATTAGAGCACAAGGGAACAGATTGGCAAATTTGCAGGGAAAAAGAAACCATTCTAGCATTATTCAGTACCGTCACGGGCAATTAATCTTAAACCAGCAGCAGAGATCAGAAGAGAGCAAGGAGTGAACCGAAGCTGATGCATGAAATCAAGGTTGAGATGACGAAAGAAGGCCTCTTTAACAAAGGCACTGCACTTGATTTAGATGGTTGTGGGCGGCGAACAATATTTGCACCACCATAAGATCCCTTCCCTCCCTGTACCTTGCTTGAATTGCCCATTCCATGCTCCAACTCATTTTCTCCATTCGCAGCTGCTTATACATCAGAATAGCAAATCAAGTTTGAATAAATCGCAAATGTAATGAACATTAAATTTTATACTGGAGAGTTATTACCATAAATGTCCTGTTCTCGCGTTAGGCGTGTTGAGTTGTCAAGTTCTTTGTTAACTGTTGAAGTAAAAGAATTTTCATGAGCCAAGCTTGATAGGACTTGAGCACACAAGATGATGAGAAGCCATGCAAGAACCTTCATTTTCATCTTCCTGTAGGGATAGCCTTTGTTGATAGATAAGAGGGGGCACTGTATGTGGGTGGTATTTCATTGGCATTGTAAAGTGAATGAGAGAGATTATGTTCTCTACAAAAAAGAACAAAAAAGTGTCCCACTTATGACATTTATATCTTAAAGGTAATTTTTTTTTAAAAAAGAACCGTTGTGATAAAGAGGAGCCAAACCTTTTCAAATGTGCCTAGTTAAGTTTATTCTCATCTGATATTAGTTATAGTTATGCTCATTTTACTGACGTTTTCTTGACTACCCAAAATTTGAAGTCACATGGTGAATCTGATCTTCTAATCAACTTTGAAAAAGTGCAATCTCTAGACCATCTTCTGGTCTCAGAGAAATATTCAATATGCATAGATGGTGACAGTTCACACTATATTTAATTATTATTATTTTTTGGTTCTTTCTCCTTCTTTGTGGAGCATGGAGAATCTCTTTCCCATTTGGTCCACCAAAAGCTGAAAAGAGAGAGCTTTGTAAAGGTACAAACAACACACCAAATTATCATCTAGTGGCTGTTAAATAGAATACTCAACAAAGTTGGAAAGGAATAAGATGCTTTTTTCTTTTCCTTCTTCTAATTTTTTAATTTTATTTTATTGGCAATAGTTCAACAATATGTAAGCATTGTCCACTGTCACACAGAGTGAGAGCGGGAAAGAAAGCGGGAGTGTGTGTAGAGGGGCACCAATTTAAAATAAATGTGTGACTTGCTCATGTAACAGAAGACCGAGTCTTATTTGGTTTGCCAGTGCAACTCTGAATGGTTTGACATTAATTATGAAATGTTGAGCCAATCTTGAAAATATTTCGGAGAAAAGGATGCTTGGTATTTTTGTCACTCTGTTAATCTCATTCAAGACTCGGTCTAAACCCCATAAAAGAAAGCCAAAACAGAACCACATTCTTTATATTGTTTGCATAATTCTCCAACTTCTTCTTCACCTAATCATACTCAGTCTTGTGCTTCTCAGCATCCCTCACCATCTTCTCATTGAAAATGTCCTCCTCTTATCAATCTTTGAGTCCCGAAGATATACCTCTTCAGCCTCCATACACTAGTTCCTAAACAAGGCCATGTTTAATTCCTCAATTCCTGCTATCGTAAAAATCAATGCCTTCTTACAATGAATCAATCTCAATATTCGTCTGAGTGGTCAAAGACAGAGTCCTCTTCGTCCTCTTTCAGGCCATCCTCAAATTTCTCAGAGCTCTAGCACTACCACTAATGTCCTCCTCGTGCTTCCTCTTGAACTCAAGCAATACATGCTTATATAAGCCTGTTGTTTGATAATATATTTATTATCAATTCTAAGCACTGTATCCTCTTCAGGTTTTACAGCACTTAACTGCATTTGAATAATTTGATTGAATGATTGATTGTATAAGCATAATTAATCAGTTAGTTAAATTTGGTTAAAAAAAAAATTGTTCATAGGACCTATTCATCGCTCTCCCCTATAGTCCTATTGAATCCATATCCGCAATTACTATCATTCATATTATTTTTCTGGTATCAAAGCACATAAACATAATCAATTGTAAATTTTTTTTTTTTGTGGAGTAAAATTTGCATTGGTTTGCATTCTTCAATCAAGGTTTAGATCACAATTAATATGATATCATGCTATACTAAAGTGCTATGTAGTACAACTGGGTAAAAGATTCATTATAAACTAGTAAAATTACAAATTTAGTATGGATATTGACATCATGAACTGAAGAACTGAAAAACAAGATTGACATCTCTAAACTTCCTAAAGAAAATAGGCTTTTACAACCTAATTAAAGACTTTGTTAATAATCGTCAACTTCATCATTGTCATACCCCCAAATTTTGGAACACGGATTGATCAAGTCCGCGCACAAAATCAAGGGATATCAAAACAATTTAAGTATTTAACAAGCACAGAATACAAAGATGAATAATAAAGAATAAATAAACCGCTGAAGAAAACTAATAAATAAATATTACTTAATGATTCTCCAACAATTACAATTCGGAAATCCCATAACTTAAGGACCCCTTAAAACATTATCCAATAATCCAATACTATTTAAAAGTACACAAGATGAATAGACGAATGACAGTCTCCCAGCTGCGGATCCTCAACCTCGAGACTGGAACCTCTAATAACCTGAAAAATAAATCGTGGGTTAAACCCTACGAGCAAGTTCACTCTACCAGGCCTCTGAAAACCAATAAGCAGATCATCTCTGATCAAAACCAAACCTAATAAAGTTTTAACTTTAATAAAGCACGATATACATGTCTATATATAATTATATATACTATACTAATCACATCCATTAATAGGTTTATTAAATTTCCATACCTATTAAATAATTATTAAAATAATATTCATACCTAGACCAATCTACCATTTCATTTTATAAAAACTCCTTTGACCTTAATCCCATCCTAGTCAGTTGTCTAATCATTTAAACAACAAATTATAATAAAAGAAATACTCTATTTAATCCCAACCCGATAATGATTTTAATTGTTTAAATCACATATCCAAAATCCAAGTTTTGACAAATCATCCACGTCTTCCCCAATATTATTTTATTAATGGAAAATAATACACTAGCCAGTAAGTACTAAACTATTCTCATTTAAGAATATCTAACCCTAATCCAATCCATACATACAACAACCATAGATGATATTTTAATCATCTAACACATAACAACGTAATTATGCTTTGGCAAATCAACCATGCCATTGTAAATATTTTTATTTATATATTGGCAATTCAACCATGCCTCCATAAGTATATTTATTTATACATTGGCAATTCAACCATGCCTCCGTGTATGTATATTTATACATTGGCAATTCAACCATGCCTCCACAGGTATATTTATTCATACATTTAATTAGCAATTCATCCATGCTTTCCATATATGTATTCTATTCATACAAATATTTAGGTAATATATTTAATCATTTGACAATTCATCCATGCCCACACTTTAACCATGAATTAACTTTAAAATTAACAATACGCTAAATCATACATAGCCATCACATGCATATTATACGCATATCATTAATTTAACAACCAGCCTATTAAGATATGCCAAATAAGAATGATAATATTAATCATTTTAAATGATTTATATATATATATATACCTACACATATGTTATTTAATGTATATATGTGTTTAACACCTTCTTTAATAATCCTTGATTATTTAAAATCAATATACATACATACATACATATATATATATATATATATATATATATATATATATATATTCATCCTTCCATACAACTCATAGACAAATTAAACTATATATACCCATATATAAATAATTATATATATATATATATATATATATATATATATATATATATACACTTCCTTCCATAACAAATTATTAATTTATTATATTTACACAAATTAGTGCAACTAAATATGTCAGAAATAGTTTCCTTTAAATACTCCATACCGGTTTAAATAGTTTTCCGACACCGTCTCACTAAAACGTAAATATCTCTTATTAGGATAAGAATCTGATAATGAAATTGGTACCATTGGAAAGAGGACGAAAAATCCTTGAATTTGAGCTCAAGAATGACCCAATTTCGATTTAAGATGACTAAGTTATGACCGTTTTAATTTTATGTCACAAACAGACAAAATAATTGGCTAAGCTCAAACACTACTGTGAGCGCGCCCACACTTAATTAGCTCACTTGAGCTCACACAAACGCACCCACACCAGATTAGCTCACTTGAGCTCACATGTATGCACCCACACCAGATCAATCTTCTGTTGACCAAACTTAATCCATGGTCCAGATTCACATGCGCACTCTTCTATGTACACCGTAATGCACCGAATCATTCCACTTATATTTAAACTATTCCAATGGCCTAGATCAGTGATGTAACCTTTTACTATGCATTCTACCACACTAGATCATACCTCGAATCACTCATCTCCTGATTTATGCGCCGATTCACACAGAGTGCATAGAATTAATTTAAAATTTAATAAAAATAATGCTAAAATAAATTCCAGAATATAAAAAAAATTACAAAACAAATTCTAAAAATATTCTGAAAAGTACAGAAAAATTCCAGAAAATATAAAAACCAAAATTAATCCCCTTAGGTCACAGTTCCACCTATACATTGATTTTAATATATATATCCAACATCTACATATACAAATAAAATCCAATAATCCAAAATTAAAAATATATAATAATTCATACTTTTAAATAATCATATCTAAACACGATTTAATAAAATAAATTAACTTGATGCTTTTAATTAATCCAAATTAATAATTTAATTAGAGCCTTAATACTTAAGATGAAATCCTTATAGGTTCTAAGAGGAAAAATAGAGAAAACTCGCCTGAAGGTTTCGAAACGAAACCGACGCTTCAAGCTTTAATTATCTCTTCCAATTCCGACGTCCTCATTTTCAGATCCGACCTCCTCCTTGTCAGCAGCCCTTCTTCTTCCTCTCTCTCTGTCTATTTTATTTTTCTAACGTGTAAAACCTTTAACCCTAAAGCTTTATGTGTATTTTTATACACCTTAAATTCCAAATCCTATTCCAACTAGTATTATGAATTAAAATAATAACCTTTAAATAATTTATATCTATAAACATATATTATATATAAATATATATTCCTTCCATAATTAACTCGTTAGTTAATTAAATCATATATACTTATAAATATCAATAAATATATATCTATATATATATCTTTCCATAACCATTATTAATTAATTATATTTATATATAATTATATATATATATATATATATAAATATAATTGATACAAAAGTGATCATTTAAATAATTAAATAACCACGGACCTTCATTAATTAACCCAATAAGGTTTCATACAAGCCCAAGACCACATCTTTTGGTCCAACTTTCCTTAAGCCCAATCCAATTAATTTAAATAAATAAGATAATTAATTAAATACAGAAATTAAAATAACTAATTACATGAAGCACATAAACAAACAAGAATTTACAACTAAGTCATATAATATCAATAAAATCAACACACCAATAATTCAATCAATAATCAACCACACAAACAATCAATCATCATACATAATCACGAAATATAACTTAATTAAAATAAGATAATTAATCTAGCACTCAATAAAATAAAATAAATCATTGAAAAATAAAATAAAATAATTAATCCTAATTAATAAATCTTTTAAAATTATCGGGGTATTACAATCATCATCCAATCCTGCTACAAATGGCTGATTCAATAGTATCTCAGCTGTCAATCTGTGGGAAGCATTCCTCGCTAGACAACATTTCAAGAAATCCTTACCCTCTTTCGATATCTTGCTCGGAATTTTCGGAATTTTTTTACTTTCATCATCCTCACTTAGAATACTATCAACCTCACAATCTTGTTTTCCATCCCACAAAGACTTCCTAGTTAGCATCTCAAACACAACACACCCAAGAGCCCATATATCACAAGAAGGCTCTTGTACATTGTCAATCACAGCTTCTGGTGACAAGTACCCAATATCATTCCCTCTTATAGAAGACTCCAACTTCCTCTTCTTATTAATATTTTCAACACTTTCTGCCTACCCACAATCTCCAATCTTCACCATATATTTAGTACCAATAACTTTGGATTCGAAATCCGAAATAGCTTCTTCATTATCAAATGTATCACAAGAAGGCTCTTGTACATTATCAACCATAGCTTCTGGTGACAAGTACCTAATATCATTCCCTCTTATAGAAGACTCCAACTTCCTCTTCGTATTAATATTTTCAATACATTCTGCCAACCCACAATCACCAATCTTCACCATATATTTAGTACCAAAAACTCTGGATTAGAAATCTGAAACAGCATCTTCATGCAGAGGTAAGGTTGCGTGCATTTGACTCTCCCCAAACTCTGCACTGCCACGACCTCTTGAACTAGGGAAAAGTATAATATTTTCAGCCTCAAGTTACACTCTTTGACGTCCTGAAGAGTGTTATAATGAATAAAGATAGAATCTTTGAATGAAAATACCTCAATCAAAGTATCTATTATGTTAGTAGACCATTTTGATGGTTTTGTCTCATTTTCTTTTGTCCTTTTGTGATGTGGTCATGGTGGTGTTGGAGGTGTCGGTGTCATCTCTTAGGACTTCATAGTGTTCTTGACGTCATTAACTCTTCTGTCTACTCTGGGTAGTACACATGCGATCCCTAAGAAAAGCAAATTTCTCATAAGTAATATGTTTCGGCATATGAGAATCTCATATATGCCATGGTGTATACCAAACAGGACTTGTTCGGGGCATATCTCTTTGCTCGGAACTTGATTTTTGATGCCATTTCTTCCGTTGTTCATATTTTCTCATTTCGGTTCTTTTTCGTTCGCGACATAACCATGTTTGTAAATATGATAAAGTCCTCGAAGAATATGCCTTGTATAGCGCCGAATTTCGGCTTCCGGCAATTCTCCGAATTTCTCAATCATATCAACTAGGGTTCCACCAAAACCATGTTCCAACAACAGGTTACATACCTTATTATGACTCTCACCAACACTAATTGCTTCTCCTAAGCACTGACGAATATAGTGGCATTCTTGGAGATTGTCAAGATCTTTTTAAATTTATGGTTCAACATTCGGTGACAAGTGATATTTTTATTACTTAAAATTTTATTTCATTTTAAGTGACACTGTTTATAATTATATTGAGAGTTTATCTATATATAGAGTACCTGGAGTAGAAGTCAAGAAGTCGGTTTATGGTTTAAGATAGGAAAGGTATTAACATTATTTTTATTATAAATTATTTGTTGAGTAAGAATCCTTGCAGAACACTTTAAACTTTGTGTGGTGTGGATATAAAAGTTCGCTAATTGATAAAATTAAAAATGTTGTTGCTTAATGTTAAAAATGGGATAAAATTTTAAGTGATAGAGACATTATTTTATACTAAATACTGAAAATTTATAAAAATATTTATTTTACCACTTAAAAAGTTCAGCACTTAAAATTCGGCTCTTAAAAGTCTTGGTACTTCATTTTCAGAGCAACTAAGTACTAAAATTTTAAGAGCTAAATTTTAAGGTCTTTTTGAATTTATAGAGTTATAAGTGATATTTTTGTCACTTAAAATTTTATCTTATTTTAAGGGGCGCTTATCAATTTTAGTGATACTTAAATTAGGTAGTTAAATGCAATTAATTGAATAATTGTTTAATCAATTCAAATTAAACCTGAATTTTTTCTTTTATTTATATATATATTTTTATTATTATTTTTTGCCAGTTAAACACTGAATTGAGTCCATCAAAAATTACTTATGTGACTTTGTTTAAAGACGGATCCAGTTTTGATCCATCCCCGAATTGTTAGAATCCGTTTATGAGCAACCCGAAATATGTACTATGAACTTGCCCGTTTGCCCAGCCTAATTTGAATTGAAGTAACGAACCGAGTCGACTCACTTTTGCAATCTTAGCATATGCTAGCGGCATTAGCAAGGAAGAACAAAATGGAGGAGGAGAAGAAAAATCAGACCCTCAAAGCTTCAAAATCTAGAAACGACACCGTCCAACCACCATCACCATCACCATCGCAGGAATTTTTGTTGCATCTGATATGTGGATTAGGGTTAGCATCAGCATTCTGGGTGGCCCGGAATCTCTACTCCATTAACCTTGTCACACATACTTCTCAAACCCTCCGTCTGATCTGGGTATACCATCATCACCATCAATCCACATTAGTTTCAGATGATTCTCTCTGATTTCGTTTCATTTGATTGTGACTATATGTGGATTTGAATTTTCAGGTCATTGAAGCCCCAATTGTTATCCTTCTTTACAGTCTTTTTCGGCAAAATCCGAATCAATGCTCGGTACTTCTTAGTAATCTTTAGTTGTTGCTTATTTCAATTCTCATTTGATCTTATACCCTTTTGTGTGTGTAATTCATAAAGGTTTGTTATGTGGTTTGACAGTATTTGAAAGCTGTAGGACGAGGCATGTTGGGGCTTCCTGCTGGTTAGTCTTCAAATCTCAGATGCTGCAGCTTGCAAAATATTTGCACAACTTTAAATAGATGTTTGCATGTGTACGAGAAGCACATATTTATTATATATGTTTGTGCATGTGTGCATTTATGTACCTATGTTATTTTTTGGATGAATATTTATGTATTTATGGTGTGAACAAAATTAAACAAAATGGTATTACAATTCCGTGTTCTCTTGAATTTAGCTGATAAAATTACAAAACGGATATTTAAGTTGCATAGGCTCTATTTGTTTGAAATGCTTTCCTGGATAAATTTGTCTCAACAAATTATTCTCAGATTATGTGAAGTGATACTCTGTGTCGAAGTTAATTGAAGTGATTTGATGATCCATGTTTTTCAATGGAAATAATTCCTGAGAAAAGAAATTTTGTTCCCCTTTAAGATTTTGGGGGGACTTTTATCTTTCTTGGCGGAAGATATTCCATTGATTCTTGAAATTTTTGATATGTTTCCTTCAAATTATGCACAGCCAAGCTGTATGATTAGATACCCATTCACATATCTGAGTGCTTGGTTGATTACTAGATTTTTCATGTAAACTAAAATAACTTCTTGGTTTAATGAGTTTATTCTGTTTATTTTCTCTTTCTGTAAAAGGTGCTTAGCATGATGCGCTTTTGTACCTGTAGGGGCTGTAGTGAATGCACTTGGAGCTATTGCTTTGGGGGCACCTGTTGGCATTCAGTAAGTGAAATACCTTCTGTCTATGCCATTCAGGAAAAAAGAGAAATACCTTCTGTTTTTCAAAGAAATTATATTATCTATTCATGGTTCCAACACAGACACATATATATATATATAGAGCCGTGAATATATTTCTTTTTAATTAAAGTTATAAAATTCCAACCAAGCATGGTGTAGGAATTCATCTGAGAATTCAGTTTCAAGATTCACTGCACTCTCCCAAGCTCAACTATGAATTATGTTTCCAGAACTACAAAAAGAGAAATTATCCAGAGGACCCAAAACTTTGTTTTATTGTAATCATTATAAGTATGGAGTACAATTTTATTTATCCTTGTTATAAGATGTATAATAAAAGCATGAATTAATTTTGAAAGGTTTTTGTTGGACGCAGATACTTTTCCAAGACCCTCAACTGGTCTCTTCTTATGTCACTGTTAACTGTGAGTATCCATTTAGTTACTGCATGCAATATCTTTCTAGCTATTCAATGTGTATGGAATTAAAATTGGATATTATCAGCTTCTACTAGTTAGTTGTTTGATAACTTTCAGTGGTTTCTCTATTAAGTTTTATCTAAAATCATGATTAGTACCTCTTAATTTTCTCTCAGAGATACTTGGCTTATCAATTCCTTGTTCCTACTTCAGAATGTCAGAAATTTAAAAAATGATCTTCCTCGAGTAATTAGGTAGACCATCACCTATCACTCTCTCACCCAATTGAAGGTTCAGGTGAAACTAAGTGGAGAATTAGGTTCGCTACGTTTGAAAAGAGTTCATTGTAGTGGGGATTCCGCCCATGTTCCTCCCTCCACTTTTCTTCGTTTCCTTATTTAGAATTCTCTCACACACTAGACACTCTCAATAATTTCAAATTTCAAGAGCTACAAAAATTGTAGCAGAAATGGTGATAGCAGGGGGAAGCAATTGTTTACCATCTGTAGTTTTCATTATCAAGTTCAAAACACCAAGTGGAAATATGAATTGAAGCAATATTTTTGTGTCCTTAAATACCTCTGGACACTTACTCTTTTCAGTTATATCATAATGTATGAGGTCAATGCAGTGAGTTGCGCAAGCTGTCCAATACAAGTTTTTTGTATTAACATCTTCCCTGCAACTGCAATTTTAGTCTCATAGTCCATCACGAGACTTGAGAATGTTGTGGAAAAAATTGGAGAACCGTATAAGACTTGAAACCATATATTGTCTATCACCTTTAATAAAGGCTTGCAATTTTTCAGTTTGAGATGAATTAATATATATAATTTTAATGTAATTACTAATTAGTAATTTATTATGTATTGTAGCATACTAATCGGTAATCTAAATATCTAATAAATACTGAAAAAAAAAATCTAATAAAAAATACTCGTTTTTCTTTATTTTTACTTGATGAACCAGAGGCATAAAAGTACTTTTGCTTCCAAAATTACTTCCCTGTCTGATCAGGATTTCCATGGATTTCCTCTCGCCAATGCCCATACCCTTCCTTCATTCTTTTTCTCTTTCTTTCCCTTCAAATTTTCACACAGTTTCCTTTTTTTTTTTCTCTCTCTCTCTCTCTCTCTCTCTCTCTCTCTCTTCCATATTCCTTGTAATTTTTAGATTTTTCTAACATTTCGTCTTTTAAGTTTCTGCTCCATGGATTTGGCCAGCAAACTCCATGGATTCCAGTGGCTCTCCTCTCTCCCCTACCCCATTTCATCTCTTCCTTCGTTCTTTCTTCCTTTTCTTTCCATTTGGTCTCTAACAGTTAGTGTAAGAGGTAGAATTTAATTTCATATTTGCAAATTCTGAGAATTAGTTTAATATTTGTGAGGGTCTGGCTTTCAGATGTGAGGATAATGTTACAAACATGGTAATCATAGAAGATTGAATCACAGTTTTCTGATTCTGAGAGAAACAAGGCAAGAGTTTTTTTTTTTTTTTTTTTTTTCTCCTTTGAGAAAGAGGGTAGGTTCGTAAAAGAAGAGTTGGTATGGGAGGTTGAGGGTTCAAGTCACATTAGGGACACTGGGATAGTAGTGGGTAGTGTGCGTGAGAATCGTACCAAAAAGAAAAAAAAAACAAAAACAAAAAGGGGGAAAAAAAACTTATTCAAGCTCTAGGAGTTATGATGTTTAAGATCAAAGTGTCAATATATTAAATGAATTTAGAACATCAATATAATACTCAACAATGTATAATATATGTGACAAGTATACAACATTAATATAATATTCATATTTCTATATTTCAAGTTTAACATTGAAATTGAACTATACGTGAAGTATTGAACTTGTAATATTGTTTATAAATATAATAAAAATAAGTAAATAAGAAATTATAATGCATCAAGATCTGTAATCTATATCAAACAAATTTTTTTAAGAAAGAATAATAAAATCAGAAAACCAAATATAATAAATATTAAAAATTAAATTAAATATAAAGAATGACTCCAAACATCATCTAATAATAAAATGGAGTATACTTATCAAAAAAGAAAAAGAAAAAGGAGTATAATCATTATTTACAGCTTACAAGTATAGATCTGAAAAGAACAAAAAGTAAAATTATTCATATAAGCAACTTATCGTGTGATGAAGAAATGTGAATCAAATTGGCAGATTTACAGACCAGACAAGATCCACCAACAATTTATCATATTTTAACAGTAGACACTAAATCTAGGTAAAACTAGTGTAAATAAAGGGAAGGATTTTTTTTTTTTTTTTTTTTTTAAAAAAAAGGGTTTAAAGCTTATCTACTGAATGAAATGTTCAAAACTGTTGATTCAATATCTAAGTTTAGACGTCATGAATTGTAAGTTTTGGAAAGTACATTAATGATTATATATATTTTTTTTTCTTGAAGAGTTGGGAACCTGAAATTGTGAAAAGGTATTGAAAGAAGGAAGAAGAGATGTAGTTCAAAACATTGATGCCCAGAACTTCTGTAATGGTCCTATACAGAGTATTCTGGCCATTTACGATCGGGACATTCAGAAGAACTGAAATAAACAACCTGTAATGTTATCGCCACTTGGTGATACCGTTGTGTAACGGCCGTCACTTTAAACCTTGTTTTCAACTCACTTGTGAGTTGAGTTTTGTTGTTTCCTCATACTTGGGTTTGCGATCTTTTACTTGGGTTCTTTCTTTTCCGATCTCTTACTTGGGTTTGCCTCTGGGGGTTTCTTCGAGGATTGTAGGTGCTTGGGATCCGGTGGTGGAGAGGGTGGAGGGCTTGTGGTGTGGAAGAAGCAATATTTATCAAAAGGTGGGAGGGTTACCTTGTTGAAAAGCACTTTGTCGAGCATCCCTACATATTTTCTATCCCTTTTCCAGATTCCATCCTCAGTAGCTGCTTGTATTGAAAGACTTCAGAGGAACTTCTTATGGGGAGGTTTGGGGGATGAGTTTAAGTATCATCTAATTCGTTGGGAACAAGTGTGTAAGCCTGTTAAGTTCGGAGGAATAGGGATTAGGAGACTGCTGCCTTTTAACAGGGCCCTTTTAGGTAAGTGGTTGTGGAGGTTTGGTATTGAGCGGGATAGGTTGTGGAGGAGGGTTATTTTGTGTCGCTTTGGTGTCTCTTCCTAGAGGCGTTGGTGTTTGGAAAGCCATTCGGAAGGGATGGAATGAGTTTTCTAAGCATATCAAATTCAGAGTTCATGATGGTACAGAGATTCGGTTTTGGGAGGATTTGTGGTGTGGAGATCGCACTTTAGCATGTTCTTTCCCCAGACTTTTTAGGATTGCGACTAAGAGACATGCCTCGGTGGCTAACTGCTATCGCCTTGATAGCGGGAGACCGGTTTAGGACGTGCTTTTTCAACGATCCTTTCAGGACTGGGAGACGGATGACGTCTTTGGTTTTTTAGAGTTTTTGTACAGCCAAGTGATCCATGGAGGAGCTAGGGATTCTCTTGTTTGGATTCCTTCTTCTAGGGGAATGTTTAGTGTGAGATCTTTCTTCGGATGTCTTTTGGACCCAGCTAGGCTGTATTCCCTTGGAAGGCAATGTGGCGAACTAAGGCGCCGTTAAATGTGGCATCGTTTGCTTAGACGGTCGTGTGGGGTAAAATATTTACGCTGGATAATTTGAGAAAGAGAAATCATATCACGGTGAACTGGTGTTGCATGTGTAAGTGTAATGGTGAGTCGGTTGACCATCTTCTTTTGCATTGTCCAGTAGCGGTTGACTATTGGAATCTCTTGTTAGGCCTCTTTGGACTTTACTAGGTCATGCCTAGATCTACGAGAGGTCTAATGGACAACTGGAGAGGGTTGGGTGGAAGCACAGGCTCGAGGGTTTTGGAGGATGGCGCCTCTGTGTCTTTGGTGGTGTCTGTGGAGAGAGCGGAATAGAAGATCCTTTGAAGGAGAGGAATCTTCGGTCATTGTTCTCAAATCTTCTGTTATTAGCTCTCCTTTTTTTTTGGGGGTTCGGGTAGACTATGTTCCTCTACTGAGGAGACTATTGAGTTTCTGTCTTCCCTTGGGGCCTTAGGGTATCCAGGTTTCTTGTTGCTTTGTAGGGACACGTTCCCCTTTTGAACGCTTTTAATGAATTGCTTATTTATTAAAAAAAAAAGTTTTGTTGGTTCCTCATGTTGGTTTTGTATGATTACGTATATTGATGTATTTAAGTACTTGTGTTTTTGCAGTTTGTTCCTGCAGCCTCTGTTTTTGGTTCATCATGGACTGACTGGCAGCGAATTTTTGCACACACGAAGTATGTTCTTTTATCTTATTTGGTGGTTTGTCCTTATATTCAGAAAACATGGGACTTGTTCGTGTTGCAATTATCTTTTTCATTTTGCAGTATAAAATTATACATATCATTGTATGTTGGCGCATGAATGTGTAATCATGCATTTACTATTCCTTTGGTCAGTTAATATATATTGTGTTATTGTTATGATGTTTCACATTTTTCACTCGCAGGCCAATTGGATCTATAGATTTTATGATCTGTCTGCCTGCACATGGAGCTGTAATTGGAGCTTGGCTTGGGGCTTGGCCTATGCCACTTGATTGGGAAAGGCCATGGCAGGTACTATTTCCTTCCTATTGCTACTAATATATTAGAACTGAGTACAGTTTCCTCTCAACTTCCTATTTCTTTGTTTGTCTGTAATTTTTTAATTGTGGAGATCATATTTTTCTTCTTCAATTCATTTTTATCTAGAGAGAAGTTTGATTAATGATTACTAGTATGATTTCTGAGTTTTGCTCAATTCCTGATTTTTATTTTTCCCACTGATACATTTTAGTTAAGTTGTTTATTTGCAGTTTAATATTCAACATAGTTAAGGGCCATAGCAAACATTTCCCTCAGATATGAAGCACAATAGTAATTACCTTCTAATCTTCAAATTGCTTTGGTCGTGGCACAGTAATGGTCCTCACTCTAATTGCTGTTAAGTTCCTTGTTCTGAAAACTCAATAGACCAGAAAAGAAGGCATTGGTTATGTGTATCACTTGTGTTACTCTGATTTAGATCTGGATCTATATTGGCCTATTTTCACTTTCAGAAAATCAGGATGGTTTAATTTACATACTGGTTATGTGCGTAAATGAAAGTAAACCATGCATTTCTTTTTACATTAAAACTATAAGCTAATTATACATTATAAGTGTTGCTCTGACAGTCCCAATGTTGTTTTTTGGCATCATAGGCCATCAGAACAATCTTTTTGTGTCTTGGCCTTTCTGGTTAGACTTGTGCTGTTGGTTCAAATATTGCTAAACTTGATTGCTTACTGAGCCATTTCATCACCTGGTTTAATTTTTTGTTGGGTTTTCTTCTATTCTGATACCCGAATCTATTAAATCTTGTTTGTAGGAATGGCCTATTTGTGTTAGTTATGGAGCTATGGCTGGGTACTTGGTTTCAATGGTGGTATCTTTTGGATTTGTACTCTTGCGAGGTGGGAAGCATCGCGTCAAAGGAGACTAATCGGCTAGGAGAAGTCATCAAATTGGAAGACTTGTTAACTATACACTAACCCAAAATTGCAAAATTTTTTTTGACTTGCATGCTCATCAATATGAAGAGGAATATATCTAAATATGACCTTTTTTCCTACATTAGTTATACTCGTGTCAATTTTGGTTTGAGGCATCTTTTAACCTTTCTGTGTATGTGTCTTATGTATAACTCAGTAAATAACTGTTTGATGATCCCTTGTTCTTCTGGAACCCGTAATTTGAAGTTTTAAATCACAATTCATCCTGTGCATTCAGGTGATGATCATCGTTTTAGAAGGTCGTGTGTTCAAGACTCCGAGCAATAGTAGGTAAGTTTGTGAGTAACTTACCTGAAAAAAAATATAAATGTAGAGATATCCATCTTTCTTTAAATTTTGGATTTTGAGTTTTCTGTTCAACGGCCTGAATTCAAGAATCAATGATCTCCATTGTAATTGTTGGCCTGGTCGGAGCATGAGTTTGGCGGATCAGTCGTAAAATCAACAGCCTAACTTTAGATCCATAGCATTAGGATTTCTTCAAAGGTCGTCCCTTATTTTTAATGACTATTATTCTGATTAAGATGAACTTTGTATTCGACAAACCGTAGTGCCCTCAAATACATGTGCAGTGATTGTTTTAATATTCGACAAACCGTACTTTTATATTTTTAATTTAATAAAGAGAGGATATATGTATATATAGAAGTATATATTTTTTCCCAAGTTAAAAGTAAATTATATAGGTAATTAGAATTTAAATCCGTGTAATTAGTGTTTTGTTATATATAATATTTATAGAGTTGGATAAATTGTATAGGTAATATTACTTTCTATTTTAGAAATTGCAATCCTTACCCACAAGGAAAGTATTTTAGAAATTGTAATCCTTGTCTAAAGATAAGGTATGAGTCTATAAATGGAATTGAATCCTAAGTCTTCCAGAGCAATCCAAGAGCGTCATTCCATCTGTCAAGATCTTGACACGGGAGTTTTTTTTCTAAATTCTTTCAATACACAACTCGTTATTTTCAGGAGTTCTGGTACTCTAACGACAACGATTAACCCAGTTGAAATAGATGTTTATACCGCCGCTAGGGTTTCGCTTCGTCCCCACAGAAGATGAAATCCTCCATTACCTGAGAAGTAAAGTGATGAGAGAGAGCTTGCCTGATGGTGTAATATTGGATATTAATCTTTATGTGAATGCCCCATGGGACATATTCAGAAAAGAAGATCAATGGCGGCATACGAGTAACAAGGAATTTGTTATCTATTTCTTCACCAAGTTGAAGAAAATTGGCAATCAGAAGAGAGCTATAAGGAGAGCCGGGTGTGGGACTTGGGTTGGAAAAACCAAGCCTGAAGAAATTTATAATAGACAGAAACAACTTATTGGTATCAAGAAGATGTTGACTTTTGAAGTAGATGTCAAGAACGAGTGTTCGATCATGCCAAGAGGGCACTGGATCATGCACGAGTATTCCCTAAGCGGTGTGAGTTTGAATGGGTTAGAAGAAGAAAGTGATGGTGATTATGTTGTTTGTAAGATCAAAAGAGATGATTCTAAATATTTGAGGAGAGCACCAAAGTATGCACTATCCAATAAAGAAAACCCTAATAGTAAGAAGAAGATGATGCGATATGATGATCATTGCCATCATGAGGCCTCCACAAGTACTACAATGACTCTAAAGGATCATCATCATGAGTTGCAGCTTCCATGGCCGCCATTTTCATCATTACCCAACAATACATCTTTTTCCTGTGATGCAACTACTATTCCAATGTCTTCCTCAGATAATCAGCCTCTCCTAGCATATAATGATGAGTGTGCAAGACTGTTTGATCTGCCCAACATCACAATCAACTCTTGTGGTACAATACGAGGCCTTCAGCAAATAGACTCATTTTTTGACAACTTTGATGCAACTACTACCGCTACGTCGCTGATGCTACCACATGATGATATTATTAGTACAACAATGAACTCAAACCAAGACTTGTAGCAGATTGAGGCATTTTTTAACAACTTTGATTTCGAAACTGATTTCTTTGATTCAGATATGGAGACACGCCCCTACGCTTTTTCTAAAAGTCTTCTGTCTAATGACCCATTTCTTTAGAGCTACTTTAAAATGATGATCTTATATATATAGTTGCTAGTTAGTTATTCCTTTCTATTGTTTTAATTTCATTGTTCATTGTTATGACTTCTATGTTATAATTGGTTGCTTATGAATTGTAACATAGAGACTTAGTTGTATGTTTTGCTAACTCCATCTAGTTATACCATAATTTCATTGTTCATTGTTGTAATATGTTTTTACTTTTATAGTTTTCACTGCTGCATCTTTTCCCTCTTATCAGTAACAGTAGCTTCAATATGCGGTGAAAAAAAAATTCACTTCTTCTGTATGCTTGATCCTAAATGCTACATATATGCACCGAAAAATGAATATAAGGATTTGATTACATTGAAATCTGGCATGCATTTAGTACATTTGACAATTCCACGACTAATAAATGGGTTGTCAATGAGTGGAATCTCCCAAATAGTGGTTTTTTTTTTTTTTTTTTTTTTTTTTTTTTTTTTTTTTTTTTTTTGTGAAAATTCAAACAATTTGTATAAATTTAAGATTATTTACAGCAATGGTTTGTGACTATGCTCAACAAACTAAACAAAAGATAATCCCATTTAGCATAGGGATCCTATATATCCTATAAAAAACTGATTTGGCACATTCCCAAATAGTGTTTTGTGTAAAGAATGATCCGGTGAAGATGAATATTCTATCTGAGGATCTGTTCAAGTATGTATTTGGTTGTTGTTTGCTTATATTGGGTGCATGTATTGCAGGCTTGCTGCAGAGGTACGGAAAAGAAATACTGTGGTGTAGATATTTTCACCGATTGCATATACCACCTTTGACTACCACAATTGCCACCAAAACAAAGCACCTAAACTGATATTTGAGTCTAGCGGAAAACATATACATAAGACTCAAAATTACCCAAAAAAAAAAAAAAAAAATAGAAGAAGAATAAGAAGCAATTGACATAAAAATTACATATAAGGAAAAGTATGGCATAGACGTCCACTCATTACTGAATTTTCATAGAATTTCTTTGTCATTCATAGATCAATTGTCTGAATCCTCGGAGTTCTTGCTTTGTTTCTTCTTTAAGTATGAAAACGTTGGTCAGAGCAGTTTTCGACACCAAAGTAACTTCCAATAGACGCCAAGCCTGCAACAGAAATCCACATCATCAATGGATCATCAGCAACTAATAAAAGTAACAACTACTGTAAATGTAATGAATTGTCATGTGTTCCCCTATAGCATGAACAGAGTATTGAACCAACACCTCTCAACATTAAAACTATAGACAACCATTTGTCCCGAAAATTTTAAGCTCTTAAGAACGAGTGTGTATAAAAGTTCTCACTGATGTGTCTTTAGAAATGTAATGAATTCTCAGTTTAAAGCCCCATAATGAAGTAATTGTTCGAATCAATAGAAAGCAATACTTGAAGTCTTGTGTATTTACCTCCTCCACACCGATAATCACTTCTAGCTCTAAAATGTTACTTTGAGGAATATTAAATCTGTTAATAAAACATACAACTGACATTGGAGATAAAGACGTTATGGTCAAATCGTCTGTCACCGTGAATATAGAAGGTCCATTAAAAAACCCATTGCCGGTTATTGCTTCCAATGGACGCGTCTGACCTCCACTGGAAGAGATATTGAAAAGGGAAGAAGCAGTATATGGGGCTTGCTCTGTGGAATAGAAATTTGTTATTTTGGCTTTGGTGTTTGTGAAAATGTCGCCCAAGCACTTAAAAATGACAAAAAAAAAACACAGCATTAAGTCACCACTTAGTGTCACGCGTGTTGTCATTTGTCATTCCTGAAATGGTCGGACACAATTTTAGAAGAGAAAACTCTTGTTGTCCAAACATTGCTACTTGCAACTTATTTACTTTCACGCACTTATCAGACAACAAACACTTAGCACTGTGTGAGGACTTTATTTGCCAGGAAATTCATCTTTGTATGACTCAAAAGAAAAAGAAACTCAACTTCAGTTTTTTACAATTTCCATTCGAAGTCATCCTTTTAGAATTTAGAACAACTTTTAGTTGAGATGGATTTTTTTCCCCCATGATTCAGAAAGTAAGACTTCCCTGAGTTTTCTTGGCATCCAAACAAAGGCTGAAAGAAAGGGATAAGAAAAAGAGAGGTAGGTCACGCTGCTCTTTACATTGGTGCAATCCATCTCATAGTAACCTCATTAGGGCTCTCAACTTTCACCTAATTAGCAGTTAGGTGGATCTTAGTCTGAACCCACAAAACATAGAGGCTAGGCTATTGAGCAAGCTGAGCCGAGCCGAAGCGAGCCGAGCCGAGCAAAACCAAAGCAAGCTCTTTCGCTAGTTTAAGCTGAGTTGGCAAGGCGGGAATTTTTTGCTGGCACGTGACAGTAATCTTTGGTTCGTTCGCCTCCAATTCGCAAATCCTCAGGTTCGTTAAGTTCGCGTTCTTATCACGCCATGTCATCAAACCAATGCATTGTCTCATAAGTGAAAGTACCGAAACGCCACTCAGTTTCAACATTTTAACGTGGTGTGATTGGCTGACTAAGCCTCAGCATCGTATCGGGAACAGTCGTCGACACGTAATCTCAGTGCGCGTCCTAACTGGCTTCCATGTGGCTCTCGTGGGGCACACACCGAACCCTTTAAAAACTCTCATTGCCCATAAGCGCCAAAAAACCCTCTCTCCTCTCTCTCTCTCTAAACTCGCTTTTAAATCTCTTCTCCGATCAAAAGCATCACAGTAAGAACTCTTCTAAACCCTTAAAATGAGCAATTTCTGAATTTCAATCTCTTTCTCTCTATATATATGTATGTGTACTGTTTCAGTTTTTTTCTGAATATTTGATTTTAATTTTTTGATTGCATTTCTTGATTTGCCGAAAGTGTGGTCTTCCGAATTTCTATCGATTGCATTTCTTGATGTGTTTTAATATGATATAACTCACTTTAGGTGGTCGAGGCTTTCATTCGATGTTTGTATGTATGGTTCCATCGCTGAGATCATGTATCTTGAGTATTATTTTTTCTTTATCTGCTACCTCGGATTTGGTTTCTTGATCTTTCTTGCTTTGTCTAGAGTGTTGAAGACAGACTCGTTTGTTTGCATCTATATTAGTTTGATAATTTTGTGTAATCTTTGAAGTAGGGGTATCTTTTGGGTTATTTTTCTTTTTCAACTTATTCTTTCCCTTTTGATGCTTGGGGTGTTTGATTTTTGCTGCTTCTTTTTTTTGGATGATTTCTGCATTGCTTGTTATTGGTATTTACTTTTCGGGTTTTATTTTGTTTTCTTTTTGGTTAATTAAGATTGTTACCAATTTTGTTTTCTGAGATCATAGTTGTGTTTAACCCATTTTTAATTCAAGAAAAAGATTTTTGGGAATTGTTTTTGTGTTGATAACCTTGATATTTAGGGTTTATGTGGACCTAATTGAGTTCTGGAAAAATTCAAAGGAGGGCTAAATGTAGATAAAAAAAAATTACACACAACACACACGCATGCAAATATTGCGATCCCTGTGAATGTGATCAAAATTCATTTGCTGCAAAATACTTGATGAAAAGACTTGCAATTGATGTCCAAGAAAGGAAAAAGAAAAATGAAAATCTGCAGAGTACATGAATTAATCACAATTTTGGGATGTTGGATAAATTCATCCTTCATCAGTTTTTTTCTAGCTTCCTTACTCGTCTGTGCTTTCCATAAACTATGATGTCTACTAAAGAAATTGAAATTGTTGAGTGGCTTTTCTCATCTCAATTTTTTTTTTTTCCTTATTCGGTATTGACTAAGTAATGAAAAGTGGCAACCCGAATAATGAAGAGAAGCCACCTACCCATTCTTCGGCGTTACGAGAGAGTGATGAATTTGCATCAACAAACAGGCAGAATGAAGCTACTGACAGGAATGGGATTTTACATAATGGTAATGATGCTGAAGCTGATCCTTTGTCCTTCCAGTACCTGCCACTGCCGGTTGCTCCTTTTCCTGGGATGAACATGAACAGGGCATATCAATCTTACACAGGTAACATTCCTGAGTTGGGTAGCAACTTGATGACTGATTTCACCCAGCTCAATAACTTGCAAAATCCCCAATTTCGCCCAAATTCCCTAAATAGCAGGAGTAACATACCCAACCAACATAGGCCATTGTTACATATTCCATGTCATGAAGAGAACCTGAAGGGGATGTGTCCATCGCAGACTCATGATAATAGAGTGACGTCTGGTAATGTGATAAATAGTACCACCCATTTCAATAGCATTCAGAACCCTCAGTATAACAGAAATTCCGAACTGATCAGAGGTGATGCAGCTGGAGGTTATCAAATATCCGGGCAGGGTGGAAAAGCAAATGGTAGTAATTTTCATGGGCCGCAGATCACTAGAAATTATGTTAGCTCAGGAGGTAGTGCACCTATGCCGTATCATAACCAAAATAGAGGAGATCTCCATATTAATAACAATGTGAAGGTCAGTGCAGTTCCATTTCGTTCTCCTGAAGAAGTTGATGGTAGTTTTTTGACACTTGGAGTTGGATGTGACACAGAACCTAGATCTAGATTTGATCTCAACAGCGAAGAGATTACTAATAAATCGGATGAAGCTGTTTCTTCCCAGTTGAATATTGCCCATGCTCAACAAACCACAAGAAATTCCTCAAATTTAGGTCTCAACTTGGCTGGCGGATTTTCAAGGTTCCAAAATAATGTTGGTGGATTTTCAAGTCTGGTGCACAATGCAGGTGGCCAGAACTTGTCTAGAGATATCTGTGGTACTAACGCTGGTCCGAGTTCAAGCCCATTCCATAGCTTACAAAAACCACAAGTTGATATGCAATATGATTTTCCTATGTCCAGCAACAGGAATTTAGGTTTTGTCAGTGGCACAGATGCAAGATATGCAAATGTAGGTCCTTACAGGGGACTTCTAGGTAATCTGACTGCATCTTCAGGACCATCTGCTAGCATCTCAGCTGGATTAGTTGATTCCAGGCAACCCAGGTTGTCTGGGTCAGCATCAGAGTCTTTCAAACTTAGAGAGGCCATTACTCAACCAATTTCTGACCAACTGCAGAAATGTTCTACGGAATCTGTCCAGAACCTCTCACCAGAGTCTTTGATGGTTTCTCCTTTTGTTGGAATCAGAGGAAGCTCCACCAGGCAAGATCATTCAGGTGAGTGCAGCTAATTATTCCCATTCCTTCCCTATGTGAATTTAAGGTATGTAATATTTTAGTTTTTAGTTATTCAAAATTTTTAATTGCTTTATTTGGTTAACTGACATCCATCTTTGGTCTCGTCTTATCATCCCATAAATCTTTAGCAAATTAAAGCTTTTGTCACATCATTTATTTAAAAATGTTTACTACATAATGGGTCTTGAAAGTTTCTAAATGTAGAATATATTAATCACTCTAAGTTTCATTCGATCTCACTGTCAGGAAATGATGAGCAAGTTGTCTGAACTACTTTAACTCTAGTGTTATATCACAGGGGAAGACCAAGGCAAAAGTCTTAACTTTATTCTTTAAATCCAATAAAATTGCTTATTCTTTAAATCCAATAAATTGCCACTGTTGCTGCATTGTTCATTGTATGATCACCATCTTGATTTATATCAGTACGAGTCTTGTAATAATGATGTCAACATACTCCGTGAAATATACCTTTAAACCCAATTCATTATTTGCACCAAAGTAATAAGATGGAGATCTTTACAATGATGCAGAAACAGTCACTATTGTCCTTGTCAATGAGGGAAATCATAGAAGAACAGATAAGAGGATAGTTTTTTTTTTTTCCTGGGTAAATTGGAAAAATTTTATAGATATATCAAGAATGTACAAGAGAACAACAAGGGCATCCCCTTGGTCAACACACCACAATGTAGCTACAAGTCTGTACTACAAAGTGAAAAAAAAAAAAACAGAAAACAAAGAATGAAAGAAAAAAAATAAATAAATAGAATTAAACATGCAGAGAAGTTGTCCCAAATTCCCCTAGTTCCATATCTGAAAGAAGTAAAACCTCTCCACATATAGCTTGAGCAATGTGTACGGCAGTTCTCTGATGTTCCTGAAGCAAATGCTTATTCCTCTCATCCCATAAAAGCCACAAAGTTGTAGCACAGATTCGTTTTTGAGCCTTGTGCTTTATTCTCTGTTGGACAAACCAAAAAATAAGCTGTGCTAATGTATCAAAATTAAGCTGTGATAAGAGGATACTTAGTTTTACAATACTTGCATTTTGGCTTCCATCTATTTTTTTTTCTTGAAGGATAGCTATTCAAACCAAATATGAATTAGTCATATTAAAATTAGCGATGCCATTGTTATGTAATCAAAATAACAATATCAAAACGTAATTGAGATTATAGAATAGTTTGTGTTTTTTCAGAGTCATAATAGTTGTCTGTGAAATTCTTGGAAAGCAATTAGGTTAACCATGTAAAAATAAATAAATAAAATGAAGAAGGAGAAGAAGAAGAAGTAGAAGCTTGTAAAGTATAACGAGAACATTTGAATTTGCAATTTGTTGATAGATATGGAAGCCATATGGCATACATTGTTTTGTTTACTTCTCGTACAGTTTAGATGAGATGACATAGAGATCATGACCTCATTCTTCTGGTGCACTGAGTCATGCAATGAAATCTCAGAATATTTAGCTACTTGTTCCTTTGTAGAAGGAAATAGTTGAGTGTCCCTTGGGAGCCCCCAGAAAAGGGTATCAGAAATGTGTTTCTTATGCTTATCTGCTCAAAGTTTCATTATCCATTGTGGTCCCCATTAATCGAGGGGAGGGGCAGATTGGATACAGACCTAACCTTTGGCATTATTTGCACAAAGTTGCTGCTTTCAAGAAATTTTCATTTCGTGATTCTGCTAATTTAATAGCTTAGGACTGTATTGATTATACCCACCAAGTTTAGGAATAATTCATGTTCTTTTTATACACTATACTAATTTTTATTTTATATTTTTCCTCATGAGTTTCTGACCACTGTTCGAATTAGAAAAATCTTCCCATCCAAAAGATACTCCAACTCTTAAGCAACCTGTGTATTGGCTCATGGGGGTAGCAAAGGCCGCCAGTGGAGACATAGATTGTAGTGTTGAATACTACTGTCAAAATTTGAATGCAATGTGCAACATTCAATCATAGGGATCAATTTCTTGTCGCATAGCTTCATAATAATTCTGTAAAGCGCATAATTTCCTTCGGATTGTGCTGACATCCGTTACAGTCGAATTCTTTTTAGAATTCTTTCTTTTTAAAAAAATTGTATTACCTAGTGCATATATACATGGAGCCTTTACAAAATTTTCATTTCAAATTTACAAAAAAAAAAAAAAAAATTATATATTCTTGGGTGCAGAATTCTGTTTACATCAAGAATTGAATGGAGTTTTTCCTGTGGAGAATCTTTTTATCTAAAACTCCTTGGACGATTTTGGTTCTTGTGTATCAAAGTTTGGAATAAAGTTGAGTGTTGAAATATATAAATATTTCTATATAATTGTGGAGCAAAATCCTTTACTAATCATAGTGATCCGGTCAATTTCCGTCCAATTATAAATATTTCTATACAACGGTGGAGCAAAATCCTCCACCAATCATGATACCTCCTTTGACTATTGTACACCTTCTATATTTTTTTTTATCTTTACCGTGCCTATATTTAGGCTCTTTGTACTCAAGCAAAAAATATTTGAATAATAAAAATGTAACCCTTAGTGGCTCTTTGTCCATGGATGTAGGCCTTAGTGCCGAACCATGTACATGCATGTGTTCTCCATCTTTCTCTCTTCCCTTTTCCTATTTGCATTTCTTATTTCCGCATCCAAAATTTAACATGGTATCAGAGCCTAGATGTTCTTGTAATCTCATTTAGAATTTAAGGGTGAGTATTGGTATTATTATCATAGAACACATTCTCCATGTCTTCACATTCCTTTCCCTTCCCTTCCGGTCCGTTTTTCGGATGGTTCAGCACCTTGGCATTCCCCGTTGTTGTTCCGGCGTAGTTCCGGCCATTTTCCCGGCTTAGTTTCGGCCTTTTTACGGCTTAGTTCCGGCCATTTTCTCCGGCGAGTTCTAGTTTATTTTCCCCGGCAAGATCTGGTCATTTTCCCCAATAAGATCCGGTTAATTTCTTGGCTTTGTTCTGGACACCTTTTCATCATCTTTCAAGGCGTTTCTTTAGCAAGTTGGGCGTTCATGATATTCATGTTCCAATTTGAGGGGGAGTGTTGAAATATATAAATATTTCTATATAATTGTGGAGCAAAATCCTCCACCAATCATTGTGATTCGGTCAATTTCCTTCCAATTATAAATATTTCTATATAACGGTGGGGCAAAATCCTCCACCAATCATGGTGCCTCCTTTGACTATTGTACACCTTCTATATTTTCTTATCTTTACCGTGCCTATATATAGGCTCTTTGTACTCCAGCAAAAAATATTTGAATAATAAAAATGTAGCCCTTAGTGGCTCTTTGTCCATGGATGTAGGCCTTAGTGCCGAACCATGTATATGCCTGTATTCTCCATCTTTCTCTCTTCCCTTTTCCTATTTGCATTTCTTATTTTCGCATCCAAAATTTAACAATGAGCATGCAATCAAAATGGATCTCTTTATAGGTATAATGATTCGTGATGTTAATCTTGTATGGTCAGGTAAAGCCAGGGTTGCAGAAAACTTTTCTAAGGCTTAATTGAACAGTGTTTAGTGTTTTTATTTTTTAGAGAATCATTTGGACTGTGCTTTTCTTAAGGAAGGGGAACGAAGCCTCATCTAATATGTTCCATCTTACTTTTTGCTATGAAGAAGAGAGTAGGAATAGGGCTCAGCTGAAAAGGCAGTAGCTGAAACACCTCAACAGCTGTAATATCTCAAGAGTGTTAACTGTTAAGCTTCAATCCTCCTAAATATTGGTGGTCATCTGCTACTCTTTTGGTACATTAAAATTGATGAGCAATTTAAAACAATCAAAGTCTTCAAGTGGTAGCAACAGTCTCCAAGTAGCCTCTGTTTTTATCCAACAGTCCATAGTTGCTTTTAAGTTACCTTTGATGTTAAGGTCCTGGACGTCATTCTCTAGTTTTGCCATTCTAAGGACATCTACTTCCGCAGATGAAGTAGTTATCTGGCCATTTTTCTTGGAAGCATATATATATATTCCAAATTTAATTGTTTTCTTCATTTTTTGGTTAAATTTAAATTTGTTAGTTTAACTCATATATCAATAAGCTGCATAGATGGATTTGGGAGTCTGATATGTGAAGATGGAAATAACTAGGGGAAGGGAGTTATTTGAAATTCATGCCTTGAAGGATTCTAGTTGACATGGATCCTAATGAGATATATCCTCTCTACATTTATAGTTCTCTATTCCATCCTCTTCCTTTGGTCTCTTAATCCAACTCCAATAGCCCACCCTCCTATATCTTTGTGATTGGACTATAGATCTCTTCATTGAAATTCATCCTTCCAAATGAAGTTAATGCTTGTATCATTTTAAGTAAGAAGTAAATTGCTGCTTCTTGCTGTTGCTTTCATTGGTATTTTTTTTAACACTATCAAACCATCACAGCAGGCGTTCTGTCATTTGTATTCATAATCCATCTTCGTAGAATTTTTGAAGTGTCTTTATTGTATGCAATAGTAAAATCCTCTCCAATAATTCCTGAATTACATGCGGAACTTTGATGAAACTCTGACCCAAGCAAAATAAAATTGGAAAATTTTAAAGCAAAAATTATGAGGAGAACTTGCTACTAACAGCTAGTGACTTTATTTGGAACAAATTTTTACTTATTACTAAGAGTGGATGTCCTGTTGTTACATGTATAGGTCCTTTGACTTGTATGCCATGCAACAATTGTGTTATTTTCTGTACTTCTCAATTTAATCATTATGTTGTCTGGTAATTGGTGAAGCAGGAAACTCAAATATTTGTGGTCAACAACATCTTCATTTAATGTATCACGTGAACTTATGTGCAGGGCAGCTGTTTTCTGCTCATGATGGAAGAGCCACTCAAGCTGTTGGAGGTGGTGGGCTGTTTCCCCATACGATGAGGGTTCAAGTTACTGAGGGTCATGCCGCTCAAGCTGCTAGGGGTGTCATGTTCCCCAAGAGGCTAGGGATTCAAGATAATGATGGTATTGCTGGTCAAGCTGCTGGAGGTGGTCTGCTTCCCAAGGGGATAGGCATTCAAGTTTCTGAGGCTAGTGCTACTCAAGCTGCTGAACGTGGATTGTGTCCCAAAGGGATAGGGCTTCAAACAGCTGGTAAGGGCATCTGCTACATCCAAAACCTAAGTCGTCTGTTAATTAAAAAGCATTACTCCCCCCCCCCCAAAAAAAAAAAAAAATCCGGGTTTCCAATGAGAAATGGACATCTGCAACTCTTTTGTGTGTGTGTGGAGTCATACTTTTGAAATTTATCTGATTTGTTATTTTAAGCCTCAGATCTGCTACATCTAGGATGACTGTTTTCATAACAAGAGGGTTGACCTAGTCTCTACTTATCGAAATGCCAGTTTTAATTTGACAGCCATTAAACCACATTTTATGATTTCATTTCAGCTAATTACCAAAAGAAGATGGAGAAAAATGAGGATGACATTGATGAGCCGCAGATTCAGCCCACACACACACAACAACACACCCCCACCCCCCAACCCTCACCCCCACCCACCCCACCCCACCACCACCCCCCCACCCACCACCCACAACACCCACCACACCCCCTCCTTCTTTAAATAGTATTAGAAGGTAGAATATAAAATCCAAATTAAATGCAGAGCTAGTCCAGGAGATAGGTTGGCTGGCTTGCATCACCATGCATGTCATCTTGTTCATCAGTATGCACTATCAACTCCTTTTGATGTTTGTTTTCAGGTAAAGTAGGTCGACCTCAAGGTATCATACCTGATCAGTTTGCTAGAAATTTTTGTGAACCTGCATTTTCTACTGGTATTCACCATTCAACGCCCCTGAGTATACATAAACATATTTTCCATTGTGTACTTCCTTGCGATTATTTTGATTGTCTCCCTTCATAATATTTGACAATTGCTTCTGCATTAACCAGGTCAACTTCAAGACAATGCGCCTGTTCAGTTTCCTGTACATTTTCGGGGACCCCCTCTAGCTACTGGTATTCATTATTCAACTCCTTGATCTGATGCTAACTATAAGTTCCTGTATGCTTTTTTGAATTGTGGTAATAATCTTAGCTTATATTATAAATTTTCATGTAAACTAGGTCGTTCTCAAGAAGGTGGGCCTTGTCATTTTTCTAGAGATTTTCTTAGACCTGTTTCTACCACAGGTATAAAATTTTCAACATCTTGACCTAAACTTTGTGCATTCCAGTAAGAAGTTATTTGTGAGATGGTAGTAAGTTTTTTGAATTTACAGGTCAAGTAAGAAATGCAAATGATAGTGGACTATCCCAGGGTTCTAGTGTTCTTGGTGGACCATTTTCTAAGAGGGGTGCGATCCAACCCCCACCGGCTGTTCCCAGGGTTCAGCGCAGGAGGATATCCTTTCAACCTCCCGTTCGTCCATCTAAGCCTTCGCCAAATTGGACTGCTCGTGCTGTTTCGATTCCTATGCCTTTGCCAGATGTTCCCATTCCCACACCTGCGCCAGATGTTCCCATTCCTACACCTGCTTCTGCTCCTACTCATCTAAGATGGCAAGGTATGCCTTGTAGCTCCTCCAGGCTCCAGGACTCTTGTTGTTTGTAAATCTTTTTCTTCAATTTCCAAAGCTCTAATTTCCCTTTTATATTTGCAATAACACCTTTTTTCCCCATGTATAACATGTTAGTTCTTAAACGTCCGACAATTTGATCAACATATTACTTACTTTCTTGCATTCAACAGTTATATTCATGTCAATAAAGTGCATGCTCATTGTTGCATTGTGTTCACCCTGTGATGATCCATTTTGTGAGGTCAGGTGAAGTTGGGGTAATTTCTTAACTGTATTTTATCCATGCTCAGAAAGCACAGGCTTTTTAAAATCCTTTGGTTATTCCATGCTTGCTTGTTGAATTAGACCTCTGGATTGGGTCATAGTTGTGCATAAAATGTTTAAAATTGGCTAGCCCTCTATTCTTGGCTCTGGTCTGGCCTTAACAAGGCTTTGAAGATTATTCTTCCTCGTTTTCTTTGGCCCAGGCATGTTTCATTAGCATAATTCAGGAACCTGTTTGGCGATGATCATACAGGTTCTTATAACATGGTTTAAGCTTCAGCCTTGTTTTCCCGAAGCTTATTTCCGTCTTATCCCAAGCTGGATATTTGTAGGCTCGTCCTATGGCCATGTCAGCCTCTGGAATATGGTACACCGGACAATATTTTTCGCAATACTGGATTCACCACAGGCTGGTCCTGCTTAGGACCATGTTTCTCCTGCCAATACAAATCATGAGTTTGCAAAGACGCAGATGGGCTCGTTTGTTGCAGTTATCTGACTCAAATTGACACTGTTCTGTGCTGTGATAGTGTCCTTGCAATGCAAGCAGTGACTGTTAAAAGATTGTGGTTTGCAGGTTTTGATGGACTTCCTCAACTAACTGGACAAAAGTGCGGCTTATGCATGAGGGATCTTTCATTCATACCACCACCTGGCCCTGTATACCAGCCGAGTAATAAACCACCTGTTGCTGTTCTTCCATGTGGCCACACCTTCCATGACCATTGCTTGCAGATTATCACCACCGAGGAACATTCCAAAGATCCTGAGTGCATTCCTTGCGCTTTTCAGAGGAAATAATTTTTTTGGTACCGCTCAATTTTGCAATTTTCAAGAGAGAGAAAAAGTCCAAATCTCTACAGCATTTATCAAAAGAAGAGAAGGAGAAAAAGAAAAAGGAAAGGAAATATGAGAATTCTTAGAGATGAAGAGCAATTGGAGTAGGGTAATAACTGTACATACAGAAAGTGAAGGTAATATGGTCCCAAAGGTGGAGATAGTAGTTAAGGCACTTAAGGTGTACATTATAACCACCCTTTTTTCATTACAAAAACTTTGCTAAGCAGGGAGCTTTATTACTACTATATGCTTAAAAAATGGATATCGAATTCTTTTTACCTTGATCTCAAAAGTGGAAGTTTGTAATAGTTGATTGTTATCTCTATTTGTGCATTCCGGTTGCATTTTTGTTACCACGGAACTTTAACTCCGTTATGTATTACTAGTTAGGGGGTGCCATATCCCCATTTGGCATATGGATTTAAAGCACTGGACTACAGCTTACAGATTTCTTAACCGCCTGATAGGTTTTGTTATGAAATGAATGTTTTCTATTCTCAGCCAAGGCCCTTGGTTCGTAATGTTGTGGTATCAATTAGCTCTGCCTGCTGCTTGAACTTTACTTTGACTGGCCGCCTTCAACAATTGAGCAGCAACAGCAGCATATGCAAGAGAATCCCAAAATTGGCTGAACTTGATGTAGCTTTGATAGGGCCTGCCTTCTCCTTCTAAGTACTAGCTGAAGATATCCTCTTTAAAGTGGATAACGATCTACTACTAGTTGAGCTTTTACTGCTGGAGCCAGGACCCGATACCTTAAAGAACCTGATTAGCAGGTCCTCCTCTTGAGCCCACAAAATTGGTTTTCTCAATCACGTTCATGGTGCTTGTGTTTTTTTTGGCCTGAGAGAAAGGGATCATTGAGTTTCGTTACTCCATGTCAAGAGGGATTATTGGGTATCCTTGCTTCGTTGTCATCATCAGCGGTTCCTCCAACCTTTCCAAGAGGTAAACTCCATGATAAATTTAGTTATGATCACCAACTCCATAGAGAAATTTAGAGATGGAAAGTGTTGCCAATCTTGAACAAGTTTCATGATTGGTTTAGGCAGAGACATCGGATTCCCTTCTTCTGCAATGCTGAAGGGAGGACATTGTGAAATTGTTCTTTGCCAATGTCTTTGTCATAGATCGGATGTTGTATCAGCTTCTTTATGATGTGAAGGGAGAACTAGCACCTTAGGCTATGATATGTCAAGAGTACCACTATGTCTGGAGGTGAATAGGTCTTCTGAAACTTTAACTACCAATAACGAAACTGTAACTACTATATTCAAGCAACCTATAATCAAATTATGTTATTATAGAGTTGTTGAATCAATAATACTCTATGATCGGTCTTTGGGTGTTGATCTCCTTTGTAGCTCTATAGAGTTGTTGAATCAATACTCAACAGTACCATTCACCATCTGATGCAATGTGCCTGTATGATGGATAAAAGGTGACTTCATGTTCCTATCGAGTGCTACTACAACTGAAGGGCGTTTCATTTTGAATTTTCTGTTGGAGGGATATACCAACACAATTTAGATTTCATACCAAGTATCTCTCCTTGAATTCCATAGTTCTGAATTGGATATTTATAGGATGCTATTCTGACCCACACGCCTACTCTACCCATATGAAACTACCACGGAAGAGGTGTGTTATTTCATTCACTATGGATTTAGAGGTTCGTTTTTTTGAAAAGAGCAAAGTGAGTGTGTTTCTTCCTATCGAAAAAAAAAATATATATATTGTAATTTTTTAATTTTGAGCTATAGATTAAGAACACGACTGTAAAACTCCGAATCTGCAAGGGGGCTCCCAATTTAAACATACCGATTTTAATCAAGACTCGGAGTCTTGATGTCAATATCATTGGTTGTTATGGCCCAATTTCCATCCATCGACGCTATGCTCTAGTAGACAAACTGTTCTTGTTTCTTACGTTCGTGGTTAACAAGTGTTTCAATGAAAGTCCATCAAAAGAAAAAGAAGAAAAAAGTTGCGGACCCACTCCACTTACCTCCCTAGGTAGATCTAGTCCACAAAAGCTATCAATTCATTTTGTAATTTTTTTCTATGCTTGGCCCCCACAACGACCAAGTCAAGAATTTGATAGGAGCCAAAGTCATCATGAATTTGGTTGGATATTGGTTTCGTAGTCTGTATTCTCTTAATGGCCATTTCTAGAGGATAAAATTACAGCACCAAATTACTTGGGTGTGTAAATTTCACAAAATGCCGAGTCTTCCAATCACACCAATCGCATACACTGGAACAACAAAAGGAGGCTATTTTCCTTCCAAACATAACCAAACAGATACAGCATAGGAAGAATATGTGTCGACATGGCTACAGAAGAAAGACAATTTACATTTAGTAATTTAAACAGAATACATTTAGACATAAACCAGACACCAGATGCCAAAATATGAACATGACAGGATTCTTCATCAATATAAATTTCTGAATCCCCCAACTTCACAAAATTCCATGAAGAACCTGCAAATTCTATATTCACAAATTACTGTAAAAACAATCTTCTAGATACTTGCTTTTCACATAACGATCAGTTGAGGAAGGAAAAGGAAGATAGCTATCTAGCTTGTTGGTCAAAATCTTCTGAGATGTTGAACAAAAACTGAGGTAGAGATGCTATTCGGGGAAGATTAAGCAGCAACTCACCCACTGAATCCTTCCTGGACATGGCTGGTGCCTTCTTGCGACCAGAGATATTGCTCGACTCTCCCTCAGGCGTGGTAAAATCTTCTGCAACGTTGCTTTCACCAGCTGATTCAGATATGGAGTTTGGATCACTTACTCTCTTGTCTGTCATTGCATCAGAACCATTATCACTTATAATCTGCAAATTTTTAATAGCTGTAGGATCCTTTTGCAGAAGGCAGCAAAGAGAATTGACCCTTGACATTATGCATTGCTCGTCAGAAGTTGATGCATGTTGAGAGTCACTGAACAAGCACCGGCTAATCTCCTCCAAAATTTCCAAGCTTGGTTCTTCATCATTGGAAAGGATAAAATTGTTGGATGTTCCCTGTTCCAAAAGCCGATGCTCAAACAGGCTTACTAGATCACTCATCGACATTGAGGGATGGAGCCCAGATACTTTATTCTGATCTTGATCTATGAGCCTCTTCAGTTCCTCAGCTCTGCTGCTTCTAATTTCTTCGATTACATGGGTGTCCATTACTGATCACAAGAATTATTAATTAGAGAAATTACAGTTGGAAGGTAGATTCTTATCAAAATACAATTAAAAAAGGCTCCATTCACTTATTTTGTCTAGTTGGAATATTAATAAATTTTCAGGCCATTTTGCCTTTTGTGGACAAGACAACGAGCTGTGAATCCAATAATAGAAGTAAAAACTTCAGGTTGTTTAGTTTAGTTTTCTGGAAACAATTTTCCATTATTAGAGAAATAGAAAATAGAATGTACGAAAACTCATTTCTTCTTTTCCGAGTCAAGAAATAAGGCATGTTCTCTGAGAATAGTCCTTTATGGATTTCTGAGAACAATTTTCTGTTTTCAGAATTCTTGAGAGCTCTTTACAAAGAACTGAATCAAATAGCCCCTGATTTCTATGCTTCATTTCACAGTAGTATTTTGTCAATTCCGAAGAAAAAGAAGAAATCCCTCTCAATTCAATCTCATGGAAAATAAATTCAGTGGTCAAGTGTGATAGAGAAACCAAAGATACATGCAATGTCATAACATGCTTTCACATTTACTATTGCTGGATAAAAACTGCACATAGCTATTGACGTGAATGGCAAAACAACCCATCTTACCTGACAAATTTTGTTATAGAATTTCAACCCTCTAAGATCTGTAAATAAAATTTACATATATATATACACACACGATACATACAGTCATATATATAACATGAACTCAAAGGATGTGGAATAAAAGTATTGGAAAAATTACACCAAAGCCCCAATACACTAATTTCTATGAAAATGACAGAGATATAGAGGGCAGAGAAACATTCATATATATATATATCATTACTGCCTTGTTCTCTCTATATAGGGCTGAGATACCACTCTAGTACTGTGGTAGTGGTACTGTGTCTCCAGACTGCCTCTTTAATTTTCTAAAAAATAACAGATATAGAGGTAATATCATCCTGTGTTCATTGATCTAAATTATGTCCTGTTCAAGGATTATAAGTCAGGCCCTTTCTCTATTCTTAGGTTCCAGCTTTCTAATTGAATTATTGCATATATTTCAAAAGTATCTGAAAAAGAACATATACAAATATGTCTCTTTAAGTGAGAAATAAAATAAATTCCATGACAAGTTATGCTCTTTTAGGATGATCCTTATGAAATCCAGGTTTAAAAACAAGCCAAGTGAGCCACAAAAGTGCTGGCTCAAGCTGTTCATGAATGGCGCGGTTCATTTGCAGCACTATCAAACTATGTTCAGACCATGTATCAACTTCTATATTTCCTATCTTATATTGTACACTTTGATATTTTAAAATTAACTGAATATAGAAAAACAAATACAAAAAAAAAAATGTATGCTTTGCCGATGATACTGTTTTAGTCGATGAGACTAGAGGAGCAGTTAATGCCAAATCGGAGGTTTGGAAAGAAGCTTTAGAATTAAAAGGTTTAAGATAAGTAGAAATAAAACTGAATACATCGAGTGTAACTATAGTAAATATAGAAATAAAAATGAGGATGTAGTGCGGATTGAGAATCAAGAGGTACAAAAAAGTGAACATTTACATTATTTAGGTTCACTTATTCATAATGGAGAAATTGGCGATGACGCAGAATGTTGGGCAATTAGGAAACAACATCTACATAAACTGACTGGTGGAAATGTGAATGTTGAAATGACCACATTCGGGAGATTGTGGGAGTATCATAAATTGGAGATAAAATGAGAAAAAATCGGTTAAGATGGTCACATGTGCAAAGAAGACCTCTAAATGTGCCAGTTAGGATGAAAGACATAGTCCACATTAAGGGTAATAGTTGGGGAAGAAGAGCACTAAAGTTAACATGGATTGAGTTAGTAAAGGAGGATCTGACCACATTCTGCAACGTTGCTTTAACCAGCTGATTCAGATATGGAGTTCAGGTTTAAGACATAAAACTATAACATTAGAATCCATCAGCTCAATAATATCAATTAAGGAACCCAAATAGTTGAGAACTTATTGAATAGTGATGCATAATAACTGGAGGATGGTGCTGTTGTACATGGAAAAGGCTAATGTTTTTAGTGAGGGGGCAAGGGAAAGGGAAAAGGAAAAAAGACTCCCATAGTCCTATCTGTAGACCATGTTTTGATGCTTTTAAACCAGAAATTTGCTTTGAATGCTCAGAGAGAGAGAGAGAGAGGGGCAATCAGTCCTGTCTTACTGGGGTGGTGGGAAAAAAACAGAGGTGGAGGAGAAACGATGAATGGCACTTGGATACAAAGTAAATTGGTTCCCTCCATCAAGGGAAATTTTTGTTCTAAAGAGTCTTCTTTAAACCAAACTCCATGCAGGCATAGATTGGATTTTCAAGATTGAAATATTTTTTTCATGGTTTTGGATGTGCAAATAATACTGCAGGTTATACCAACTTGAGAATTTCTCTGAGTGGCTTTTCGTAATTTTCTAAGTTTGTAATAACATAAAAGGATTGGCTTTAAATAAGAGTGGGAAAGCGTGCCTGGCTAAGAAGCATGGACCTGCATACGGGACAAGGACACAACACGACACAGATTCGCCGACACGTCGCTCTCAAAAAAAGTAGGATACGGACAAGGCATGGACACGACTAATATAAATATAAATATTTATTTATATCTCTATTGAAAAAGATAATTACTTAACTTTAATTAATTTATATTTCTAATATAAAGTTATATACGTTAGAAATTGAAGCTATTTGGATATCAAAAGGAATATATTATATTATATATAATATTACTATCTTATCTTGTCATTATAGTTATGTTTTTCTCATTAGATACTTTGACATGTGTTTAATGTCATTATAGGAGTATATTTTATTATATATGATATTACTAACAATAGAGCAGTTATATTTTCTGATGGTTTCATGTTGAGTTTAAATTCTTTTGAATAAAGTGTTCATTATTTGTGGAAAATCAATGATAACCATTAAAATGAAAGATCAAAACAGATATTTGTAAATTGTGAGCATGCGCCATCAACCAAACCCATCCAAAATTCTAGAAAGGGGAAAAGGAGGAGGAATAAAAGATGAAAACAACAAATAAAAAATTGGCCAAAAGGCTTGAAATAGCCAAAAAAAATATAAAAGCCATGGACTTAAGAATAACAAGTAGATTAATATCCTGATGTTTACCATGGTTTTGAATTCCAAGTTCATAATATTACCTGAGCTAGGTGAAGGTGTTTCTCGGGGAAAATGTTCTGGAGGTCTACCAACAGGATCATGTTGTTCATTCTTTGAGGAAGAAGATTGAAATCCAGATGGTGATGCAGCATCTTGCAAATCGAAGTAGTTGGACCCCTCACTATTCAAATTGAACAAATCTTTCACTTCATTTGACTCATCAAATACAGAAAGTTTAGGCTCGAAATATGGAGATTCCAATACTATGTCGGCCTGTTGACTCAGAAAGTTGAGACGAGGATCACATTGAATAAGCTTTTCAAAATGCTTTCCCAACAAGCCTTGTGGGCACTGCAGAAAATGGCGCCTGCACCAAAATTAAGAGTCCCATACCATTACTCCAAAGGAATATAAGAAATGCAAAACATTTAGAAATGGTATTGATGAAAGCTGCTTCTCCGACCTGACAAATTAAATATCATATGCAATTTCAAAAGCGTCTTAAGATGCTAAGAAGGCCCTTGGCTCATTTTAGATGCTAAAGAAATAACATAGAAGGCATGCACAATGCATCAAGTTAAGAAACCTAGCAATATTATTTACAAAGGAATAAGGAAATTTGATAATTCTGCACCTTGTGGTGTGGAAGGAATTTAAAAATATTTGACTTGGATTTTTAATGAACAATCGTCAATATATCATTATTAAGGAAAGAGAGAGAGAGAGAGAGAAAGAACTACTCAACAATAGGAAATCACATGTACAGAGGAAATATACACTATTAGACACATCCTAGGGGGGAGACATTGATGAAAGTTTGGAGAGAACAACCAACAAAGGCAAGAATATTACCCCTCTAAAACTCATCAACAATTTGAGCTCACCACCACAAGTTACAAGAAAATCTCTTTACCTGTGTTAACGGATTATTTGTAAGTACTGCTGAAAGCTTAGAGAGAATGGAGTCCGTGAAGAAGGTCGCACAAATATTTTTTCCTAAAATACAGATTGATTGCTGATTGACCTACCTCATGCAGAGAGACCCTGGTATTACGAGTTAATTGTTAATAACTTGATGGCAATTTTCCAATCACATGTATTGGTAGAATCAACAAGATCTCACCAATAGATGAGTAGAAAGAGTGGTGGTAAAAATACAAGAAGACTGAAGAAGAAGATTATAGAAGACAAACCAATAAAAGAGGATGTGACAAGAGGGAAAGCCCAACACACCTTTCAAAAATCATAAGTGAAGCGTATTTGTATATGTTGAAAGGTGGCCAGAGGAAGAGAAAGACGGAGACAAAGAAACTAAGAGACAAAGGTATCTTTTATACCTCTCGTACTTTACAAATGTATATTTACAACACCAACCAACAAAGCCATAATCCAAAAACAAAAAATCAACTACATAAATCCTTCTCCAATAAAGACTACTAAATAAAGCAACATCCCTCATAAAACATTGTCTATTGTCTCTTTTCTTTGAGTTTGAGAGACATACATACAAAAAAAGAAGTTCCATTCAATCACTTAAGTAGTCCCTGCATTCTTGAACCTCAAAAATGTTGATACAATATGAAAACCATGTGCCTAGAGATCTACAGTTCTATATTGAAGAAGAAGTCGTCCATTCCATGCAGTCTACCCTAAAATAAGGAAAATTGCACCAAACTTGCCTTCTAATACAAAACACATTCAAGTTTTCTTTTTGTTCTCTTCCAATTGTCTTATATAAAATCTCATGCATCTAGCTGTAATTCAGATTTACTATTAAACCATTTGATTTGGATTAAGATTAGATGGATGCATAATTCATTATCTTTTAAACATTTTTAAGATTTCAATTATAAGAAAATATGAAAATGAAATAATAGATGATGATGGTGATTGGTCTAGAACTCTAGATAATTAGCAAGCTAAGACATGTGGCAATGGGAAGATAATGTTTTCTGGTATAGAAACATATTAGTGAATAGAATGTCAACAATGACCTAAAGCTTTTGTAAAGTACCTGTTTATGCTTGCCTGTCCACCAGTAAAATCTGATGTTGCCTGCCATAAAGTGTGCTTCCTGGGTTGCGGATTGGTCTCCCTGAAGAAAAGAGGTTGCCTAGTAAGCTGCACCAGAGATGAACACACCCTTTTGTTATTATAGCAAAAGTAGTACCAGCAGTAATGATAAAAACAACAACAATGACTATTACATTACAAAATGAACAACAATAACGGTAACATGGACTACTACATTACAAAACGGCAATTACCACTACATCCAAAGTCCCGGGTCCATCATCAGGGTAATTTGCCTTCAAAGCCATGATGTCAGACCACTGTATTTCTATCTTATTCTTCAAACCACCATCAAGAACCTCCCATACAAGCTTATGCTTTGCAAAGTAACACTTTGCCACTAAGTCTCCTTCATATCTTGATTTATACTGCAGTTCAATACAATTTAGTTTAACATAAGGTTATGCACAAGGCAAAAATAATGCACTTTTAATTACAAGATGGTCCAAACCAATAGCGACTATACCTCCCAAGTCCCAATCCTTAGAAATGAGGCAGTAAAGTTTGAAGCCTTGAGCTTATCAGTAGTGCCAGAAGAAGCAATGCCCTTTTGCTCTTTCTTCACTTGGATTCCAACATTAGAAGCATTTCCTTGCGAGAGTTTCATTTGGATCAAATCCAAAAGTGATGGGCTCTTCTTGAGCCGCAAACCCAATGGACTGGGATCATCAAGAGGATTATATTGTGATGGAGGTACTGGAAAAGCACCAGTTCCCAAATTACACTGCTGCTGACAACAAAGTTAAAATAGACAGATCAGTTTACAATAAAACCAACAAAACCATATCTACTATTATTAACCAAACATATTAAATGAAAAGTAAAGCAAAACGTGGAAAGAATAATAACAATAATAGAGCGCAGAGATGGTTAATTTTCAATCTGCATCGTTTCTAAAATCATCCATCATATAGAAGGGAAAACAGAAAAGGAAAAAATTCCAAGTAATGACTAGAGACTTACAAATTTTAACAGTTTTTTGCTACAAGGATCCAAAATCTATCTTCTAAAACAACAAACAGAAATCCTCAACCCTCGGTTTGTTTGAACAGAAAATTAATTCCCTTTTTTTTTTTTTTCTGCAAGTTAGAAAAGAATCCAAAGAGTAAAATGATATTATTTCCGAACGTGAAGTGATAAACCGTCATAAAAATTTCCCCAACCCTCACTATAAGATTAGAATCGAGACAGTTAGAAAAGAATCCAAAGATTAAAATGATATTATTTCCGAACGTGAAGTGATAAAACGCGATAAAAATTTCCCCAACCCTCACTATAAGATTAGAATCGAGACAGATGGAGTTTACTCACAAAATCAATTCCACAAACTTTTTTTCCCAGAAAACTAGATTTCATCGAAACAAACGGAGCCCAAAGAAATTGGAATTTGATTTACCAAAACAAAACCTAATTTATTTCACGCACATATATATCAACAAAAACCATCAGTCCACAATAGAAACACACACACGCATAAGAGAGAGATCAAACCGGTGAAGGAGAGGGAAGCTTAGATCGCTTGTTGAAGGGTCCATGTTGGTCCTCTATTAAGTCCTCCAGCTCCCGCTTCACAGGAACCATTTTCCGGCTCTGCGATTCAGATTCCGGCCTTCTCTTGCCAGAATTCATCAACTGAACCATCAAACTTCCGATCAAACAAAACCCTAAAACCTAGCACACCCAAACAAATTATCCAGAAAATCTAAGGTCGGCGAGTCAACTCGGAGAATCACAACGAAAGAAACCCTCGAAAGCTACTGCTACAAGACACAAATCAAATCAACAACGCAACGCAAAAGCTTCGAAGTTTTTAACTCAGCTCAGTGGACCACTCTCTCACGTGCCACCACCTCAAACCTCACGCGTTTCCAAGAGCTCTCTCACGTGCGAGGTGGGTGGTGAATCTGACGTCAGTAATTTTGGCATATATGGGTCCCATCTCTCGGGAAGCTTCGGAGGGTATGTGGTTTTCTTTAAAAGGACGGCATTGATTGAGTGATGGAACACGTGGCACCGCATACCGTTGACACGTATGATTATTATATTCGTCTTTTTTTCTGAAATTATTATATTAGTTTACCTATGTGGATTTGTGGATAATGTTTTGCATGATTGTGATTTTGTCGTCTTCTGGTCCTAGTAACATGCGTGTCTGTGCTGCTTTTCTGGCAGCTCAATGTTCACGCGCAGCCTTTTGGTGGTCAAACAAAATTGAGAAGCTTTGTTTTTATACCCAAACTCGAATTACTATTTTTTTTTAATAATAAAAATGGCCTTAAATTTCAAAGTTAAGGTGTAAGATTGTTTTTCAATCAACGTGATAACTATTTAGCTAATCATTTTAAAAGAACAGAAATTATATATTATTGTATTGATTAAGATCTTTTTTTGTTAACAAACATTAGAGAGTCTCACAAAAATAATAATAATAGAGTATTACAACATTATTCATTTTCGTGTAAGTAAATTTTAAATTAGATAATTATGCTATTTATTTTTATTTAAAAAAATCAAGTGAGTAAAAGGTCAAAAGAAAGGTAAAGTCCATTTTAACATGTTTAGCTTTTATTTTTGACGTTATTAATACTCACGAAAAGATCTATTCATACATTAATCGGAGAGTATTGATAACTTGCATTAATTCAAAAAATTTGATTGATTATTTAATGCGCAATATAAGTAAGTGGAGGTCTCATTTCCTTATTTATTACATAGATGATTTAATAAAAGTAAGTAAGTCTGATGATTCATTATAATAAAATAATGCATTACACATTTCATATTAAATGCATGAATCAAGGAATTATAAAAATAGACTACCATATTGAGTACATGTTGCATTAATTAAGGAGTATTAATTAAGGAGATTCAAATTTGAAATGAAACGTGCAATACCATATTGTCTTGGTCCGTAGTCCATGGTCCATATAAAGGCAGGCCTCTAATTGGTCCTGGAAACTAACAAAAGCTGACAAATGAAATATACCATGATCCAAACCCACTAATCTGGGCCTAAGCTTAAACTGGAAGGCCTACTGGCCCACCCGATGACCGGGCCTGAAGTTTTTTATTTTTATCATTTTATCAAGTAGTTAGTGAATATATGGCATTTACAAGTAAACTAATTGATAGAGCGCGGAGCTGTCCCGAAAAAGAAAAAAAAAAAAAAAAAAACAGTAAGAAAAAAAGTAGTTAGTGAATCAAAATTGTATTTTTATTGAGAACCTGAACTATTGTAAATACAAAATTAATTAATAATTTAGATCAGCCCTTTTGAATAATTCAGCAAGTGTATGGCGTGTTTTTTTTATGATTTTCTTGTATCACGTACAGTAAAAGAGAAGTATAACTTCTCTTTTACTTAGTTTTTTTTTTGTTTTTTTTATTTTTTTTAATGTTGTAATTCTTAAAAAGAGAGCAGTTAAAAGGTGGTCAAAAGATAGTCAAAGGAAAAGAGAAGATAACAAATGGAGAGAGGAAGAGAGAGTTGAAATGACCGATGGGCCATTAGCTCAACTGCTGAAACTGCTCAAAGGGGGAGGTGAGTGCTCGAGCTCATAGTAGACGTGTGTGTTTGTGTGTGTGTGTGTGTTCACCTAATTGAGAGAGACAGAGAGAGTTGAAATGAAAAAGATTAGGAGCCAAAGTTTAAGATTGTGAGGGCTTTTTTGGAATTTCAAAATTATATATTTGTATGTAAAAAGAAAAAAAAGTAAGTTAAGTGAGAGCAAGTGTTTTATTGGGTCTTATTTCGAGTCCCTGTGTGTGTGTGTGTGTGTGTGTGTGTGTGTTCACCTAATTGAGAGAGACACAGAGTTGAAATGAAAAAGATTAGGAGCCAAAGTTTAAAATTGTGAGGGCTTTTTTGGAATTGCAAAATTATATATTTGTATGTAAAAAGAAAAAAAGTAAGTTAAGTGAGAGCAAGTGTTTTTATTGGGTCTTATTTCGAGTCCCTTTTCCCTTGTTTGTCAAAAATATATATATCACTCTAAATATATTTAGTCCATCTCCTAATTAACACGCTTAATCAAAGCATAAAATTACTATATGGTCGTTCATTTTCTTTTATTATTATCCATATTTCTTCCGAATGCATGTAATCTAAATTAGACGAGTACGATCCATGGTCATAGTACCTAATAAATAATACAAAATTATATTTATATATAATTTTTTAATTTTTTTATAAATTTCTTTCCTTAAAATTATACGCACTTTCGATTATATATCATAGCATATAAGAGAATGTTATTGTCTGTCATGTTGATGCAAAGGTGAAAATAAACCGAAAGTCCTTATCTAATTTCTTAGTAAAATTTGAGTATGAAGTTGAGATAATGATGATTGTGCTTAGGAAAATATTTAATGTCATCAATGGATAGAGACCGTAACTAGATATTTTCGCTATGCTATAATGAAGTCTGATAAGGATTGGTGTTTGTGGGCCAAATATTTGAGATTGAAAGTCCTCTCAAACAGTAGTATTTGCGATATTATTTCAAGTCTTTAAATTACACAACATATATTTTCTATACCCGTGAGCCACAATGTGATTGTCTTTTTTTTGACATTTGTAGATTTGTAGTTTAATGAGGCATATATAGGCATATACATATACATACATATATATATATATATGTATGTGTGTGTGTGTATGTATGTGCGCGCTATATTAATGCTTCTTAAATAAATTAGGGTTCTGTTAAAAATTAAACAGTACATGATATTGACTTATATTTATAGTCCACTTGCATGTCTCACTGTCACACTAAGTTTTCCACCCAACTCTGCATATATGGAAACACTTACCAATTTTCAAGTAATAAATCACAGCTACTCAACGTCAGAGTCTAATAAATAAATAATCCATATTGTCTTAAAAAAAAAAAATTAATTGCATTTCTACTAAACAAGTGATTTTCAATTTAAAATATTTTGTTTCATGTTTTTAATTAATTATAAAATGTTTCACATCATTTTTTATACAAATAAAAGTAGCTTACAACAAAATCATAAAAAGAATTACGGATTTTTTGAGGTTATACTCAAAAGTACCCAAATGCCACTAATCATATGAATATACCATGTGAAAGGGGTTGACAAGTATATACATAATCACATATGGCCATTTCTTATGATATTTTTTTTCTGAGTAAACAAATTATTTTTGAAATGTCAACCACACACTGAAAAATAAACAGAAAAAAAATCTTTTTATATAATATATTAATTAATGCCCTATTAAAAAGACTCTGTACACCACCCATCAAATTAATGGGTACATCCTAGCTACCTTCCTTTTTTTCCCATCACATAAAGAAACCTAGCTAACAGAGTACTTGAGACTGTGTGTATATGAGACAAAGGGACAACCATACGGTCCCTCTCTGTCTCTGTCTCTGTCTCTCTCTCTCTCTCTAAAAGTCTAACCTTACCTGTGTGTGTGTGGGTGTGGGTAATTAAGTTGTGACAGTTGATTCCGTGAAGTGGTGAGTCCTTGTCTTTAGAAGCTGAAATTAACCAATAAAATCATAGTAAATTCCATATGTATATTTTATATATATTGTTTGTTGATGAAGATGAAGTAGCCCACCCAGAAAGTGAGTGCTTGATATCTTTGCAAGTATGATCTGCACGTGAAACTCCAATAATTTCTCATGCAACAGTGGGTCCTCAAGCCAGCCCTTCCCTTTTGTTCTCATTCCAAACTACAACTACAAAGAATCTCCTCCTCCTCCTCTCTCTCTCTCTCTCACACACACACACAGTGTCTAGTTTTTCTTCTCCTCCTCCTCTCTCCAACCCATCTCTTATCTTCTTTCTAATAATATCGACAACAATGGTGGAACCAATTACATCTCCTTTGCCATTGATGGTTTCAGTTTTTCTCCTTGTAATTCCCCTAATCTGCACTACTACTACTCTTAATGTTTATGGGGTTTACAGTTTTGGAGAGAAGACAGCCCTCCCATTGCACAAATTTCAATGGAAGCACTACACTACCATCCCAACTTGCTTTACTCACAAATCAGGTATAGTGGTGTCATTGGCTTTTCTTAACTTTATTTATCTTTTTATTTAAATTTCTTATCTACATCTGCTTTTTTTTGCTTTATGCAACACCCTCCGTGTGTGTGAGGTGTACAATGTCAGCTTAAGATAAGGGTAATCAAGGTTGTTCTACAATCAAATGGTGATGATGAATTAGTGCTTTAAAATAATAACAATAAAGATATAAGCAAGAGTTAGATTGATTGAAGTTCAAAGTTATTTTTGATAGAAAACGATAATGCTATGTTTGGGGTACCGAATCGGCACGGTGGATTTGGAAATTGAGGAAATTAGAACTAAATTTCATTCAATTTCGAATTCAAGGCCCTGATTCAGCCCTCATCCAATTTCAATTTTATGGTTTTAGTGGTAGGGTTGGTATATAATAGTTTTAGGATCAGAAGGTCAAGGGTTTGGAGATAATGGTTCAGAAATGCTAGTTGTGACTGTTGAATGTGCAATGTGGGGCTCAGATTCAAAACAATCACTGGAGTCTCATTAAGACTTCAGCTAGTAGACTAGTCTCACTTTACAAGAAGTAACGAGTCTCACATTATAAGATACTACAAATTTCTGAAGAACTTACATTGATCAAATTTGTTCTGTCTGTCTACAAAAGATTTGGTTATGCCATATAGAAACTTTCAGTAGACAAAGAATTTCTACAATGTGTAAGATCTTTCTACAATATATTTAAAATTTCTACACTATATTTCTACAATATGTAATTTCTAGAATTTCTACAATATATATAAAATTTGTTATACTATATACAATCATTATAAACAAGCCAGACCTTTGAAGCAAAATTCATAATCAAAAAGTGGTTTAGACTATAAACAAAGACACTAGTACTCTTTGATCAGCTAATTACTTTTGTCCAAAAAAAAAAAAAAGACAATAGTACTAAATAAGGGACACCCAATATCTTAATTCACCTAAATACTGTTATTTCAGAAAATCATAAAAAGAAATAGTTTACAATCATATCACACTTATAGTGGGACCAATTGATCTCTCTATGATCAGCTAATCACTTTTTAGGATAAAGCTTCTCTCTTAGCTTTATTTTTGTTTCATCTATATTAGGTTTGCTATCTAATTTTAGCATATGTATGGTAATATTAGATTATTAGTCATGTGTTGGCAGCATTTAATTGTCTGGGTCAACGTATATCATAAAAGAGAAAACTTGATCTTTAATTAGTACTATTATCTTCTGAGCTTGCTTAACTATCTTCACAGCTTGATAGAATAATTTAATACAAATATATCACTTGTAATCAAATCTTTTTGAGACAAGACTATGGTACTTTAGAGTCATAAAACTGGGTTCTCATTTTTCTGAACTTTTAGCGAGACAAAATGGCGCGACTATATTGGAAATGAAGCACAAAGATTACTGCTCTGGACCCATAAATGATTGGAACAAGAGGCTTCAAAAACACTTGATTTCTGACGATATTCGAGTTAAATCACTGCAAACCCGAATGAGAAGCAGAGTTTATGGCCAAATTGAAGACCTTTCTGAAACTCGAATCCCTCTAATTTCTGGTCTAAAACTTCAGACACTAAACTACATTGTCACAGTTCAATTGGGTGGTCGAAATATGACAGTAATTGTTGACACAGGAAGTGATCTTACTTGGATTCAATGTCAACCTTGCAAACTGTGTTACAGCCAACAGGATCCTCTCTTCAACCCCTCCTCGTCTCCTTCATATCAGTCTGTTCCATGCAGTTCACCAACTTGTCAGTCTCTAGAATCTGCTACGGGAAATTCAGGAGTGTGTGGGACTGATCCACCAGTCTGTAACTATGCTGTTAGCTATGGTGATGGGTCATACACTCACGGGGAGCTAGCTCGTGATCATCTCAATCTCGGGACAACTCCCATTAATGATTTTGTATTCGGGTGTGGCCAGGATAACAAAGGTCTCTTTGGGGGAGCTTCAGGTCTTATGGGACTTGGAAGGAGTGAACTCTCATTGATTTCTCAAACATCCACCGTTTTTGGTGGAGTTTTCTCCTATTGCTTGCCTTCATCTGGAGCCGAGGCTTCAGGTTCGCTAACTTTGGGCGGTGATTCTTCCGTTTACAAGAATTCTACACCCATTTCCTACACTAGAATGGTCCCTGATCCACTACTCTCCAGCTTCTATTTTCTCAACATTACAGGAGTTAGCATTGGTGGGGTGGCTTTAAAAGCTTCAAGTTTTGGTAATGGTGGAATTTTAATCGATTCCGGGACTGTCATTACCAGGCTTCCGCCATCACTTTATACAGCTCTAAAAGCCGAGTTTCTGAAACAATTTTCAGGGTTTCCTACAGCACCAGGATTTTCAATCCTGGATACTTGCTTTGACCTTTCTGGTTTTGAGGAAGTGAACATTCCCACAATAAGGATGCACTTTGAGGGCAATGCTGAACTGAATGTGGATGTAAATGGGATCTTCTATTTTGTAAAGACTGATGCATCTCAGGTCTGTTTGGCCCTTGCTAGCCTCTCGTACGAAGACGAGATCGCGATTATTGGAAATTATCAGCAAAGAAACCTAAGGGTTATATATGATTCTAAGGATTCTAAGGTGGGATTTGCAAAAGAGACTTGCACTTTCATGTGAACAAAGATTGGTATGGTTGTGTCTTTGTGAATATATTCGTTTGGAAGTGAAGCCAAGTGACTCCTTGGCAACATGTGGAGTCTTCCAAACAGTAATATTATCTGTTCTCATATATAGATATCTATTATTACTTATGGGGGGATGGTATAGCAAATATGAATGCAATTTTTGGTGATTTTTGAGTGTTTGAATGTAATAATATAATTCTATGATTCAGAGGGGGATAAGGGGATAAACATTTGAATTGTATATTCATTGCAGTAAAGTTTGTATCAGTTTGTTTGTGTATTTGTGAAAAACAATTTATGTAGCTACATGGGGAACTCTGCTCTTAAGATTCCAGGAAATTTTCGTTTCTTTCCCTCCACTTTCTTAGAAATCAAACACAGATTCAACAAACTAATATGTGTACAAAGTACGGAAACAAATGCAGGAAAAGATAAAGGGAATTTGTTTTACCTTGATTCACAACAGATTGGATGCTAACTCATCTTGGAATGGGCAATATTTTTGCAGCTAAGAAGGAATCTGTAAGGATTTGCAGAACTGATACACAGATAACGAACATGTTCCGGCCCACCATTGGAATTTCTCGTATTTGGAGCTTCTGTTCTTTTCCTAGTGTATTGGAAAATAGAAAATCAAATAAAGAAAAGAAAGGAAAAATAATAATGTGCTTCAGTCTCTGCACTCCAGGTACAAAATGATTCCATTTGCTTGAAAAGCAATACAATAAGGCCAAAGCCAGAAAGGCTAGAGAATTCAAATCATTGTCAAACCAGAATTATCATATATTTGTATAAATAATGTTTACCCACTTGAGGGTATCCATGGAAGTAACTATGCTTCATAATATGTACAAGTATTCTATAGGATTAGAAGATGAAAACATTGTCCTGCACCCTACATTTACATCTTCAAAATTCAGGCTTCTATTGTATTGCATCAGAGTAACATGCACATGGGGTACAACTTGAAATATGACCATATCAAAACAGATAAATATGTAAAGAAATCCCAGTAATTAAAATCAAAAACTAGAATTTAGACATAGAATCACATAAATTTTAGGAGAAAAGCATATTAAATTAATAACCAATAAAATACGAGAAAGTAAATATGTCAAAACAAGGATATAGAGGAATGGCATAAAGGAAACCTGACATCGATCACTATAAAGCTTGCATAGAGCGCCCAGCTCTAGTCTTGCGGATGCTTCCTTCACCATTAACACAAGTACACCTTCTTATGTCCAATGGCAGAGGCCTATACAACAAAAACCTGAAAATAAAGTCCCAAATAGAATTTTTGTGCATAGTGCCATATATTTTAGAGAATATCCAGTTGCTGATTGATGAAATACAAAAGGATGTTAAACAAACCATGTTTGTGTTCTCCAAGTCATTGGGTCTCAAATTATTCAACCTTCAACGCCCCCACAATCGTGTAGAACAAATTTGGACATCTATAATTATGTATACACAGGCGCACATAAAATAAATATATGATCATATGATATAGATACATAACAGGAGCAAGATAACACACTAAGTACTTGGCCTCACCCTGGGAGAACGAACAAGAGAGAGTTGTTGCATTGCCTCCAAAGTTGTCATCCCGCAAGTTAATAATGTTGTGTTGCGAAAAAATGGACATGCAGGAAAGATAAGTTCAACTTACGATACTGGTACACAGACCATCCATTCCATATTAACTTATTTAAAAGCAATAAGAATTATAGGCTGAAACAATGATTTCACTCTTCCCTCTGCTATGCAAATGACCATAATAAAGGATCCGTGTTAAAATAAATTTTCTGTTTAATCACACAGAAAAGGAAGGACATATAACAAAAATCATCTCTCCCTTTTCAAATACATTACATTCACACATCATCTCTCTCTCAATAAGGAAGGCAGCATGGGTGGTAATCATGTTTATTTGTCCACACATCATCATCAACACCCCCTCCCCCTAATCCCCTCTTCTGGGGCATCATTGTTAGCATGATGCCTTGAGGAAAAACCACCAGTTCACTGCACGGAGTGAAAACAGCCTTAGAATGATGGAACCACAAACCTTCCGTACACTTGACAGGGTCACTGGATGACCGCGAAGCTTGGACAAATGTACATTGAACAGTCGTGTTGTACTAATACCTTGAGATGGCAGTCCCAGAATCCCCTTCACTTTTGTCACCAATAAACATCTCCTGGCAAATATACATGATAGAAGCCATCCTCAATCATTTTTCGGTCAGGCTCAAATTTGTGGCAGATTCATCTACCACTGGTCCGCATCCTAATTGTTAAACGTGTACAAGAGCAATTGGTAGCTCCTTACAAAGAGGCCGAGCCATGGAAAAGGCGGAACTTCAATTTCAGAACTCAGAATCCCCTTCTCAAACCTCGTAATCTATATCAGTATTATTCTGTGACGTTGATTGCTTAATCAGCCTTTCATGTTCATCATACTGATCAAAATTTTCACATGGGGGAGGGAAAATGCTACCAATCACACGGCCTTGAACAAAGGAGCATTGGAAGATGTGCTTCTTCTTGTATGTGATTCCCACTGACATGTTCCGGAAAGTGACATTTCTCACAGGAATCTCTCGGCTGCCGTAGATACGTACCGGCACACGAACTCCCTGACCATGTACTCCATTGAAGCTTATGTCCTCTAGAATCGGAAGGGCTCTGGGGTCAAAGCCTTCATCCGGGTGTTCATTGTAGTCTGTTTTTATCACAATCCCCACTCGAACATTTTCCAATGTCAGGTTCCGGTAGGTTATATTTCGAACATATCCACCTCTGCCAGGGCTGGTTTTAATTCGAACAGCCCTTCTCGAGTTCCATACATGGAGATTCTCAATACTGATGTTTGAGACTCCACCGGACATCTCACTGCCTATTGATACTCCAGCACTGTTAAATTTTGAAGAACAGAGAATTCAGTGAACATGTTCAACATAGAAAAATTTGAGAGAGTAAGGAAACATTATGAAGTGTCCTATATTACATGAACATCACCATCCTGATTTGTTGGAACATTTTCAACCATATTCAAGCAGCACATCTAAAGCAACAAACTAGTTTATATGAATGCTGCTCCACCCCAAAGTAAAGTAACTGACAAATAAACAGAGATATTTATGTGTTACGATAGAATGACAACCACTTTAAGGCCACAACCACCCATGCCCATCCTACTCTTTTTAAATGAGAAATTCCAGATAATATATGTTTCAAAATAAGAAGTGATGCTACTTATCAAAAAAAATAAATAAATAAGAAGTGATTCTCAGTAACACTCAAGAATGGGGGAGAAGTTCAAACTACAAGAGTCGCTCAGGGTCACCAAGAATAGGTAATGAACCGCAGCATCTTTCTGAAAATGTATGGCCATGGTCGTAGTAACTAACCTCAAATAATATTTGGGTTATACCAGGAAATGATTCGAGAAGAATAGGGCAGTAGATGAACCGAGCTAATCAAGGTGAGCTTGCATATTCTTGCTCCATTATCAAGCTAAAAGCTAGAACATGGTCATACTAGGCTCAGCAAGGCTGGCTAATTTGCAGCCTTAGAGAAGAAACTTGAGCGGGAAAATAGCGATGGAAGTCATGAAGGAGCAATTAGAGGGGGAAACATGATATCAGGTTCCAAATTACTTGGACCATGAAACTCCCTAAGAAATTTCACCATTTATTAGAAAATATAAATAATTAGAAATTTCACCAGTTATTGGAAAATATAAATAATTAGAAATTTCACCAGTTATTGGAAAATATAGATAATTCATGACAAAATTTTTATTGGATAGAATGGAAAATAATTTAAATAGGAGTGCTGAGAATGCTAGATGACCAAGTACGTATAGTTTAACAATTGGGAGAATTCTGTTGCACAAAACTATGACAGCAAGCACACACAAGCATCATGTATGCTATAATTTTAGTTTGTTTTAAATCTATAGAGAAAACATACGCAACGTCCCAGACGCCAGAAGACAATAGAAGCAAATGCACAAACTGAACTGAAATTAAAATATAGAAGAACTCTCACCTTATAACGGAGCGTACTATGAGATTACGAATGATAATGTTAGTTGAAGGCCGGCCATATGCAATGCCATACTGATCCCAACCACTCTTTATTGCTACTCCATCATCCCCCACACTTATATAACAGTCCTCTATCACCATATTTTCGCATGAATCTGCATAAGCCACCAACACCGACTTCAACTTCAAATGGTAAATAAATAATAAATAAATAAATAAAAACTAATACAATAAAATTAGGTCATCAATTTTAGCAATGCTAATCTGTATGAAAGATGAACATTATTATAGCCCTGCGGTACAGTCCATCTCTATAACTAGTATCACATTCATAGAAAACTAAAAACTCTGTGGTTCTTCGATCACCATCTTCCTACAACCCACCTTCAAACCTATCCTACAATCCATCCTCAAACCTATTAACATGTTCCAACTTGCCATTCCAAGGGGATTCCACTGATAGGTAGAACTTATGGGATGAAGTAGTTAAGCATCACTAAGTTTTTTTAAGCAGTTGATCTAATACCCATTCGAATAATTTATGCATCTTATAACTTCGGTCAATTATTTACAACTGTTCATAATCAAGAATTTGGGATATCCAAAAATAAGCAATCAAAATATTATTATTTTTTATATAATCAAAAGATCACAGTGAACTACTACATATATATTAAACCATGCTCCCGTTTCAGTAGCCATATTACCAACAGTCTCAAAGAAAAATTCTAGGCTACAAATAATACTACGGATACAAGAATATGGTAACCCACACTCTATTGTTCTTCCTATCCTTCCAGCACAATCCCCCCACATGTTCAATTATTTCACCTGTACAATTTAACTGTTCTTTTCTTAAACGCATTCTCTATAGATATTTCTGAAAAATCTAAATCACATGACTTTTAGCCTATGAAACACAGCTACGGACAAGGGACACAGATACAAAAATGATACAGAGACAGGACACGGATACGACACGAATACGAACATGAAGTTACGACAAATCTAAAAAAAACTCAGACACAGCAGGATACATCAATAAAATAATAATATGATATATTATTATATATATATACAAGAAATTAATTTTTACTCATTTTATCCAAATTATCATAAATATAATCACTAATTTGGACTCAAAGTTGAAGGGGTGTTTTTTTTTTTATAACTTTATATTCTATTACATGGACTCTTCAAAAGTAGTGAAGTAGCCATGTCGGACACATATCCCTCGGACATGGGTATGGGATATGTGTCCGACACTTTTGGTTGGACATGTACTTAAAAAGCATATCCAATCATTCAATTACATTATATTATTACTTTTAAATGAGTTATATGCCTATATTGAACATTATATTAGATAAAAACATTACTTTACTCTAGAAAATAAAATAAAATAATTAATAAAATGAATATTTAGCCGTGTCCGTGTGTCCTTCTATTTGGAGATTTGACACGTCCGATGCCCGGATACATAACCGTGCCCGAGACCCGTACCCGAGTCCATATAACATTAACTTTATATTAATTTTAATCATATCTTTTAAAATTGAATTAGAACCCCTTTATTAAAAATAATTCCAAAATTACTCTCACTGTGTCCTACAAGTGTCCCAAGCATGTCTTTCACGCATCCCCACCATGTAAATTGTAAACTGAACTGAGAAGACACAGAGTTATATACTCTTTCATGCACTCCCTGCTCAGCCACCTATGGAAGATAAAAAAAAACTCTAGGACCTTTCTAGGCGTGTCAGACACATGTCCAACCATTCCATGCATGTCCAACACCGCCTTGGGGCCCTCTAGAGGAATGCCAGTACTTCCTAGCTATTAGCAATTTTTCATCAACAACCCTACTACTCCAAAATTCGAGAGGAAAACTAGACTTTACTTTCTTTTTCAATTTGAATAACTAGACTTTAATTTCTCTTTTCAATTTGATAATGAATACAGCATCCACAAATTTTCCATGTAGTCAAATCTGAATAATTAGCATAATTGGACAAGATGTTTGTTGCTGATTATTAGTCTCTCAACTGCTTACTCAGAAAGTTTTCTAAGATGTACAATTCAAAACTACCTAGAGCTAGAGTAGTACCTTCTCCCCCCCACCAATACCATTAGACTGCCTTGATATATTTTGCTTAAAGAGTGCCAATTCTTATTACCATGACTCCTACATATTAGTGGGGCAGTATGATTATGTTACTATCATTTACTAAGAAAGAAAATTGGTATTTCTCTTAAAATTGCCAATAGAAAATGCTTTTAAGAAACTCCATCAGTTTTCCATGAGTTTTAGTTCCTAATTGTTATAGAGGATGAAAGATTGAGAGCCTGTGAACCATGACATAGTCAACTGGAGAAATAGGCTAATCAGTGATACAAACTTACCAGGATCTATTCCATCAGTGTTCGGGGCTCCAGAAACTGGAGCCAAAATGGTTACATTTCTGATAGTGACATTCTTGCAATCATAGGGATGGAGCGTCCAGAAAGGAGAATCACGCAAAGTAATGTTAGAAATCTGAATGTCTCTTGACCACATGATCTGCACTAGTGGGCCCCTTGTGTGGTTCAGTAGCTTTTGTCGATATTTCTTCCACCATGTTTGACCTTGCCCATTTATGGTACCATTATAGCCTGTTGATCAGTAATAAAATCATGCCACTCACATACTTGAATAAGAAAGAAACCGACTTCTATTATTACATATATGGCTAGATCAGTAGCACATTGCACAAAACAAGCTTGCAATTTTTTACCATAGATTGGAATATTCTGATAATAACAAAAAATAAATATATGCATGCATATAGGAATGGACGCATGCATAGATATAAAGATAGAAATATGTATATGGTACACACATATATCTATTGTGTTTCTAACAAAAATCAGCAATAAACAAAAAGGATGAAAGGAGAGAGAGTGAGCTTCGTCTTCTTGAAGGAATTTTAATTTGCAATGCATCAAGGAGATGATTTCATGCAACTTGCCTTCGGGTATTTCTGCTTTTCCAATGTGGTTCCTTTGGCGTAAGTAGTTGTGCGTTTTAACTTTGGTTGTATCGTGGATATGTTGGTAACGTATTGGTTTAGTTGTAGTATGTGAATAATGGATATTTTAATATTGTATTTACGTTTTTATTTGGTACAATGAATTATTTATGTCTACATTGTGTGGAGAGAGATGCTAGCCACAGCCGCAGCTGTGGCAGCTCAGTCGCTAGATAAGAGTTTCACGCGTGTAATCACTTTTCCCAATGGGACTTATTCATTTATCTCAGGTCTCTTATTCTTTGTAATTACTATTTTGTCCTCCACCATTTTAAAGAAAATAAAGACCCATCAAGCGGAACGTTTCTTCTCTCTCTCTAAACACCTCACCTTTTTCTCTGTTTCTTCTGCAAAGTTCATATCTGAATTTTCTCTTTTCTTACAATTGCATCTCTCTCTATTATTTGAAGTACAAATCTAGCTTTCTTGTCTCCCTTTTTTCCTCTCTCTAAAGAACTAGCTTTTCAGCTTTGATTCTCTATCTACCATGGTAGGACTTGCAGTTCTGCAACCAGAAGAATGCCTAAAAGATCGTTTACCATTCGAAACCCTAATTTATTCCCATATGAAGACTCGACAAAACCCTAACCCTTGTGTGAAGATATCAAAAGGTAGCGCAGATTTGAGCGATGCCGCAAGTTCCGCAACTGATCTACAACGAATGCTTGAACTTGATTTGCCATGAAATTTGATGATCATGACACCTCTCTCTATATATGTTTTTTCTTCTCTCTACCAAAGATTTTTCGACTATTACCGTGGAAATGTCCGGAGAAAAACTAATATATTTGATGAGTTGACCAGACTCCAGAGAACACATATAGAAGTGAATAAGGTAGAATGAAAAAAAAAAAAATGTAGAATTACCCAGCTTTCAGAGGTGAGTTAATTTCCCTGTGAATTTTATAGAGTAGAAAGAGAGTAAAATGGTGGTCACTTTGGAAATACTAATTACAAAGAATGACAGAGCCAGACCCAGGAAAGGTGATTACACGAGTCAAACTCTAATCTAGCGATTGAGCTGCCACAGTCGCACCAGAGGTTGCGGCTAGCATCCCTCTTGTGTGAATTTTGGACATATTAAACATGAAATATATATAAATATATATATAGCCATTTGTGATTGAATTGAGCCCAATTATTTATTGAAACCAATGCTTAATTGGCCATAAGTGTTTACTAATGAATAATTTAAACATAGCAGATTAAATGTGACAAATTCCATTACTCTTATTATAGACAATCATGTTTTACTTTTTTTTTTCTTTCTTTTTTTGGCACAACAGATATGTTGGACAAAACATGTTTCATGCTTCAGTTTTACAGAGGGAGAAAGAGAGAAAAAAAAAAAAAAAAAAGCATTTTTCAAACCTAAGAACTGCAACACTACCAAACACAATTTTAGTTATTGGAGGTGAACATCACAATGAACTTCAGTGCACAAAAGTTGATTGGCTCAAATCCAAAAACGCTGGAACAATTACTCATCTGACATTTATGTTTTGACCAATCCAGTTAAGAGATGCTATCAACTGGCTAATCACTCCTTATTTTTCACCTTCCAATTTTACGTTTTCATTTAACACCAAAAAGAAAAGAGGAAAACGAGGATGTTAATGATCTGACCTGTTATGACAACATCCTTTAAATTTTGACCATGGATTAAGCTCCCATAACGAGGTCCAGGGAACTCTCTTCCATGTCCATAAGATGGCAAAGGAGGCATCAGCGGCCAATACTTCTCATCCTGTTATAGGGCATATAAGACACAAGTATACCCAAATTATAATAACTAGATAAGAAAAACAGCTCATATACAAACTCAAGGTTTCAGTGAATAAGTTCACATCTTTAAGCCATGTTTAAGCCCTAGAATCACCTACATATGCATACCTAATGATGCATAGAGGAACTAAATTTTTATGGAACCTATTGAAAGAAAAAAATATGTCGCCTTAATATAAAACTCCAAAACAATGGAAAATAATTTTATTAGATGGTTCACTTTCAAGAACCATCTATGCTTGCATAGTTTTTCAGGATATAACAGAGAGAAAATGAATCAGACATACAGTGCAAGTCATATTCAAACTTCCAATCTTAAAGAGTACCAAAATCTTTGCGACATCCCAAGTTTATATGCAATTACCACACCTCATCTTCCATCCAAAACCATCCTTTTTTATTCATATCCCAAGAAGTCACAACTAAACCAATAAGATTAGTTTTTTAAACTATATTGAAAAGTCAACCCGGCATTAATAACAATAAGACAACAAAGGACTGATTCACCCTTTTATTTTGGGTAAACTAGCACGACCTCCCCTGAGGTTTCGAGTTGTAATCCACGCAATAAACTTAAGTGAAAATAAATCTAACACCCCCGTCAAAGTAATGGTCCCTAACGTCTTAGTTATCAAAAATCTATAGTGATAACACCACATATATTAAAAGATTAAACATAATAAAAAGACTAAAAATAGAAGTTATCAACATAATAAAAAGACCAAAAATCCCTCTCACTTCTCTCTCCCTCCCTCTTTGTCCTTTACCTTTTCACTCCTCTTTTCTCCATAAGGCATCATCACTTTGGCCAAAAATCTATAGTGATAACACCACACACACACACACACACACACACACACACATATATATCATAGAAATTAAACCCCCTACCCTTCATCTTCTGTCTGTCCTCTATTTTAGCATCTTCAATGAATTACGACCACCACATCCACCTAGGTTCTAGTTCCGGCCACCACCTCATCCTCAAAATAGATTCCGGCCACCTTCACCACCACTCGACCATCTTTGACAACCATAAGCACTGCCATTCCGAACCGAACCAAGGTGGTGCCCCTACTTATACTCTCATTATCCTCTCTGTTAAGTTGCCTTCATATTTCATTCTTTCTCTCCCAAACAACGATATTGCTGCCAACAGAGGGATCACCATGAGCTATCAAAGGAACAAACCAATCAAGGGAAGTTGAACAGGTTTTCTTCTGTCTTCGCCCTCTCCGTCTCACTAAGACTCGTCTTTCTCTCTGGAAACCATTATTAAACCATGGCCATAAATTTGTCTAGCAGTTGAATCAATGAGATATAGACGTCACTGAGGATTGCGGCAATGAAGAACAATAGTTGGAGCGGGTATAAAGATTCTGGCCCTTTTGGGGATGATGATGAGGACAACACCATGTATATATATATATATACACACACACACATATATATTATAAATCTGTATGTATATTATACTATAACTGAATGTTTATACGCATATGTTATATTGTAAGGGAATATACTTATATAATTATATTGAACACACCACACTTAATATATCTATTTATATATGTGTATATATATAATACTGATAAATGAGAATATGATAAAATTTTAATAAAATGAATAAATTAGATTATTGATGTAATTATGTGAAATGAAATACAAATTAAATTAAATTAAATGTCAATGCAAATCTTTATTCCGTGAAGTGTAATTTTGTCCTATAAAAGGGTTATATTTGTCCTTTCCAAAGGACAAGGAAGGACAGTGTTGTCCTTTTGTTTGCAAGAAAGGGCAACTTTGGCATTTAAGGAAAAGATTTAGAACAGACCAAATGGACTGTTGACAGTAGGGGGGAATCAGTATCTTTGTTATAACCTCGGGAGAGGTTTACCACATTTTTAACCACAATTTAATGCGTGGGTAAACCCCATTTTTTTTTTTAAGTGCATGGGTAAACTTGGAAATGTTCGGGGAGATCATGTTGCAAAGTTTAAGTGAGGTCATACTAAATATGCAGGTACCGCATGAATATTGCACTTGTCTACAAACTTTGTTAAGTGCCAATCACTACATCGCTTGTGAGTTGTAACCAGCCAGACAACGGCTCGACAATCAATATCATTTCAAGGACCATTGAACTTTTGGGACGGGGGGAGAAAAAGCCAATTCCACTTCCTCTGGTCACATCCTAATTCCACAAATGAAGATTCTAGAAACCAGAAATGTTTACATTCCACAACATTACAAAACATTCCACCTCCTTGGCAAAGTCCATGTTTTCCATGTCAGATTAGCTTGGAGAAGCTCAAAAATTTTACCACACAACATTGTTCAACTGTCCTTAAATGGGACCACTCAGCAATGAATCTATAACAAATCATGGACACCCAAATCACTTTTCCAAGATATAGGTGCTTATGCTGCCAACCCATTTCACTGCATGTGCATCAGAGGCTTCTAGATAGATGAAATGCCACACCACCATAGACAAGGTGAGAACTCTGTGGGGCCGAGGGAGCACTCCCCACTCAAATTTTTTATATTTTCATTTTGTATACATAAAATTTTAAATTTCTAAAACTGCCCCCACAATTCTAATCTTTAGCCCACATATTAATCTTTCTTTCTCATAGTGATCATTGGACGATTCATATCTCCATCTCCAATTTTCTCTTTTCCTATGCTATACGGATCTCTTACATCTATTCTCTCTTTAAAGAAGGATCACAATATCTCAGAAGGTACAGAAAAAAAAAAATCCTATACAAAGCATTTTTGCCTCCCGCTCTTTAAATGTATATGATACACGAAAATCATGAACATACACCAGCTAGAAAAAAAAGTGAACATCCATGAGGGTGGGCCTTGGTGCAACGGTAAGGTTGCTCCATTGCAACCTAGAGGTAGGGGATCGAAACTAGAAACAACTTTTCCATGCGGAGGTAAGGTTTCATACATCTAACCCTCACCAAACCCCGCAATGGTGAGAGCCTTGTGCATTGGGCTAGAAAAAGTGAAGACCCATATTGTGAAGCATGTACTTGACTACTTTCCTTATTTCTTGGTTCAATCTAATTATCAAATTATTTTTGATTTGGAGAACCTAAATGAAAATAGTTCAAGTTCCAAATACAAAGACAACTTTTATTCATTAATTTTAATTATTGCTGGGGACGACTTTATAGGTTTGTAGAGTTGTAACTTCTATATTCTAATTAATTTGACTGATACGAAAATCTTTAATAGCATGGACAGTAAGAGGGAATAAGGAATACACTTAAACACAAAAGAAAATTAAGAGAAGGGATATATCTTTTGCCTTTCTCGCTTTTAGGCCAAGTAAGCAACTACTAGAAGACCTCCTCCTGTTAGACGTAACTAAGGAACTACAAGAGAATATCCTCCAGAAGCCAAGAGAGAAGAACATCCCAGAGGAGAGCAAGCAAACATTTAAGCGCACAAATTTGAGTTTGTTTTATTTTGTACAATTGCTATACTTAAATATACATAGTTTTTCCCTCCAATTTGTATGAGAATGTTGCTTAATATAAAAATTTATCAAGGACAATTGTAAATATAACAAACGGAAATATTATCAATCAATATTAATTTATTATATTTACTACTGTATTTTGTTAAAAATATATATATATATATATCTTATCATTCTTCCAAAGTCCACCCCACCCCAACCCAACCCCACAAAGTGAATTCCTGCTCATCACTGACCAAAGAGGAAACAACTTCAAACTAAGAAACAGCAATATTTCTTAAAAATGTCAATCCTAGCATCTAACCAAAGATAGTAGGACTTGAGTTACAGACTAAAAGTTAACATCCCTAAATTAACATAAATTATCAAATCCTGCTTACAGTTGCCGAGAAGATGAATATAAATTTATACTACTGAAGATGACAACGATATGACCCTCCTACCCGTAAAAATTATCATTTTACCTATAACACTTCCAAAAACCCCAACATAAATTCTATTTTTCAATCGGTTTTCCTAAATTTTATCGGAAACCAAACAAGGTTAAAACTAAAGTAAACATAAAAGAACAGAGATCACGTACATCAATTCCAAGTATAACAGCATCTTCTGCAAGAAAGAGAGTCATGTGGCTCGTAAGATTGAAAGGGGCAGTGAGCCAATACCCAGGCTGAACATTAAGCTGACCACCACCTCTCTTTTCAAGTTCCGATATTGCCCTCTCGAATGCCTTCGTATTTACGATGACGCCATCGCCGACTCCGCCGAAATCAGTCAGATTGAAGGCCACCGGCCGGAGCATCGGGATGGGCCTCGTCGGTGGGGCCCACCGGCGGATTGCCAAGACCCGATCAACGGCGCTCCGTTGCCAGAGACAGATCAAAGCGAATCCGACGGTCCACAGGAGAGTAAGAAGCGTCTGGTACGATGGTAGTAACGACCGAAACGAACGGTTGCGGTCGAGTTTTCGGTGATGAGGCCTCCAAGCATCGGCCATTTTATCAGTGTGAAAATTACCGAATAAACACGAGATTGTAGATTGGGTGCAAATTAGGGTTCATGAGCAGTTGAATTCACACACATTCTACAATGTATACGTTTCTGATTGCGCCTTTGAGACGGTGAAGGAAATGTTCGTTTCGTTCCCATCATATTGGGCTTGGAGATTAATTTCTAGGCACTCGAGGTTTCAGTATTTTGTAAGGCCCACTTCAAGAGACACCTTTCACTTGTTTTTTAGATAGAAAAAAATAAAAAAAAAAAATTGGGTCATGGCCTATGGCTGGTGATAAGTAAGGCCCACTTCAAGAGACAACATTTCACTTTTTTTCATTAAAAATAAAAAATAAAAAAATAATGGTGCAACCTGTTCTCCTAATGAAAGCCTTGGAAAGTTGGAATGTTCAAATTTTATTGACAACTTGGAAGAATGAATAAGGCTAAATTAATGGATCTGATGCAGTGGTATGCAATTTACTTGGTCCAATGGTAGGTATTCCTCCAATTAAGTGGATAGTAAGCTGACTTTTCATCGTCCTAAACTCCCTGAAAACTTTTAAATTCAAATTGATGTGAGGAGATTTAGGCCCTGTTTGGGGCAGCTTTCACTTTCTAAAATTCCTTCCACTAAATCGGTTTTGAAGAATGCATTTTGATAAAAGGAATTTAAAAGAAAAAAATTGTTTGGGGGGATAAATTTTTTTGAAACTCTTTTAATTATTAACATAATTTAACTTGACAATTATATACTTAATAAATCATGAATAATAGTAAATAGTTGAATTGGAATATACAAAGAAGGGAAGAAAAAAAAATTTATAATTAAAATAATTGAGTGAAATTGCTAATGATGCAGCAACAATTAATTAGTATAGTGAAGATCTGGCTATACAAATTTAACCCAATGTATAAAGAAGTTGAAAGAGATGAAAAAAGAAAACAAAAGAGAAAGATGGCAACAAAAATATTCTATTTTTATTCTTATTTGTAACTATAAATCACTTTAATAGCGGAATGGATAGCCTTCAAAAAAGAAAAAAGGAATTATATATATATACATATATATATATATATATATATATATATTGTGTGTGTGTATATATTAGAGAGAAAGAAAAATTATTTAGAATTCTACATAGGATTGAATTTCGGATGAGAATTCATAAATCTTGGAACTCTTCAGACTTTAAAGTCAAATAGGATTCAATAGTATTTTTTCCTGCAACTACTCAATATTTTTGTTCTTCCTTTGTTGAATCGTTTTTCAATAATAGTTTTTTTCAATAAAGTTCTGTGAAATTTTGCTCAGTATTATTATTATTTTTTTTATTTTTTGGGTAGAGAACAAAGGAAGAAAATGGTACAAAAATAGAAAGATAAAAGTTTGCAGTGAAATTTAGAAATTGAAATAGGTTAAATAATGGACAATATAGGAATTTTACATTTATTACTTAAAAAAGTGTGTAGCTTGCGGGAAGTTGATTAAGAAACATGTTTTTATTGGCTTTGGTCAATCGGGCTTCTAAGAGACTTTTTAAAAGTCCATTTTTTAGAAATTTTACCAAACGCTCTTTATTATTGGCAAAGGACTTTTTGGGCTTAGAAGCCCGTTTTGAGGCTACAGAAAGCCTAGTCAAAGAGAACCTTAAATTCTTTAATTTTCTTGTTTCGAATGAGGAATTTTTCCTTATAATAGGAAAAGTGTGGGTTACTCGTACTAATCTACATTTAGAATGGCTCAAAAATTGAAACAGTGCAAGGTGCATAGTAAAGAATAATTTCACCACTTTGTGTCGGCTTCTCTACTTAACGAGGCCCACACCATATTACACTCCATTCTCCAACCATGAAGAATGGAGTGTGGACTCACATCATTGACCAAGGGCTAAAAAATTGGCCCTTGTGTGTACTTTTAGTTTTTTTTTATAAAAATGATGGTATTTATCAAAAGAAAAAAAAAATTTTGATGGTGTGTAAGTGATATGTGAGACAAATTTTTAAAATAATAAAATAATTAAGTGCAAAATGTGAGAGAAAAATTTTCAAAAAATATGGAGAGCGCTGACACGGCACTACACTTGTGAAAATGTAAAATGTACACTACGATGCTCTTAAAGCAAAAGCAAGAAATGAAGGGTTAGAATTAAAATCGCTATGAGAATATATCTCTTGAAGTAATAAATGATGAAATGTATGATGTGTTGAATATTCATATAGTTGGTATTCAAAAACAAGAAAAAATGTGTTTAAAACTTTGGTGTACCGGGTTCTAAAGTCCTTACTATAAATGGTTCACATGTTTTTCATTTTGATGTGGGTTGTATTCTTAGTTTTTTTAAGTAAATACAATTAAAAATTAGTTAATTTTTTTATTATTAAAAAAACTTCATCTTGAGTAATCATTCTTCTGCAATTCCTCAAAAGAATTCTTTTAAATTTTAAATTTATAAAAATTGCTTATATTGAGTTCAAGGGAGAATCAGTACTTGTAAAGAGAGTGATGAGACAAAATAAATTCTACACGATGTTCAAACTCCTACTAAACTAATTCTACCAAAGTCTATAGTTCTCCACAAACTCCTACTAAACTAATTCTACACGATGTTCAAAATATTTTATTCTAAACAATTATGTCACCATGCCATCGTCAAATCCTTCACATGAATCAAACCCAACCATAAAGAGAAAACAAAGCAAAACATTAGAAGACAAGCTGGGATAAAACAAACACAAATCCTAAATTTTCTATAGAAATGATTCAATTCTCAAAGAAAAATTCCAAAAAAAAAACATGACCCTCAAGGAAGGTAACAAGGACTCACCAAAAAGCCTACAGTTTTGCTTTACACAATTCAGATAATCGTTTGACGTGGTTGAATGACTTTCAAGATATTATATTTCCCGCAATACAATGTATCCATGATAGAAATCAATGAAACCCTAATAGGCACAACAATCTAAGGTAACAGACAACACTATATTTAAACTTCAACCCCTTGAAAAAGAGAACCACCAGTAAGGAAGGCCCTGTTTGCAGGACTCTATCTGCCTGCTAGAAGAATTTCAATTTTCCTTTGGCCACAGACGCTTTTGCCTTCTCCATACGACATAATTCTTTTTGAGTCCCTGTCAACCCAGAACATGATTCACCGACTCCTAGAGTGACAGCAAAGTAGAGATAAATCGTACAGAGGAAAGTTAGGAGGGCAAGAGCTGTTAGGAGAAAGCGGTGTCGTTGGAGGAGCACTGAGCAGCCCCCTGGTTCATCCAGTCGTGAGTATTGTCTTTTCAGTGACGCTGAAGAAAACACCGTCTGTGTCCTCCGGTGTGGAGACGATATTATGCCATCGAGAACCATGACTAATGCACTGACCTTCCTTCACCTGAATGGGCTTGATTGAGTCAAACTTACCTAGCAAATAGTGACATATCAAAGACAAAAAAATAAATAAAGCATTGACCCGCGGGGGGAGGGGGGGAGGAACGCAATTGAAGGCAGGGAATCCGAAATTCAGTATGATATCCAGTGAAATAATTTATGGCAATTTAGTGTTAAAGAAAACAGACATACACTTATAAAGCATTGGTTGAGAGATTAAAATTTAACATGACTGACCTCCTTTAAAGACAATAACAAATCTACTAAAAGCATAATCATAAAACATAAAACAAGGAAGGGAATCCAGCAACAGTTAAGTATTACTCGATTGAAAATACTCTTTATTAAACATTAGCAAATTTGAATTATTTACCTCAAGAACAGCAAGGAAACTAATTTTACTCATTAACATGATAAAGGGAAAATAGGATTACAACCAGCTTATCGACTCTTTTGGCCAAGACTGACTCTTTATTAGACACTAGAAATTTTGAATTATTTACCTCAAGACCAGCAAGGAAACTGATTTTACTCATTAACATGATAAAGAACAACAAGATTACAACCAGTAATATATAAGACTTTGGCCTTATAAAATAAAATTAGAAATAAGAAGAGAAATAAAAACTTTGGGACAATTACTGGTCCCAAATCCTATTAAATTCTCAGTTCAAAAACAACATAAATGAAGAGTGTTTGGGCCAACATCTCAATAATCACAAGGCAGACTTGCTTGAATCATACAAGCATCAGCCAAGGAAAGAGATGCCGAAACCCCATTTGTACACCATTCACCTCATGCAAATCATTGTTTCTCAAGACAAGTATTATATAAACTGAATCATCGAATCATTACCGCATCAAAACAAAATGAATTGGGCCTACGTGGTATAATAGAAAACAAACATATTGTAACTGAGCTTCCCTAGTCTAGACTTGAATCTCATTTTGACACAAGAATTGCTTAGATATTCCTCCACCCAAGTACAAGACACTGACTTTATCGCATAGCAAAATGCAACATGCCTGCTTGAAGTATTTGATATAAACCAAAAAATTTAGCATGATTCTTGGGGAAATCACTACATCAACCACACTTCATAACATTCAGGAAGCTCCTCAACCAACTCAATAGTCAATACTTAAGTGTTTAACACGCCAAAATAGGAGGCAATATTCGTATGACATTCTTAACATCGCATTCTAGTCCGCCATTGCAACGTACCCATTCTATATTCTATAATGCATTTCAATCCTAGCAATTACTTTGTGATCCTTGACATAATGTTGTACCCCCATTCTATGTTGTGTTGTGATCTTAATGACTGCAAAACAATGGTAACATTGTGCTGTAGTCCCTGTGGTCATAATTTGGGTGCATATGCGTTATGATCCAAACGGTCACATTATGGCCTACCACTGCGTTGCCATCCCTGATGTTACAGTGAGGCCATTGAGCGTTGTATCATAATCCCATTAATAATACGTGGGTGACTTAAGGGCAAGTTGAAGTGTGATTAACACTGCTACATGGACTCAGACATGTGACACTTTGACAAGGATATGGAATGTGTCCTACACAATTTTATTGGATTATTGTTTCAAAACGAGTGAAATGTTTATGTAGAGCGATATGTTATATAAATCATTATTTAATCTAGAAAATAAAATAAAAATATTGAATATTATAAATATCTTGTAGTGTCCCTGCATCTTTTTGTTCAACAATCTCATACAACTAATGTTTGGATACAGACTCGCACACGACACACATATCAAGTCCATGTAAAGAAAGGATACGTGGTGCTTCAAGCATTTTTGATGGATGAATACTATGTACCTGACCGGACATGTGCAAGTATACCTGTATATAATGAACATACTCCAAGTACAAACAATTAAAAGATAAGATGTAAGTACTCAATTTTTCACCCATATGCTACCTCATCTCTAGTTCTTCCCTCTCAATTTGTGGCCTTAAATTTCTTCAAATCGTGACTTCTCAATAGTCCCGTTTATCATATTAGAGAGTTACTTCCTGTTTCAGCTCTGCTCCCCAATGTCTACATTTTGACAACTCCATTACAAATGTGATATGGTGAACACAGATAGATGTCATTCTCAAAGCCCTATGCAAAACACTAGACTTCAAAATCAATTAAAATCATACACAACACCAGAACAATGATTAAGCTTCTTCCACTTAGAATATAATAACTGAATACTTTCTTTGATCACCATCCAAAAGTAGGTACTAGCTGCTCTTTTCCACCAAAATCCTACCAGCTCAATGATACATCCTTGTATCCTCAGCGAAATTGCTACACCTTGACTGCAGTCATACCAGCCAATTCAAATCCAACCTACCCATAAAATATTGACCTTCTTTTGCAAAACCAATTAAGCAAAGCTAACATCAAACCCATTCAATCACCTTCCATTGCCATCACATATAACTTTCACATATTCTGCAGACTTAACACCCACAAACATAAATACTGTTATTCCTGCGAAAAAACGTCTATTCTGTTTCAAAACCAGAACAGATAACACCACTTTCGTTACCTTAAAGCAAGTCAATGCTCTCCCTCGGCAAGAAAGTGAATTTTCAGGGAGCATGCATGCAATACATAAACACTCATGGCAATTACAGTTCAGGTAACAATCTTCAATTAAGAATTTCTTTGAATTATTAACCAATTGCGCAAATACATGTCACTATTCAATGATTTGACTCTTGAGGCATTTGAATTCTTCATAGTTTTCATGGTTCTGCATATCCTTTTCGCAATAAACAACCATCCCATAGGTACTTGACATAATTTCACTTCTCTTCATTGACCACCATGACTATGAATGAAACTCATTATGCAGTTGAGCATATGGCTAACAGCTAACGACCTTTTTAGCATTTGAACATACATTAAATTAAAAATATAATAAAGTGTGTGTGTGTGTGTGTGTGTGTGAGAGAGAGAGAGAGAGAGAGAGAGAGAGAGAGTTTATATTCTGCTGGTTTAACTTCATCAAACCACTTTAACCTAAATTGTACCATATTTCAATTGCAATTTTCTTGCCTGTGGCCAAATTCAACACACATTCGACTTATTCTCAAGAGAAATGCTTTAAGAACACATCTTTAACACTACATAACCAATCTTCAGCAATAAAACATCAATTCGATAAATCATCAGATTCGCTAGTCACATCTGAGTGATCCTAAATCTATATAGTTTCAGAATCACAGAATTGTCCATTATAGTTACCATGGGTGGACAATGATTTAAGGTAACAGCTTCACAGCATCATAGCTGGCCTCCTATTTGCTTTAGAAAATCAATAGGCATATAATATGTTGCCAGTTTTTTTGTGGTATCTTCAACCAATGAACCAAGGTAACATGACTCCCAGGTTTATGTAGAAATTTCTTAATGCTGGAAAGGAGGAGATCAAGTCTATTTCAGGAGCTCTACTTAATGCAATGGCATAACGGACCTTTATATGGTCAGTCAACAAATCCAGAATTAAATTACTACTTAAAAATATCTATATGCATGATGATGAAGCCATGAATGACATGCAGATAATCCTACTTGTAAAGTATCCATTGGTTAGTCAACCACAAAATATCACTCATCATTTGCAAGTTAAAGGTTCATGCTTATAGAAATGCATTCAAATGCAAATTAATGTTACCACACACATCAACATATGTTATTCTTATTCCAAAAAAATCATCTTTGATACTCATCACATATTAGAAATTTTGCATTAACTAGGTATTGTCCATAACAATAAAACAGTATCACAAAATTTCTCTTCAATTATTTGTTTAAACTTTTTTTTTTTCCTTAGTTAATTATTTGTTTAAACTTCGTTATTGGAAAAACATATAATGCCTACTAGCCATACCAATACCACGACTATTCCATGAATATAAATCAGCCATCATCGAGTTTTGAGCAAGATACAGAAAATTCATCTTTCCAATTTGAAATGATAATCTCTCCAATTCTTTGAGAGATCATTATGAGACCACTAAAAGCGTTTCTTTGGTTGCAATTGCACGGAAAAGTTCATATGAACACATACTCTGCTAAGATCAAAAGTTATGAACCTATCCCAGTAACAATGAGATATCCAAATTCAGAAATGAAACCTAAATCCGTAGTCAGAAAAAGTTACACATACATGTGGACTTTAGACGCATATTCCAAAATCCTTTACAACTCCATTACCAACAAGATGCAACTTGCCACAAAGTTTTGGCCTTTCTTCCTGCATTTTATGGCATCATTGAATACCTAACCCTTGCATTCCTCAAATCATTTCACATGAGCAACAATTCCATTATATCTGATGCTTTCCTTTAGGACGGCATCAGTACTTTGAGCAGCCACCTTAGAAAATATGACAGACTGTAAACTATTTCCTAGGCTTGGATCGTGTGGCTTGTTCCCGAACAAGCCTGTGTTTATCTTAATGCATCAGACCAAAAAATATTGTCAACTGCCTTCTATTGATGTACCTGCCAACATATATCTAATTTTGATTTTGTTAAAAAAAACCCTTTTGGTATGAGATATCCAAATTCCTTGCAGAACTAAATCCGACAATTTCAGAACATTTGAGTGCTGTAGACATTGTTGATTTGATTCTTTATAATACAAAGGACTGCATTGCAGAGAAAAATAAATGATTATATCCCCAACTTAAGAGCTATTCAATCTGAATCTAAAAGTAATCTAATGACCCATCTTAATAGACAATACAAATCCCCATTTGACCGCAGATTAACTCCATATCCAACTACAGAAAACAAACACAATTCAAAAACAAAAGATCCAGAGTGAACCCATCATCATCACATTAGCCAGACAATTGTCCCCACCAAGAAAATTGCAAATAAACGCAAACAGCATAGATCTGCGTAGAAGCATCGATATGAAGCAAAAAAAATATACAAAATTTAGAAAGGAAAAAAAAATACAAAATTTAGGAAATGGGAACTTACAGTTAAAGAAAATGAAGAGGAAGGTTGAATGGAACGGAGCTGTTCAAATCTGTTTATTGTTTTTTCAGCAATTATATCTATCTGCTGTGTGCGCGTGTCCTTCCGTCTCGGCTTGAGGTAAGGAATTTGCCGGGACAGGCAGGCACTTTGCCAAAGTTAGAGAGAGAGAGTGTTCCTTCTAGATTAGACTTATAGAGAGAGAGAGCAACGAGCGTCATGCTACAGAGACATTCGTCTTAATTTATTCCAAACCTTGAGACTGCCTCAAGTTGGCGCTTGGAAGATCCAAGGGGCGTCAATTTTTCTGTTGGATGGTGCGCATCGTGTCCTAAAAAGTCCACCTTGGTAGAGGACTTTGTAGATTCATGATTTCATATTTTAGACTTTTAGTCAAAATATTTTATATTTTTCTAAATTTAGGTCAAGTTTAATTCAGACTTCAATTTATCTAAGGTGAAATAGTTGAGTGAGTTACTGATTGAATTATATTTGTTACAGGTTCAGATTCCTAATATTTCACTTCTTTTTGATGCTAGTGATGATATTCGGTTTTGTTTTTGGGGAGTTTGGGGTACAATACCTTTGTCAAGGTCTAACCACCCATATTGACTGTTAGTTGAAAATTTCAACTCAAATAAAAAAAATTAAAAAAAATGTCACACAAAATTATTGAAAGATCTTAAGACTAGATTCCAGTTGACCTGTGGACTTTAACATTATAGTATTTTATTTGGCAGCATAGGGTTTACAAATTAAAAAAATAAATAAAAAAAAAACACCCTCTTTATTGGATAGTTGATACTTGATATATACCAAGCATGGACCCAAAATTTAAGAAAGAAAAAAATATAATTTAAAGAAGTAGAACGAAATAAAAAAGAAAATTAAAATGATAAAACTTTAAAAGGAAAAATAAAATTAGACTTCAAATTAACATGAAAATTTTAACTTTTTAAAAGTAATTTTATATGTAAAAGAGAAAAAAAATAATAATAAGAAAATTAACAGATAATTTTTGAAACTAATAATTTTAGGGGCATTATATAAAAAATTCCATATATTTATGTAAAAATTTTAGAAAAAAAAAAAATTAAATAGAAAGATATTTCTTCATACAAATAGATTTGAGTAACCAGTCTAAATATCATTACTCTTTATATCTCAAAGACAATAATTATAGAGAGATTCTAATATTTTATTTTGTATGGTTAACAAGTAACTAAACAAAATAGATATATACATATACACTATTTTGTGAGGCAAGAGAGAGACAGCGACACAAAAATTAGAGTTTAAAGATGGTAAAGAGGAGTCTACTAAGTTACCATCTGAATATGATGAGTTAGATGAGCTTTGAGATGAAGGGAGAGAGAGAGACCTTGTTCAACTCGTTTGAGTATGGTGAGTTAGGTGAGGTTTGACAAGAGAGAGAGAGACATTTTTGTGGTGCAAGTGATGTTACTATAAAAATGGATGACGTGAGAAAGAATACAAGATACAGCACAAGGGTTGGAAAATTAATGGTTGATTGAGTACGGAACATAACTTATTCCTATAGGAACTGATCCTCCAGTTCACATTTATGTACCATATTTTGTTGTATACTTAAATTCAAAATACAATATCACGTTCGAGTTTCAACCATTAAATCGAGATACTATAACGATAAGAAAGAGAGACACTTGATTAATATTTTGAATGGGTGGGAATTGATCTTGACAATGCTTGGACAAAAAGAATTGATCAATTTATTTTTGTAAATATGGCGCACACAGTAAGATCCGAAAGTGTTCTAAAAAGAATTGTCTACTTAGACAGAGACAACAAAATGACAGCTATTAATTTGCAGTAGACTTCTGATTGTGATTCAATCATAAGTGCACATATAATTACAAAATTAAAAAAATAATTTTTTTGAAATAAATTTAGCTACCCTCTTTAATTTTCTTATTCATCCCTTTCCTTATTTTGTAATTACAAATTATTTGTGCACTTATAATTGAACCACTAAGTAGAACTGACCTCTCAAAAAAACCTGTCACACTATGGATTATCATCTGGTATAAAAGTTAATTTATATATAAAACTTATTAACATTTGGTATCCCCAAAAAGATATTATTACATAAATCTTTATGCTGAATAACTAACAGTTCTCAATCAAATTTTGAGCAGTACCACAAAGATTATTGATTGTGCAAAATCAGCGCACAAAACCTTAAAGCTGTAAGATTTTCTTAGGCAAAGCAATGTTCGGCTGCATGGAATTGGAGCCTTTGGAAACACAGCCCGAGTTCAAATTTTCCATTTTATCAAACACCACGTTTGTTTCCTTTTGCTCTAAAAACATATGGTAATACTAATTCAAAAGTTGCACATTTCATTTCCTGTTTTGAAGCCTAGCAAATAAGGCAATCTCTGGCCTTCTAAATTATTGCATGGGAACAAAAATAAAATGATTAATATGGAAGTCAGATAGAATTGAGTTGAAAAATAACATAGAAGCATGCTATGCAAGTTCAGGCAATGGAAATAAAATATAGAACATTGGACACATTAGATGGGAAAACAGCAAAGAATTGTCACCAAATCAATTGCACCGCACAATCCCAACCTTTCTTGGAGATTTGGAAAACTATCACGCTCTTGGACAAACATGGGGGGAACTAATTTAATCACCATCCAGATCTGTGCACAAAAAACCATACGAGATGACCAAGTGCCATTGAACTTCTGTGGACCTTGTGCGGCAAGAACTCAGAACTCCAGCTGAAATTGCCTGATAAATCAACAAATTAAAATGAAACAAACAGGAAATTATTTCTAAACCAGAAAAAGAATTGTACTTTCAAAATGATAAGTCACGAAGATCCATCAACTACTGATGACAAATCAGACCATGCACCAGCAAGTGCCAACATGTACAGCGAGAGAGAAAAAAATAAAAAAAATAAAAACAGACAAGTTAATATTAATAAGAGGGTGCTATAAGCTAGATGTGAAACATTCCAAGATGTGAAAGAACATCTAAATGTTACAAATCATGTTAGCTAAATTACTGCCCCGGATTATTCAAGGCACTTACAATCTATAATACACTAACTCTCCCGAATGAGTGTTCATACATAACTCTTTGGTATTGCTTTGGTGTGGATATATTATATCTCCGATACACATAGCAAGTATATTTGATAACTAAAATTTATTACATTATTTTATATACTCTTATTATATTCCTTTTGTTACATTATTGCTTCATAATAAACGAAGTGCCAATGATGACAACTGTGTTATACAAAAACACGTATTTGTCCAGAAACTAGAAGAGAATACTAAAAACCATGAATATCTAGCCGTGCACCCATATAATTGGATTTGAAGATTTGATAAATCTGAGATTTAGATACATATCCACACCTAAGAACATATACCTGAGTCCTAATAACATGACTTATAAAACAAGGAGAGGAGGAAAAATGAAGCTTTAAAGGCAAGGAGAGGATAACGTTTCCGCAGGTCTGCAATGGCAGGAAGACAGAAGGCAGAGCTAGCAAGTCATTAACATATAGTTCTAAATAAAAGGAGAGGTTCCAATGAAACTGATATGATAAAAAAGAGAGAAAACAGAGTTGGACCGCTCCTAAATGATGTTATTAAAGCCAATCCTGCAAACTCAAACCACAACGAGGCCCATGAAGAGGAAGAATGTACAGTACTCTCTCCATTGTCTCCAAAACATAACATAATGAATGACATAGAAGCAATTATCAAAAGCCCAGTTCTCGCTGGCCAGATGGTCCAAATGACCTATAGGATAGCACATATGAACCTGACAGCTGGAAAAGAGGTATAATAAAGAAATGAAGTTGGTTCTGGTACAAAGGTATAATAAAGAAATGAGGTTTGTTAACCAACTGACAAGAAAGAGTCAAATATCCGTTAAGAAAGTGCAAAAAAAAAAAAGAAAAAAGGTGATTTGTTGTCCTCCCAGTTCACTAACACAGGTGGTAAATGTTTGAGAAAAAGCAATATACTCAAAACCTGTAAGGAAGTGTGTTACTCCTATGCAACATAAAGATCCAACGTAAAGGCCATAACTTTATGAGGGGCACAAAATGGCAACCCCATCTGATTAAGGACAGATCACAGATGACAACAATGAGGAATATGAGACAGAAAGAAATGTGTAATTGATATGCCATTGTATACTAATGAGGTTTGAGGACCCACACCATAATTAGTATCTGGGAAGCACCAACACGACACATAGGGTTACCGCACCGGTGTCAGACAAGCATTTCCCAGCTTCAGACACGTGTCCAACACTCTAAATAAGGTGTCCCTTTTATTGTTACTTTTTCATAGCCCGGACACGCCAGAGACAATCCTGGATACGGCGGAGGACATGGCCGATAAATTTTTTTTTGGAAAAAAAAAAAAAAAAGAAAAGATGAAAAGATATATACATACATATTTGTGTGTATACATTTGAAGGAATATATATGAAGTGATACAAGAGATTTAGAGACTAAATATGTGAATAAATTGAGGAGCTGGTACAAAACGGGCTGGAAAGAGAGAGAAGAACCATAGCCATGAATTGTCAGATGGAGAAGACAATAGATTCTCATTCTCGGGTTGTTGATAGGATCTGAATGAAGTTCTGAAACTCCAAGCAGCTTTCTTTTTTGGCCGGATTACATTCCCATAAGGATGATTGATTCGTCTGGTGGAGAGAGACTGGGGGAAGAGTAAAAGGAGATAAGATTTTGCAGTCGTATCTTTTCTTTTGGGATGTTTGGTTACACATATAATTCTACTATTGGATATCAATATATTTACAATTTTACAATTCTACCTTTGAATATAAACATACCTACAATTCTACCATTGAATATAAACATATATTTAAGATGTTTGGCTACACATATAACAATTCTACTATTGGATATCAATATATATATATATATATTTTATGTTTCTATTTTAATAGAATTTGGTCCAATAATTTTATGGGCGATTTGGTAGACCTAATTTAGAGATGTATTTATAATTATATATTAAAAATTGAATAAAAATTAAAAATTTATATGTAATAAAAAATATATATTATTTTATTGCCGTATCCATGCCATCTCCGTGTCCTATTTTTTAAAAATTTGCCGTATCGCCGTGTCTGTGTCCGTGCTTCTTAGATTAGTATAAATTTTGACAAGAATATATGTGTGATCTAAATGAGATCACCAATCTCCATCGTTCTGTGCATTCGCGTTATGTGCAAACAAGACGAGAAAAGGGAGTGAACAATTATTTTTGCACCAGCAAATGGTGACATTTATATAGACTGGAATACAGCTCTTGCATACAGCAATTTTTGGACCGAATTTCTCGGTCTAAAAGAATGCAAAACATGGTACTGTCAGTCATTGTGCAGCTTATAAGACCTATTCTGGGTAGCTCAACCAACAAAATGTTTGCCATTTCAATAAGGAAAACCACTACAGAGAAGCCTGAGAAGGTGTATCAAAGCAAAAATCAAGAAAAACAAATAGGAACCACCATCAGGAACACAAATCTTTAATAGATTGCCAGAAACTAAATAAAATGCTGAATGAAAAACTGTGAAACCTGGAGAATATTGTATGAAGGTTTACCATTCAATCTTCATAATCTCCAGCATTCTCTAAAAGGTAGTTGACTGCCAATTCCTCATTGCGGTCACAGGCTAAAAATGCCTCAATGACAAGGGCTCTATCAAATCCCATTGCCTCAAGCTGGAGATGGGTGAAGAAAACTAATTAGTAAACATAGTAGAACATATATAGTATAAAAGTAAACCAGATACCAGGGAGTAAACTAATGCATACTCGTTCAATTGCCTCCTGCTCCTCTGGAGTGACACTAACAGCATGAGGCATGTCCTGCTCTGGCTGATCAAATAAATCCCTAGAAAGAAGAAACTGCATGTTACCACAACTAGCAGGCAGGACCATGTTCTAAAAGTTGTAATCTGTAATCTAATTTGGACATCCATTTTAACTCTGTTTCTCAAGAGCAGCTTTCACAAAACCATCATCCAAACAACTTTTTACTCATTCCTCTATTTCTCTCCTTTAAGAATAGTCCGAAAACTGAACCAAGCAGGCACTAATAATCTAAACAACATTTTCTTCATCCATTCTTTATGGAAAATTAGAAACACTTAAATCTTCTGGCTTGTTTGATTGTAGTTTTCTAAAAACTCGGTTATAAAAAGGTTTATTATTATATTTCTCTGAAAACAGTTTTATTTCTTCTGAGTTCTTGAGAATTGTTTTCAGAAAACTGAACCAAACAGACCCCATATCTTAGTATTGACCAACAATGCTCCCAGGTACTCACCCTTCAGAACCTTCAAGAGGCTCATTTATCAACTGAAGAAACTCCGCCTGGTGCTCTTGAATTAGTCTTAAAAGTTGAGGGTTCTGCTTTCCTAGCTCCTGAAGCATGGGCTGTAACAAGGGCGGAACCAAAAAAAAAAAAAAAAGAACTTGTTAACTTTTAAGCAACAGAAACCATAAAAAATTTACCCAAGTAAAAATATAGAAGTGCATACACCTGTAAAATTTGTGGGTTTCCTTGCACCATTGACCGCAATGCTTGGAACTTGAATGCAAACAACAAAGCAACAAAGATAGAAACTTCAGTGTCAGTGGAAAACTCAATAAACATACAAAGACTTGATTAATTTTCATACGTTAATAGTTTGATCATTTTAAAAATATACCACATTGGTACTATCTGATCTCATTAAATCATTTGTGACAAACACGACTTTGACAATAAGAAGGTTCCAGTAACTCCGAAGCAAAGACTGGTCGTCAAAATATGAAATCTATACATGTGTGTGCGCGCGCATGCATTTCTTAAATCATGAATAATATAATATAGTAGGAATGACACCTGTTGGTTATTCCTAAGGAAATCGAGGGATCCAAGCCCACCAGCAGCAGCACCAGAAAGTGTTTCCTGGAAATACCCCAGTTTAAAAAATATAAAAACCAGAAACAGCAAAAATATGTAGTAAACATCCAACAAAATAGTAATGTTAGACCTGAGGAAACAGATTCAAGGGAGATGAATTAGGCACTCCAGAGACAGGGGCGGTAGGTGCTGCACCTGTTCCAGCCATGGTGTTAGCCCCACTAGCCACTGGCACTGCAACTTCTGCTGCCTCTGGAATACCCTGAAACATAGAATAGTATAAGTGACTAAAAGCCAACAAAAAAAATTGGTATAAAAAATTAAAAACATACAGTATATAAGTAATCCACAGCCCGCTCTGGATTGTTGTAAGCAGCTCTAAGTGCACGGATAACGGTTTCCTTTTCCCAGTTGCCACCACCTATATCCATAATTTGTTGAATAGTCTGCTCAAGATTATTACCAGCCACTAAATTGGAAGCAGCTTGACCATACGTATCAGAAGGTGCCCTGAAAGAACAATAAAATAATTGTTGCGACATCAAATTACACTGTTTATATACATATATTTCTAAAATTAAAAAATAAGGTACTTTTCTTTTATGGTTTGAAGAAGAACAAATTATCAGATTGCCTATCTGACAATGCTGGCAAACATACAGATGTAAAATGATGCATAAATGTAGTAACACAACTAATGCAGATTCAAACCCCATGTTATTCCATATAACTTTTGTGGAGAATTCAGCTCCAAAATCAAATCTGAAATTATTCAAGATGGACAACAGCCATTTCAAAACACCTTCCCAGCTTCGCACAATTAAGACTGACATCCCGGCTCCCACTCCCGCAACAAAATAAACTCAAACAAAGCAATCATATTAATGCTAGGAAGCATTGTGCAACAAATGAAAAAATCAAAAGGAGGAATTATATTACTCAAAATTTTCTAACAGATAGTAATTATTGTGCAAAACTTTTTGAGGAATACACTGTATTAATCTAAGGATCCTATAATATATTGTCTCTCCTGGATGAATAGCCTCTTCCTCTCTTTGGAATGGTTTTTTGGAAACTTGATGGCCTGATTTCCACTTTCCTAATCAATAGTTGTAAGAATTTTAATTAAAAAAAAATTATATCTTATTCCATCTTATAATAAAAAAAATTACAACAAAATGTATCTTGGAAAAATGATTAAAAAGGCATCTAACAATTCTTTCAACAAAAGTGAACAATGAAATTCTGATGGCAAGAGAAACAGCTGCTCTAACCAAATTTCTACATGTAGGTATTTTATGCTTCATTAAAGAAAATAACAATATTATTTTTATCAAAAACCCAAAAGACCTTGGGTATATAGGTTAAGCGAGTGAAAAACAGGAGGTCACAGAGCTTTTTAGTCTGGACAAAACTTGGTTGAACTGTTTATGGACCTAGTTCAGGCAAACCACAGTTTCTGCGCTAGGAGTACTTTCAGCTTAAATTGTTGAAGTGAACCAGTTCCAGTGATATCCACCAATGATTCAAGGTCAAGCCATCTTCACATCCCAACTAAATTCACAGGAGAAAAATCAAAAGGCATCTCGTCACACCCTCAAGAGTGTCAGCATTGATTAATTATTGTTCATGAGTTCCTAAAAGAAATGTAAGAAGCTAGTAGACAAGGCGATAGAGCACACACCTAGCTGTTGCCACATCTGAAGTAGATGTAATGTTCTTTGGGGCCCTACATAACAAACATATACAGGCTGTATGAGTTAATATTTGAACGTCATTTAGCCAAAAGTACAACATCATATGGTTAATTGTCATTTTAACTCACGGAGCTTGTACAGGAGCTTGTATAGGAGCTTCAGGCGCCGGAGTAGGATTAGAAGTTGGTGCTGTTGTAGATGAAGGCTGTTCAAATGTTTGCATGAGAAGTCTTTTAATTAGAAAGCAAAAGAATCATTTTCGTTAGAAAGCACAAGGTGACAGTATCTGTAAACAGAAAGGAAAATGCAATAAAAAACCTGGGCGGATGAGACACTACTTGAGCCCAAAGTTTTACTCTGTAGATATAATAAAAGAACAGAAAAATAATATAAGAAAAACAGAAAAAATATTATAAGAAAAATAAATGGAGAATTCAAAATATCAAGGTTCTATGCTGACAAAGTGGAGATATAACTGCAAGAAATTTCAAAAAGAAAATTCACAAAAGCAATACATCATGCACTGCCAAAACTCACAAATAGCACAACAATATTTTTAAGTTAAAACACACACCAGAGTCATGCTGTGTTAAAAAATTCCAAAACAAAAAAAAGATTACCTTGCTAAGCATGACAACAAGAAAACCATCTTCAGTGACCTTGTTCTCTGCCAGAGTACTTTCATCTTTCAAAACCTTCCCATTGTGAATCAATAATTGTTGTCCACATGGATAATTATCTTTTCCTTCCACATCTTCAATGTTTTTCTTAACTGCCATAATCTAGGATCACATGAAGTTACATTTCAATCAGCAGTGAACGAACTTAAAATTTTGCTCATACATATATCACAACATCTAATTGTGCAACCGTATTTCTTTCGAAAGGCAGCGTTATCAACCACTAGATACATGTAATCATATATTTCAAGACACGAGCTCCCACAGTCCCACCCAATGTGAAATAGTTGCATCATGATGAAACAACTGAAAAATATACCAACCTGGCTCCTATAACACAATAGCTTATGGACTTTTTCTTATGCAACTTTAATTTGTTGTGTTCGATATTTACTATAAAATATGTAGGTTACACCAAAAATCCACAAATTTAACAATCTAGGTCATTACAATTCAACAAAGCCTAATAAAACTACGTTACTTTTAGGGTTGGCCACCAGAATCCTTCTCCGTAATACAAATCTATCAAGGGCCATATCTTCTTCGACCATATGTGATGCACTCTGGTTTTATAGGCCTTTAATCATTAAAGATTTTGTCGTGCAAGTATGTCATTGAAGGCTTAGATGGACTGGAAAAAGATGACATGGCTAATACATTATAGTTATTAGGGTTGTAGTTTCTTAGTTTCAGATATTTAAGGTTTTAAGAATATAATTTAAGTCTTACGCATGCTAGGAATTATTGGTTTCAAAATGTATCCATGCGATGACCTCTTGGAGGGAAAAAAGATAAAAATTAGTATGCAATGAGATAACATTGGAGAATATTGAAGAGCTCTGATATCTATCTCTCAAATTTTGCTCTTTCCAGCACGCCTCTCTGTCTCTCTCTCTCTCATGTAAAATAGATGCATCATGATGATGCAACGAAAATATACCATCCTGGCTTCTGGACTTTTTCTTAACCAACTTTGTTTTCAAGTGTTCGATATTTCGATATAGAAGTGTAGGTTAAGGCTAAGATGCTAATTCTTTAGGGTTGGCCACGGTAATCCTTCTTCGCCATACAAAATCTATCTAGGTCCATATCAAGTCAGGCACATGGGCCATATGTAATGCACTAAGTTTCACAGGTCTTTGATCGTGGTGAACTTTTCCATGCAAGTATATCATTGAAGGCTCATTGTTGGACTGGGAGAAGATGATATGGCAACATATGGAATAATCGTTAGAGTTCTGTTTATAAATATATTGCTGTAATATCTTATTTTTAAGTATTTCAAGTTTTAATAATATATTTTAAGTCTTGTACATGCTGGACAGGATATATTTTAAAGAGTAATATTGTGCTAGCATAATTCTCGAGCTCTTCAGGGAAAACGAGATATAAACATCACACGAGTATTGGAATCAGATAATATTAGATGAGCGCTCTCTCATGTGCACCTCCATATCCTATATCCTCTCTTCTCTCTTTATTCTCTTTGCCCTCTCTTCCTCTTTATATAACTAAAAGAATCACTTATTTTGTTTGCCTGCCTTGAGTTTGAAGAAATTCTTGCAAGAGTCAGGTTAAATCAATATATCAATATTTTATCATCTCTTGTCTCGCCGCCTCGTCCCGTTATATCTTTATGGCTAACCTCTTGTATTTGGACACAAATCATAGCAGTGACACTAGTAATAATAGGAAAAACCACCAAATATGCATATTGAGTTCAATGATTTCGTCAATATATATATATATATATATATATATATATATGTATATGGAAATTTATGCAAGTTAAGTTTTTCGATCATTTTGAAACTCATTGACAGAGATTTACTTCATCCAGATTCAAAATTCTAATTTTTTCATAGTTCTATCAAACAATTTTGTATGATGACAATCAGTTTAAGGTCTGATTGACACCACTGAATTACGTCCCCCAGCATCAGCTAAAATTAAGTAGTTTCTTAGAAGATTAAACATACTATATGTCCAGGAAACATGGACCCAAAATTCGCCCCTTTTCTTTTACCAAAACAAATAAATAGTTTTTTGAAAGCTTAAACATACTACATAACCCAGAAGCATGGACCCAATATTGCCCTTTTTTACCAAAACTAAATGCCCTGCCACTATCCAACTGTTTCAAAAACTCCCCAAAATACATCAATCCGTGTAAACGTCTGTATGAATCAAAATTCAAGCCCCGGAAACCAAAAACATAATAATAATAATAATAAATATTGGTATCTAATATTTTGAGTTGCTTAGGTTTCTGACAAAATTAAGAAAATAAGAAGAAGAATTCATCTAAAAACAATGGTTCATGAACCTTGCTATGTATGTGATATTTTGACAATAATAAACTAAGACTACAATGTGTTGGTATCTATGTGTGTGTGAGAGAGAGAAGGAGCGGAGGGGACTCACGGTGTCGGAGGGCTGAACCCTAATTTCAAAATGACTGCCTTTCAAAGTCTTTACAGTGAGCTTCATCTCGGCGAATGACTGAGTTTTTGGATCGAATGTACAGAGAGAGTGTCAATCCAAAAGGATATTATGAAAACCCTAAAAAAACAAACGCTTTCACGGATCGAGAAATTGTAGAGAGAGAGAGAGAGAGAGAAAATCAAAAGAGAGTGTGCTTGCAGGTTATGAGGAAACTAACGGATGGTCCATTTCCCTTTATAGTGCGGCACGTGTGTTGCACGTGGCTTTCCCATTTAGTATTTGATTTTCTTTTTATTTAGGATTTTCCTTTTTTTTTTGTTGTCTTTCATTTTATGACTCTTTTTGAGAAAAATAATAATAATTGTCAGACTCCAAAACTGCACTATCCACACTGTTAATTCTTTTTTTATTATAATAATTAATCAAAGGCATGCAATTTTTTTTTTAAGCATTCAACATATCATAATTATTTTAAAATATATCAGGTACGAAGGAAAAAATTTAACATATAAGAATAAATAAATGATAGATGAGACAATCCCAGAAAAAAGATAGCATTCTTTTTTCTTTTTTTATTGAATAAAATATAAAGAAGAAAGTATCACCTTTTATTTAAGTTTATTTATTTCTTTCTTATTATTAGATTGTTTATCAAGAAGGTATATTAATATTAATAATATTCCTTGCCTTTTATCCATGATCCAACCAATAAAAATATATTATATCTTTTAGGATAATTGCACTTACTAATTTGTCTAAATAATAATGACTTTTTATTTAGTTTCACTATAATACCATCTCCCATCTGGTTCTAAGTATGAAACACACTAACCTTTCATGTTATAAAATTTGGCCTTTTTGTCCCCTGATGTCATGCTCAGCTCAGCATTTGTTTAGAATCCGAAAATACCATTTAAAAACTTGAACTTATTACTTTGTCCTTACAAATACAATGAATTTAGTAATTATTTGTCACTTTCGAGTCAAAATAAACACTAACATAATTATATATAAAACTATAGATGATATTCTTATTATTTAAAGAATCTACAAAATATATATATATATATATATATAATAAATAAATAAATGTAATTATCCCCATTTTTTATCAGAGATTTCTATCAAATAAAGCAAACACTCAAAAAAAATTTTAATTTGTTAATGAGGATTTAGTAACCATAATGAGGATTTAAGCTTTTAAACTTTCCAAATTGTGCACTTTTGCCTTTTCTCCTGTCGAAATTGAAGAACTAAAAGATAGATGACACAAATATATTGAAAAGAAAGCTGAAGGCTGCTTATTTCATTATATTTCTTAATTGTAATTTTACTTTTGAGGGATTTTGTAACAAATTAACTAACTTTTATGTAGGTAAGTTTAAAATTTATTGATATGAGAAATAAAATTGTATTAGGTTTCATAGAAGACAAATGTAGGTAAGTTTAAAATTTATTGATATGAAAAATAAAATTGTATTAGGTTTCATAGAAGACAAATCCCTCACCAGTCGCCGTATTGGAGAATGGGTCACAATACAAAATAGAGAGATTGTATGCATAATATTTCGATACTCAGCCACAGGCCTGTAAGGGACCGGGCTGATGCCCCCTCTGGAAATATATATATTTTTAGTAAAATGATATGGTCATCGAATGATTTTTTTGAATAATTTTGGAATCTAACGTGTTTTTGTCCAACTTATTTATTTAAATCGTTTACAAAAAATAATTGTTTAACACATTATAAATATAGCCAACCACGTAAAATTCGGTGCTAATTCAGGGATTCCTTTTTGGTTTCCCTATCATTACTCATATTTATATACCCTCGCCCCCCCCCCCCCCCCCCGAAATTTCACAAATGCCCCCTACTCTATAAGTTTCCAAAATATTATTTTATTACCTACAACTTTACTCTTTCACACTTTGGTTATCTCATCTTTGCCTCTTGCGCAAACATATATAGACAATATAACTTCAGCTTCAGGCCTTCTGCCTTCGGCAGTTCTTTCCATCACCGACCTGCCCCTACCTCCATCTGGCAATCCATGTCTCTCTCTTACATACACGACACCCACAAACACAATACCCACTATAGTATATATAATTTCCTAGGTCCATCACGGTCAATACCATAACACAATTATTTTGAAGTTGCAACACATTTAAATTAAGATTATGATACCTTTACTTCAATGTTGCAAAATTATTTCGAATAGGCAACACAACTAAGTCAAGATTGTAACACATACAATATCATTATTTCACTCCTCCTTTTTTTTAAAAAAAAAAGAAAAAAGAAAAACAGAGTTAAGGAACTAATATATAAATAATTAATAATTACAAGAATGGGCCTTCGGCCGAACAACCATGAAATAGAAATCAAGCCCAGCAGAGCAGCACAAGGTACAACCCAAACAAATTGAAAATAAGGGACAAGCCCAGCCCATTTGATTTATTATTATTTTTTTTTTCTTTCTTCGGGACAAGAATGTTAGAGGTTAGTTGTTAGAAAGGAAAAAGGGTACAAAGCTCACTCTCAGGCACTGATTAGATATTGACATATAGTGATAGGACCCAACATGATACAATTGGGTGATGACACAAATAACAAGTTTTTATTGGTCTTAACTCTTTTGAAGTAAAACTAATTCCTTTAAATGAGTAAATATTGGGTGCATCGTACACACCATGTCATTAATATGCCTACTCAATTAACCAATCGAACAAATCACAAGTATTGGGTAAATTTAGGGAGAACGTTTTTGGCGCCCTAAAAGTTGAACATAAGACCTTTGGATCATGGATCAGGGCCTTATGCCAAACTAAATTATCTGTAGGGATTTTAACTTCTTGTAGTAATTTCTGATGACAACAATACAAAAGCACTAAAGTTATAGTTTTTAATACTCCCTGTTATAATTAAATTGTCAATATTTTACTATTTTTGAGTTGTTCTAAAATATTTTTCCTACACAATTTTCAAAAATTTCCAAATTGATTAATATATATACTCCATATATATATATATATATATATATATTCAGACTTGAAAAGAGACCATGTATTAATTGAATGTTGTTTTTAAACCGTGACACTACTATGGAATTGAATGAGTTAATATTTTAGGATAAAAATATAAAATTGAAGGTCTAATAATCTTCCTCTCAACTATAAAAATCAAGTCTACCTATTCAAAAAATTAGTTCATTTAAAATAAGAAAGAAAAAAAAAAATTTCACTAACTAATTATTTCCTTCAAAGGTACTAAAAGGGCAATAAACGTTAAGAATTCACATATAACAGAACTATCAAACCGTTCAGAAATAATCTTTCACTAAATTTGTATTATCCAAAATAATAATAATAATAATAATAATTTATGATAGACGTACATGGACTCCAAGTAATTGAATTTCTAGCCCAATAATCCAATTACAAGGATTAAGGTTTGCATGTAGTCCTTGCCCAAACAAGAAACGAGGTTAGGGAATTAAGAGAGTTTTGAGAGTATAATTAAGTTAAGTTTGAATAGTTGAGTGTTATTTTATGTTAGTGAGTAGGTAAATCATGTATATTTTGTGTTTGTTTTATTAATGGGTAGACAAATCACGTAAAGCTAGTTTATTTTTAATTATTCCTATAAAAACTCAATTTAAGTTCTCGGAGTAATACATGTGTGCAATGGCAGAAAAATTTTCTTAGTTCGCATTCCCTTGGTGATTTTTTTTTTTACTTCATGTCTCTACTTCCATTTGGTTTGTGTCAAGGCTATGGCCGGGGACTTGTAGTCTTTATACTGGGTTTCTCAATAAATGGAGGGTAGATTGGGAGAGATAAATGGAGAAAAATCAGAAAAGATAAAATAGTAGCGCTGTGATGACTGCCTTTCACCCACCTGCTTTTTAGACTTGTGATGGTAAAGTAAACTCAAATATGACAATTATCTACAAATTACACATATTATTTAAATTCGAGTATTTTTTAGTATTAAGTGAATTTCAAATTTGAGAAGAAGAGAATAATCTCCATTAATTATTCTTCTCTCCCACCCTTCCTCCATTTATTGAAAAAAACCCAATACAAAGACTACAAGTATCCAACCATAGCCCGACCCGCACCAAAATCAGGTACACAAATCAAACTCGATATCAATAGGTCTGTTGTATAAAATATATCTCTAGTCACATATGGTACATTATTATTATTGTTGTTGTTATTATTATTTTTTTCTTCTCTATTTGTGATTTATGAAATAATATCTGATAGGAAAAAATATAACCTACCCTACCCTCGATAAGATTGATTAGATTTAATTATCAATGATAATGAAATCTGACATGGTTCAACAGGTAAGAATAATCCTATTATAACTGGAGGAGGTCAAAAGGATTAAATCATATCCCCGATCTGGCAACAAATCTCCTATGATCTTGCATAAGCGAAAGATGAGATCAACCATCGACATTGGCGGAACGATTTTGATTCCAATCGACAGCCATAAATAGGGCACCAAGCCATTAAAGAAGGTACGATGAAAAAACTATTATTAATCCCTGCCTTCTTTTAGACCTCCATGACTAATTTGATCGTCGGAGAGCTCTTAGCAGGCACCACACCGGTGCCGTCAAGGTTCATCGATCTTTTCCTCTCTTCCTTGCAGGAAAACGGTATCATATCGGATTGCGCGAATTTCAGCCTCAACAGTTGGCGTCGTCTGTTGGAACGACGATTCCCTTAAATCAATTAATTACTCGTTGGGTATATACGTTTGTAGTCCGGTATAGTTACCGAAGGAACACTGTCGTAGGGATCTGGTCAAAGGGTAGAGTCGGGTGAAAACCTGGACGTCCCAAACGACCAGGCACGGCTTGCAGCGTTAGAACTGCAGGTTCAAACTCTGAGTCAGGGTATGAACCAGTTGATCCAGCAAAATGCAACGCTCTTACAACACCTTGTTCCACCGGTTCAACAAAACTTTCCACAACAAGATCTCTCAAGTCCAAACGGAGGTAATAGGAATCTTGAAGGGCAGGATAATCATCCCCCCCAAAATGAGACTGAAGTGGAACAAAGCCAGGTGGGAACCTGACATAAAGAGGTGGTTCACCCATCTCTCCAACGGAGTTCTCGACCTCCTGAAAGCATAGCCTTTCGTCTTAAGGAAAAGACAAAGAAAGTTACCCATCTCGACTTGCAGATCAAGGATCTCAAGGGGAAAATGGAAGATGTAATGCAGGCTATGAAAGGGAAAGGTCCTGTCCCCGTAGATGACCTGGTACAAAGGACCAACCTGCCTTTCAGCCCCGTCGTTATGAAATGTCCACTACCTAGCAAGTTCAGAATGCCTTCGTTCGAAAGCTTCGATGGGACCAAAGATCCCTTCGATCACCTGGAAACTTTTCAAGCTCTTATGCATTTACACGCTGTGCCAGATGAAATCATGTGCCGAGCTTTTCCCACTACACTTAAGGGATCAACAAGAGTTTGGATCAACAAGCTGAAGCCAGGAACCATCAACACCTTCAAAGAATTGAGTAAGCAGTTTGTGAGTCACTTCATTGCAAGTCAGAGGCATAGGAGGCCGGCTACCTAACTGTTTACTGTGGAGCAACAAAAGGAAGAGTCGATTCGAAAATACATCACCCGATTCAACAGAGAGATGTTGCAGGTAGAAGATGTGGACGACAAGGTAGCTTTGACCGCTTTTATAGGATGACTCCAAACCTCCAGATTCTTGTTCTCCTTGTCAAAAGAACTTCCCACCAGCATTATAGAGTTGCTAATCAAAGCGCAAAAACATATCAACGCTGAAGACACCATGAGTGCATGGAAGGAAGGAGAGGACAAGAAAAGGCCAGCCTCTCTCGCTAGGCATGAAAATAATACCAAATATAAGAAATCGTTCTTCAGCCAGAGCGATATCACATATCATGAGAAGGACTCAGATGAGTATACCGACTAGAAATTGTCTCACGGTTGGAATTAGCCTTATCAAGTCATTCACAATAAAGACTGGGGGCATCTTAGTTAATCATTTTAAATGAAGGGTAGCTCCATCACGTGTTATTTTGTTTTTAATAAGCCTTGAGGCAATGATGGTCTTTAATAAAATTCTTTTTAGTTTATACGTGCAGTATCCCCGTACTATAAATGATAGTAAATGAGTGTCCTGTATTACAAGGACCGGGGCTGAGTGAATCTTGTAATCCGTATCCCCGTACTATAAGGGATAGTAAATGAATGTTCTGTATTACAAGGACCAGGGCTGAGTGAATCCCATAATCCGTATCCCTGTACTATAAGGGAATAGTAAATGAGTGTTTTGTATTACAAGGACCCGGGCTGAATGAATCCCATCATCCATATCCCCGGACTATAGGGGATAAATATTCTGTATTTTCAAGACCCGGGCTGAATGAATCCCGTAATCCATATCCCCGTAATATAAGGGATAGTAAATAAATATCATGTATTACAAGGACCCGGGTTAGATGAATTCCGTAATTAATATCCCTTTACAATAAGGGATGATAAATAAAAATATCTTATTAAAGAGGTGAGCTGAGTAAAACTCGTAAAGTTCAATTCCCTGATGAGCTGAGTAAAGCTTGTAAAATTTAATTTCCTTATTAAAGAAGTGAAACTCATACAATTTATTCCCTTATCAAAGGAAGAGTACTGTTCCCTCGGGTGAAAAAAAAAAAGAGAAAAAAAGTTCATGAACAGTACCGAGGGTACTGTTCCATCGGGTGCAAAAAAAAAAAAAAAAATCCCTGAGTCACTATTCACATGAATAGTACCCGGGGGGTACTGTTCACATGGGTTAAAAAAAAAAAATTTCTTGAGTTACTATTCACGTGAATAGTACCCGTGGGAATAGTACCCGCGGGTACTGTTCATAGGGGTTAAAATATATATATATATATATATATATATATATATATATATATTTATTACATTCCCAAAGTTAGACGTGCAAGCTTGGGAATGTGGGGCAACTGATAGGGAAAAGTATGAACCTACCCTACCCTTGATAAGATTGATTAGATTTCATTATTAAGGATAATAAAATCTGACGTGGTTCAACAGGTAAGAATAATCCTATTATAACTGGAGGAGGTTAAAAAGATTAAATCATATCCCCGACAAATCTGACAACAAATCTTCTATGATCTTGCACAAGCGAAAGATGAGATCAACCATCGACATCAGCGGAAAGATTTTGATTCCAATCGACAGCCATAGATAGGGCACCAAGCCATTAAAGAAGGTACAACGAAAAAATTATTATTAATCTCTGCCTTCTTTTTAGACCTTCGTGACTAATTTGATCGTCGGACAGCTCTTGACAGGCACCACACCGGTACCGTCAAGGTTCATCGATCTTCTCCTCTTTTCCTTGTAGGAAAACGGTATCGTATCGGACTGCGCGAATTTCAGCCTCAACAATATCTATGCCGAACAATTCCACGCTACATGAAAATCTTGATTTTTTATGTGCATTGGTTTTGTTTTACATATAAATTATTGTTATAATTATGTGAATTTATATATTTTGTCCAGTCTCAACTTAGGCAAACATTGCAATTTAATGGAAGAATCAAAGCCACTGTCACATTATTTAAATAATTCTTAAATTATGCATTCAAGCTCATCTTCATCATTCTGGTATGTAGATGTGTGGCAAAATCATATCAAGAATCAAAGTCTCCTTTAATAATTGAACTTACAAATAGAATAATATATAGTAATATTCAAATAATTTTTTTCCTGCCACATGTTTTTAATTTGTTAATTTGAGGCCCTTGAGGACCTTCTAATTTAATTAATGAAAATTTTGGTGAAGTCTGTTTCCAGTGTTTCCTTACTAGCATTACAAGTAGTCAAGACCAACAATACTACATGTTGCAAAAATAATAAAAGAAACATTTTGAAAAATGAAAATGGTCATTTCATTATGAAAAATTTATTGTACATGTTCATTTCATTATGAACAATTTATTGTACATATATATATATATATATATGTATATATAATTCCAATAAATTATATGCTATTTTCCCTTGAGAAAGCTGCTGCAAATCTTTTGCCATGACTTATTATCTGCTTCTGCACTCTCCAATGCAATTTTTGCATCTTCTGCAAAGTCACTCTGGGCCATTTTGAATCTGTAGGTTAGATTATATATATATATATATATATATATGTATGCAAGTATATAACTATATATAACATGACTATGTTGTTACCTTTACAGAGTTATTGTTGAGAAGACGATCGATGAGATTAAAAAGGATGTCTTTGGTGTACTCAGGATGACCTTGAATGCCTAATATGTGGTTTCCAATAGCAAACATCTCCACATTCGTTTTGTTTGAAAATGCAATCACCTTAGCTCCATAAGGAACCTCCCATACCTGATTCAATATAAATAAATACAGAAATACATAATATCTAAGAAATCATATATTTGATGGTTAGGATCACTGATTTCATCGAAGTAGAGTTGCACAAAAAGAATCTAATCTAATTGTTAGCATGAAATAAATAATATATATATTACATAATACACTTGTTTAATTTTTATTAACAGAGATTATAATTTAGCTATATCCAACCGAATATGAATATCTATGGTACAATTCAATTCTATTGATTCCATTAGTTCTGTTGGTTCATTCTACAACCAAACCATGTGCAACAAATATATATTTTTTTGACGTTTTGACTTATATATATATATAAAGATTGTAAGAACAGAAAAAAACAAATAAAATTAAATTAGGAAGTCATGATCCGTTCGGTAGATAGGCTTGTCGTTATCGGTTGCCACTTGCTGGGACAGTATCATATTAATTGATCACAGAAGTGGGACATCCTTGATCACATATATAGATGTCCCACTTCTGCGATCAATTAATATGATACTGTCCCAGCAAGTGGCAACCGAAAACGACAAGCCTATTTACCGAACGTATCATGACTTCCTAATTTAATTTTGTTTGTTTTTTTCTGTTCTTACAATCTTTATATATATATATATATATATATATATATATATATATATAAAAGTCAAAACGTCAAAAAAATATTTATTTGTTGCACATGGTTTGGTTGTAGAATGAACCAACAGAACTAATGGAATCAATAGAATTGAATTGTACCATAGATATTTTATTTTTTCTACAATTATTTTGAGTTACTCTTTCACGTGATGTGATCCACTTCGTGATTGCTAAATCACCTTACATTCTATACAATATATATATATATATATATATATATATATATATCTTATATTTTGCTTGATTATAATGTGATCAAGGATGTCCCACTTCTGTGATCAATTAATATGATACTGTCCCAGCAAGTGGCAACCGATAACGACAAGCCTATCTACCGAACGGATCATGACTTCCTAATTTAATTTTGTTTGTTTTTTTATCTGTTCTTACAATCTTTTTTTATTTTATTTTTTCTACAATTATTTTGAGTTACTCTTTCACGTGATGTGATCCACTTCATGATTGCTACATGACCTTACATTCTATACAATCCCAATTGGGCATGTGATATATCATTTATTTGTTACTAATATTTAACCTTTTTTCTACAGAGAGGAATAAGGGGTTTAAACTCCATGATGAATATTCGTGGATGAGTATTTATAATTCATCTGGTCAAAGAAAAGAAATTTAATATTTGCATTAAAAAAAAAAAAAAAAAAGTCAGACCAATCATATATGGTGAAAGGAAACAGGACAAAAGTATTACTAATGTAAAATAAGTTTGGCAATGGTTGTTCTACACACACACATATATATATATATATAGAGAGAGAGAGAGAGAGAGAGAGAGAGAGAGAGAGAGAGAGGGGAATGTACATATGTATAGAGAGAGAGGGGGAATGTACCTCATCTTGGTGACACTCAATAATGGAAAGGGAAGGCATATCATTGAGAAGAGTAAATGGGGATGATATGCCCTTCACCAATTTCACTTTCCTCAGTCCAATATCCCAACCACTCCAGGCTCTCCCTACCTTACCACCCAGTGCTCTGCACAAAACCTACATATATAACACACAAACATTTCAACGCACTAATCAAATTGGAATTACAACCATGTCAATACCGCCATTCTAAAAGGGAAAAAAATAATATAAAAAGACAGAATGGAATGTGGACTGGATCAAAATTGGTATGGAATGCAAGCAAAATGGAACATCATTTTTGAGTTACATACACACACACACACAAGGCATACATACCTGGTGACCAAAGCAAATTCCAAGAACTTTCTTTTTCATGGAATTCAAAGTTGTCAAGAGGGAGCAAAGTGTCAATATCCAGTGCTCATTACCAAAAGCATCAAAAGGGCTACCACTCACCACAAAACCACTGTAATTCTGAATCTCATCAAACTCAGGGAACTGTCCTTCAATCACTCTAAACAAGTCCCAACTCTCTCCTTCCTCTCCAAATGCCTCTACAAACACATTGAAGTAACCACCATACACCTTCTCTACATATTCTGAGTCCTTTGCTGCCAACAACACTGCATATCTCCCCTCCCCACCCTCAACCTTCATCTTCACACACACACACACACAAAAGAGAAGAAAGAGTGAGAGAGAGACCAATAAATAACTCAATATTTATAGAAAGAGTGCATGTCAGGATGAGGAATCAAGATTCAGCAGTGGAGAGACAGGGTTGGCCTTGATTAAATTTGTTTGACTTTTGAATCTTTGTCATGCAATCAAACCGCTCATTTGGGTCACACCACTTTGATAGAAAAAAAAAAAACACTTTGATATTCATTGGTGATTTTGTACCCAGTCTTGGGCCGGTTGAATTAAAAATCAATGCCATGCCATTTGCATTTGCCATGCAAGTTCACTATCAATAGTCTCTTATCTTACTTGGTACAATTTCTACATGGGGAAACAAAATATGGGTATGTATTTGCTTTATCATTAAATAAATATATAAAAAGAAAGATATGAACAATTAAAATTTTATTTATTTATTTTTTGACGTTACATTTGAAAGAACACCGAATCAATTATTTGGATTAAAAAAATTTCATTTTCAATTCTAAAACATCGATTGTGTACTCCCTAACATTGCTTTAGTTTAATTTGGGCATTACCCAAAATTAAAAAATAAAAATTTATAAGCATAAAAGTGAAGTGAATGCTCTGAGAAAAATCATGGTATTAAATATATTTTGAAGAGGAATTCTAAGATATGGGTAGTATCCATCTGTGTGAGATATTATATAAGAGTACCCAATGATGCCACAATTGCACACATATACATATTACATATTAGTGTTCCTATTCAACATTATTGAATTGAATCATACTTCTGCAAAAAAACAAAAAATAAATAAATAAATTGAGACGTACTCTATTGTTAGCCATAAAGTTGAAAAACATACGCACACATTATAAATATGGAGGTGCACTTTATTCATAACATCTCTCACTCATATTATGGTGGGATTCATTTGATTCATAACACCCCACTCAAATTATCTTATGCTTTATTAGTCACCATACTTATTATTATTCACATATTTACACCATCGTAAAAATATATAAACACTGTAATATATTGGTATCTTCTTTATCTTCAAAAAAAAAAAAAAATATTAAAAGTTCAAGTCTCTAATAAATGTGTCTCGGAGTTATTATTTCCCCATAATTATTCAAGAAAATAGAGATTTTGGAATTGAAAAATTTCCACATTATATGTCAAATACATAAGCAGCAGGACCAAGTCTGATGATTGCTTGAGATGGTTGAGATTGACCATGCATATGTGCAGGGAATTTTTTTAAAAAAATAAAAATAAAAATACAAATAAAAAATGCACATGGATAGTTGAATGAGCTACAAGTCAATACTACAAATACAAAAATTAGCTAGGTATTCTGACTTATGAGGCTTCATTCTGATTTTGACACCGAGTAGATTGTCAAAATTGCAACCCACAATAATTTTTAGAATTTGTTACCAATTAATCATATTTTTAAACAAAAAAAAGTAAAACTGATCGATCAAGAACTGAAGTATATATATATGAGACAATGGGAAACTTTGAAACTTGGTTCTTAAACCATCTCATTTGTATATTTATTTATTTATTTATTTTAATAAAGTATGAAAATCCATATATCAAGAATTGAATTCTATTGGAGTAAAGTAAACAGTTTCAGACAGAAGAGTTAATATAAGTCAAAATGGGAAAAATGTGCGAAAAGGGAGAGAAGTTCCCACTAGTTAACCATGACCCATTCAAAAAATGTGACAAAAACTATATCCTATATAGTATTTATATTATAGATTTTTATTTTCTAAAATTTCAGTCTCCGTGTTCAAAATGAGGAGGTGTATATGTCATACATGGAAGACTAGACAACCAAAAATCTTGATCAGAATCTTGACACTTAAAAAATCTAATTAGCATAAATAATGTCCTTTTTTTAAATGTCATTCACAGTAAATGATTTAGAAGATAAAGCAATGGCTCTGAGTACTTTGTGATCCTTTTGATAATTGGTTTAGATAAAATAAGCTCATAGAAGACTTTCTATGGCATAAAATTGGTGTCTTAGAATTAAATTTAATAGACCGTGAGAAATTGATAAGTCATTTTCTATTCCTTTGATAGTTAAATTTCATCCCTTGTCAACATTTCATTAAAAATTCAATAAATCAACATCGAGAGAAATATTTTTCCTTTGAGTGCAGCTACACGTCACCGATATCTTATGAATTGAGAGTATATATAAATAGCAATATTATACATTTCATAGTCATAACCTTTCACAACTTATGCATTTACCATTTCCTGCCATTTGCTAGGAGGTGTGACATACTAAATGTCAAGGTCATATGACTTACTGCCACATTAAATAAGTTTATTTGGTTATATTTCTCTCCCTTTCCCTTCTCTGATGCTGTGTTTGAAGACTAGTTTTATTTGTGCGCTGAAAACTCAAATGACCATGCATGTCACTAGTGCTGTTCACAAAATTACTCCAACAATTCTACAAAACCTTATGTGGCTACATATAAATCTTGAATTATGTATACAACTTTAAGTAGGCCAATGCAACTTACTAAAAATTCAGAGTAGATAGTTTATTATAACACTATACTAATTGGATTGTCGCGTGACTCATAGATGAAATTCAATACTCGTGACCAAATAAAACATTTGTTTATCAACGCATTCACAGATGAAATTGAATTTTCTCGACTATTCATATATTTATATATAGCACATATATATAGGTAATGAAGCTTGTAAAACTTTCTTGACAAGCATCCCAACTTATGCTTCGTTTGGTTGGAGGGATGGAAAAATGGATGGAAGAGATAGAAGGATGGATGGATGAGGAATCCCTAGGGAATAGAAGGTGTCTCCTCCATTTTTTATTTGGTTGAATAGAATGGATAGTAGAAAGAATGGATGGGGTGATACTTTTTTTGTTTGGTTGGAAGGAAGGGAAAGAGATTTTTTTTATTTTTTTACTAATATATCCTCACTATATAAAATAATAAAAAGTAGATATCCATTTGAATTTTTTTGAAAAGGTTAAAATTGAAAATTGCGTATTGTTGGTAGTTATTCATTTTCTCTCTCCTCCCTTCCTCCAAAATTGGGCTGATAGAAAAATATGAAGAAAGGAGGGATGCTTCATCCCTCCTTGCTTCCTCCCTCTCTTCCCTTCCCTCTCACCAAACACAAAAAGTCTCATCCATCCCTCCTCAATTCATCCCTCCAATCAAACATCGCATTAAAGTCAAAAGATCATCAAAATTCAAATATAATTAAGTACAGATGAAGACCATGTAAATATGAGTGCATTTGTGGAACCTACAAGGAGTTGAAATAACAAGGACAATCATGTGAAAATGAATCCTATATAGTATGTGGTTCTTTTCAATCATAGACATTTGAGTCTAAGACAGAGGCAAGTTCAAATTCCAAATTTACTATTTTAGGAAACTATTTTTTCACATCCACTACAAAACTGGCACTTGGCTCTTCACAATTTAGATCACTTCCACCATACTCTCTCTCTACAATATTCCTAGCCAAAAAAGGTCCTCCAAATTTGGCGGGGGAGACCCTCTCCTCCTCCTAATGAACAAATATGTGCCCATTTTAACTCCACTTATTTGGATATAAAACCACCTCTTTAGCTCCTTTACAAGTACTGGTCTAAACATTGTGTGAACACACTAGTGAACATGAATTTCAACATCACTGTATTGTTCTCTCTCTCTATTCTCTTCTTCCGTTGTGCCAATGCCTTCAACATCACCAATCTCCTCGACAAATACTCCGATTTTTCGTCCTTCAATAACTACCTGACTCGAACTGGACTTGCAGGGGAGATCAATTCGCGACGAACCATCACTGTTCTTGCTGTTGACAACTCTGCCTTGTCCTCGGTAGAAGGCAAATCAAGTGACATGCTCAAGAACGTCCTGAGCGTCCACATTGTGCTAGACTACTACGACGTCTCGAAGCTCCAGCACCTACCGAACAAGTCCATGATCCTCACTACACTGTTCCAGACAAGTGGTCATGCCTCGGGTGAGCAGGGGTTCTTGAATGTGACGAATGTGAAAACAGGAAGCGTTGTGTTCGGTTCAGCTGCGAAAGGCTCGACACTGGGTGCTGATTTGGTTAAATCTGTAGCTTCTCAGCCTTACAACCTGTCAGTGTTACAAGTGAGTAATGTGATTGTTCCTATGGGCATTGAGAACTCTACAACTAGCCCGGCTCCGGCTCCGGCTCCCGGAAAAGCAAAGTCTCCATCGAAGTCACTCTCTCCCGATGAGGCTCCTGCACCGTCCAATGCAACTGCCTCGCCCAAGGGTAGTGCACCTTCCGCGGAGGATGTCCCTCCTAAAGGCGATGGACCAACAGCTGATGCTCCAGCAGCAGATTCAGCCAAAAGTCGTGCAGCCACAACTCTCGTGCTGAGCCTTGGTTTGGTTATGTTGATACTATCGTCTACTTTGTCTACCATGTGGATGATTTGGTAAGAGCGGGAGAAGAAAATAAGAGAATTTTGCATTGAAAAAAAATGCAATTCTTGAATTTTGTTTGGAGCTTTTACTTTTTAATTCAGAATACTTGCAGTTGTATGAACGCGTTCTGTTTTGCATAAATCAAATTGAAAGATTCTGAAAACTGTTTTGGATTTCAAATTTGCTGGAAAAGGACTAGGATATATATGTACAATAGGATGAATCAATTGGGAACTGGTACCAAACGGCAATGGGTTCAAATGTAGCTATTTATGGGTGTAACAAGACTGATGATAAAGAGCCAAACTAATAGGGTGCACATTTTTTGAGCATGTAAAAGCATAGACTGCAATATCCATGGTTCTAATTTATACCAAAATTGGGACTTAACAACAGAATTTCAGTTAGAGAACCTTAAAAAATTTACTCGAAAATGAAAAGTATTGGTGAAATTCAGAAAATAAAAATGGATTCATAATTCAGTAAAAATGCAGGCATTTACAAAACAGGGTTTTAGTTCTAGTTGACTTGAAGTTAATGCCATGACACTGTTTTCTAATGTAGCAGAAATAGCAGCTGAGTAAGCTTCAAGATGGACTAGGAGGAGTTCCCCAATTCTTATTAATCTATGGGTAAAGTGCAAGAAAAAAATAAAAATAAATAAATAAACCTTCTATATAACAATATAACAGTTTCTTATTGAGAAATCACATCTATAACTAATTAATTGTAGTTTACAATCATTGGGAAATTAATTTGGGAAGTTTTGTGAAAAGAGTTCTATGACTGAAAAATGAAAATGTTACAGAAAAGAATTCATTGCATCAAACAATTTTTAGTGCATGAAAACACAAAGTTTTTTCAAAAACACAATGTTGGCCGCCCTGGGCCTAGCCACCCAGGCGGTCGCATAGGGCCTTCAATTTGGGTTAAAAAATTTATATTACTGTAGTTCAAAATTTTGTTTTACTGGAGCCTCTCTATTTTTTGGGACTCACATTTGCCTAGTCAGGCTCCTATCTTTTTTTATTTTCATTTTTTTTTTTAAAGAAAAAGAAAAACACACGCACCCACTTTTTATTTTTAAGAAGATTTGAACATTAGATCTTGTACTTTGGAAGATAAGAAGATACCGTACACAACCATTGTTCTTCTCTCCCTTGTTATTTCACAACATTAGTACCCATTTATATCTGTAAAATGATAAAGCTAAAGCATTATAACAATTACTTATCAAATGTAATTTCACTATATGCATTTAACTATTTTTTTTTTTTTTTCTCCGGGGATTTAACTACCCTTCGTATCTTGATATTTGGTTTTATATAATACTCCGTATTATCTCTTATGTTAACTACTTTGTTTACAATGTTCTCTAATTTCAATTAGAAAACTTATAATGAGGTTTATTTCAATTACAACAGGGTGAATTCTATGTTTTTTCACTTGATTATATATCAGGAAAGAGAGTAATAGAGGCATTATAATAATAAAAAATAATCAGAATTTATTCAGTGTAAAACCTTATATTTTAGCCAAACTTAATTTTGATCAAATAAAATTTTATTTTTATTTTTTTAATTTTAATCCAATAATTAACTTGAGCTCTCTAATAATTTACAAACTCCAAAAAAAATACTATCACCCACAAGTCACATATATTATTTAAACTTGAGTATTTTTTTTGTTTGTAAAAATTAACCAAGACATTTTTTTTTTCCCCCTAAATAACCAAGACATTCGAGCCTGAACTCAAAAAGACTCCGTATCTCATGACACTTAATTAACTGAAGATTAAATTTCAGTTGTACAAATTTTTTTTTTTATTTTGTTGCTGTCAATGATTAATTTTTAGATGAATCTTTTTCTTTTTCTTTCTAACACCACCTTAGAATCTTAATTATTTCGGATTCCTATATCAAAAATACTACTAGTGAATCAATCATCCGAAACCATACTTTGAAACATTACTTTTCCACGCGCTATTCACAACATACTGATTCAATCGTAGCCACTGAACATTGACTTCGACTCCAATCAAATAGAGCGTGATTTCCACTTTCTATTACACGCGTGGTGTCTATATCTCCTCAATGAATTCGGAGTTACGTTATACGAACACAAAAAACATAAAAAGATAAAAAAAGAACTAACATTACTCTATACGGACACAAAAACGAAAAAAAGAGTCCGATAGAGAGAGAAAGTAGAGAGAGAAAGAAGAGAGACAGTATCGGGGGAGCGATCAGAGCGAGAGAGAGGGCTCTTCCAATCTCTGATTCAGGACTGCGCGCAGATTTTTAGAGAGAGAAAGTCCGGTGAAACCGAAATGCAGAGCGATTTCAAGAGAGAGAGAGCGAATAGAAGAACAACGGGTCAAGAAGAAGAAGAAGCTACATTGATTCCGACGAACAAGTCTCTGTAAACACTCTTCCTGAATCTGTTTTTACAATAGGTTCTTTCATACTCTCCAAACAAGGTCAGGCTACCCATTTTTTCTCTCTCTATATAAGCTCGTATTTTTTCCCTCTGGAAGCTTGAATCTCTGTTGTTCAATTTCAATTGTCTGTAAATATTCGAACGTTTCACTGAAAACTGCAAGTTCTATTCCTTTGTAATTCTGTTGCATATGAGTTGGTTGAGGTTTCTGGGTGAATCATTGATAGTTCTAGCCTATCGAATTTCGAAAGAATTGAGGTTTACTTGGGATCACGGAAAGGTATCTTTTCATGGGTTTTGGAGTTTCTGCTTGAACATGGAGGGTTTTCTTATATCTTACTTGTGATTAGAATTGGTGCTTGAGTTTGTTGGATTGGAGTTTAAAACTTATGATATTGAATTTTGGAGGGAGAGTTAGTTGGGATTGGGATCTCTGGTCTTGGTCCTCGTGGGCTTAACCCCTCCAATTTTCCCACGCTTGATTGGTTTTTGAAGATGTGTTTTGGGTTAGCATTGTTGGGGTTGCCTGTAGAGGGATTAAACCTTGTTTGGAAGACAGGTTTTGGAAACAGAGCAAAACCCTAGTTTAGAAGTGAAATAGGAGTCTTCTGTTTTGTGTTTGGAGCTGTGGAACTTGATGATCCTTCTTTTGGTTTATGGATTTTATGTCTTGAGAAATGCAACCACGACATCAGAACTCACGTATCAATCTTGCTGAACTGAAAGCTCAAATAATTAAAAAACTTGGGCCGGAGGGATCAATGCAATATTTTTATTATCTGAATAGATTACTGAGTTTGAAGATAAGCAAGGTTGAGTTTAATAAGCTTTGTCTTCAGATTGTTGGAAGAGAGAACATTCCACTGCATAATCAGTTTGTTCGTTCAATTCTGAAAAATGCTTGTAATGCAAAAGTGCCACCACCAATTCATGATAAAAATCCTGTCAAGTCTGCAAGAGCAGCTGCGAATAAAGATCCTCCTCCTGATGGGCATCAGCAAAATGGGTCCCATCCTTCTATAACCCAGACTCCAAATTCGGTGGTTTTGTTGAATGGGGATATATTGCCATTGTCACCCCTGAAAGCCAGGTCTGCAATTCATGACCAGAAGCTAGTAGATCGTCATAGTCCTCTTGGACCAAATGGGAAGACAACCTTTGCTTCTCAACAATCAACAACCATATGTGACAGCGATTCTAATGTTGTTTTGGGAAATGGGAACTTGATTTCAAATGATATTCAAAGCCTGGTGCAGCATCATCAAGAAATCACAAAGCAAGCAGAGAATGCAAGGGAAGTTATGCATCAGCTCCCTGCTAAATCATCAGAAATAAAGACATCACCTGATAATTCAGTTCCTGTACATAGTAAAGACCAGATTGAAGTATTTGTTGGCAATGAAAAAGAGGTGTCTGCTAGAAGTCTAGTCTGCGCCCCACTTGGGATTCCATTTTGCCCGGTTAGTATAGGTGCGGCCGGCAGGGTCATACCTTTGGCAAGCAGTGGTAAATGTCCTAGCTCATTTGAAAGTAATAGTTTGTTGAAGACCAAGACGCTGAGGGAACGCATGGAGCTGATTGCTACAACTCAAGGCCTCGAAGGAGTGTCGATGGGCTGTGCCGATCTGTTGAATAATGGGTTGGATGCTTACTTGAAGGGTTTAATTAGGTCTTGCATTGAATTGGCGGGGGCAAGGTCAGCACATGAGCCTTTGCCGAAAAATATTCTCAAGCATCGCTCTGATGGGAAGCTTGTTAACGGTGTCACATCGGTTTATCACTATCAGATGCAAAATAGTGGCATGCCATTGCAAGGCATACAAGAACAGAGATCCCATTGTCCAATATCTTTGCTAGATTTTAAGACTGCAATGGAGCTAGACCCAAAGCAGCTTGGTGAAGACTGGCCATTACTGATGGAAAAAATATGTACTCATGCATTTGAGGAATAACACAGCGGGAGCAAACATTGGTGTCCAGCAGTCATGACTGGCTGTTCGCTATTGGTCCAGAAGGCATGTCTGCTTTGTTTAAGCACCTGTGGGTGGCTTTGATGTAGTTATATCTCTTTCATGGCCTTCTTGGACCAGTTCATTATCCTTGAGGTAAAACTCCATCCCTTTTGAGATAATGGTGATCAGATCCTGAAAACTTTTTATTTACCTGCTACGGAGCTTGTCTTTAGTCAGAAGCACTATGTTTATCTGCAACCAAACGAAGGGAGTTGAAGAAAGAATGCCCATGTTTGGTTGCACTGTTGTAGTATTAGCATACAAGTTGATAATCTCACTGCGTATTTTTGCTTTCTCTGTAATTTATAACCAATGGGGAGGAAATTTAGAACAGTTTTGCAGGAATAATTCGTGTAGCTTGGTAGAAAAGTAAAATTGCATGATATAACAGTTTTTGTGTATTTAATTTCAATGCAAAGAATTCATTAGAATCTCAATATTAACATGTGATTGCCAGTTGAATATTCTTGATGATATAAAAAACTCCCTTTATTGAAGTTATATTTCTCTTTGTTTTATTTGGAAGTTTATCTTTGCTTTGTTTGGCTGCAATATTTAAATTTTCTATTTTTCACATTTTTGCTGAAGCTTTTCTATTGTTATGCTTTATTTTTGAGTTGCTTATCTAGTTAAGTGCTTGGAAGAATATTCTCACGATAACCTGCTTTATGAAAAATTACCAACTTTCAATTGTTTGGGTGTAAAGAATTTCCACTACTAGTGACCTCCTTGCAGAATCCCAATGTCAAGTTGTTCCGACTAATGAGTTTTTGCTTTCTCCCATGATGGAATTTTTTGAGTTTAAGGAGTCTGCCAATGGATTGTAGCATTGAATCTATCAACTAAAAGTTTGATATCCGAATTATTATTATTATTATTATTATTATATATATATATTTTTTCCATTTGCTTAATATGAAACAAATAACTGAGCTATGCCCATAGCAAGTCCAAAGGTTCAAATATACTTGACTGCTATTTGTGCATTGTTATTTTTCTTCATTTTTTTCTCTTCAAACTACAAACGTTTGTTGGAAAATACCACAACATCCTTCAATTTCCATTTCGTTGGAGTCTTAACTATGCATGGTGACCCAAATATTTATACACAGAATAGTATCATGCACACACACACACACACTATATCATTATATAAATTAATGGCCGGATTCTATTAAGAAAAAGGAGAGAGAGAGAGAGAGAGAGAGAGGCTTCTGCAAGGTTTTTATTAGCAATATCAGTGTTAGTGGATGATTCCTATTCTTTTTTTTTTTTTTTTTTTTTTTTTTTTTCTGAATTATTCCTATTCTTAAATTAGGTTTATTAGTTTTCATGTTCAAACTTTAACTTGTAAATTTGATGATTGTATAATATTCTTCACCTTTTAGGACAATGTTATAGATTTGTCATTTCACAATTTTCAGGTTGAATATGTTAAGCATATGAATGATTTTATTTTTATTTTTGTTTTTGTTTGTTTGTTTTGTTTTGATAAGTAATTAAATAAATGAATGATTGAATACATCCTTTATCGACTGCAAGTGCTTTAAGCAATTTTATACCCTTTGTTTGCATGATACTGTAAGAAAAATAACTCGGCAATCAAAATTCAATTGTTGAATATATATCTGAGCTAGGACTACTGTAGATTATTTTTAAAAAGCATAAACCTTTGGAAATATTATTTAATTGTTAGCAACATACATTGACATAAGTATACATCACTAGATATATGCATATATAGTGTATAAATAACCTAGGTATATACGCGTGAATTTGTAAGAATCATCCATAATTGATGCAGGGTAAATAATCCACATTCTGAAAATTGTAGAAATGTTGTTTCAATGCCTAAAGGGCTGAAACTATTGGAATTGGGTAGAAAACTCGGAAACTGAAACCAAAAACTTGAAACTGTTTTCTTCAATTTCTCCGAAATCTATCCATAGATTTTGAATTAAATGTTTGGCATCATGAATACATGCAATGGACTAGCTTTTCAGAGTCGAGTTTTGGAAATTAAGAAGGATTTGCACAAAATAAATAAATAAAGAAATAAAGAAAAAGATGACCAGGAATCATGAAAGGTTAAGAAGTTTGTGGCGAGAGAACCAGCCAAACCATGGTGCAGTTCTTGCCATTTTTGGTTCAATGGGTTCCGTTTGGAAGGGAGAACAAACACCTAAAAATTGGATTTGCATCAAGATAATTATGGTGATAAACAAGGAAAGATAAGTTGTTGAAAATCTTGGAAATTTTTTGGAAACAGAAACCAGCTAGAGGTTAGGGATGAAAGTTCATATGCAGCCGTGCTAGCGCCACTCCTGCACCAGGAACGTGGGGGCTCATGAGGCCGCTGTGGGGCTCGGTAGATTTCACCTGAGCTCACCTAATTCAACTTGGTAGGCTAGTTTTCGTGTCAGAGATGTCCTGTTTATTGGGTTTTACAGGTTTGACTGCATTCAATTTCGTGCCAAAAATATGCATTTTAAATATAATCAAATAGTAAAGATACAATTAATAAATATTAATAATTGAGTAATAATTAAAGATACTGAAAAAAATAAACACTTAATGAAAGTGAGTTAGTAAGTTCAAGTTAGTGTCCTTTGTTAGATTATTTATATAATTAACTGCAAATGTATGGAAAAGGACTGGGGTTTAAAAAAGAAAACATGTTAAGATATAACTATTTTTGCTTCTTTAAACATTATTGATTACTTGTTGGATGGGTCCTTTAGATTATTATTGAAAATTGAATTGTGTTAACATGGAATGACACGTTCAAACTTGATTTTTTGTGTTGTTCAATGACATAAATAATGGTGTAATATTTACTTTCAATATCTGGGTACTCTTGTAATCATTAATGGATTAATTGGCCCACGATAATTCTTAATGATTTAATAAATTATATTGTGGTTAAATTACATTGATCAAATATGTTAATGAACGGTTATATACATTGATTTAGTAAACTTGGTTGTGCTTGTGATCCTTTTGGTGACACCTTTAGGTTAGACAGGTCAAGCTCCACATATCCTTCTAGTGAGAGCTTTAGTTGGATATAGGTACAACCAGGGGTTGCATTAATACTAATCCAACTGTTTGGCCGTGCTATGTTAGTTTGTGCTAACTCTTCTTGTGATTGATTTAGGTTGTGCTTCGTAGTAATAGTACGCATTATTAGATTACATTGGCACACGTCTTTCCAATGATAATTTCATGTTGGAGATGGGTAATAATGTCAGTCCTTATAGTGACAGCTTCAAGTTGGATTGTCCTAGCTGCACATAATTTTCAAATGACTCTTGTAACTTTTAAGTTGACATGGGGTATCTTGCAGTTAACAAGTGAACTTTTCCAGTGACAGTTTCAAGCTAAGTCATGCTGTGGTAGCAGCTCCATCCTTCCGGTGACAACTGCAGGTTGGGTTTGATGAGTACTTATTTTTGTAGAATTGAATTGTCCATATCCTCCCACTGATAATTTCAGGTCGGATATAGTAAGGTTACACAGTATGAATCCTTTCCATGGCAAATTTTGGTTGGGTGATAATATACTAGCTTGTATCAACTCTACAAGTGACAACTTAAGATTGATTATAACAGCAATTGTATAAAGTTGCATATCATGGAACCATGACGTTTACACGTGTTCATGTTATTGCTTGAATTTTATTGTTTGTGCTGAACATGACATTCACAATAGTTGTCATGCATCTATGCATTCAAAATCATTGATTGTTCTTGTAACATATCATAGTCATGTTACATATGCAATTTATTAGAATGAAACTATTTGGTAAAATTGTTATATTGGTAAGCCTATAATGCAGACTGCTTAGTATAGGTATATTTTGCTTACTGAGTTGTCGAACACATTATATTCTTTAACATTTCAGGTGAAAGAAGGAACTGGGGAGATGCATTCTGTGTTTTGAATTATATCATGGATATTCTCTTTGATTCTTGATGTATAATGCTGATATAGTTCTTTGGGAATTTAAATTTTCTACATTGATATGGTCATTGTAACAAGGGTGTTTGAGAAGGTTCTTTCCCTTCCATGGTTTTAGTTGTTGTTGTATCCCTTGTTGTTTCAAATGTATTATTTTTAGATGGTGCAGACAAAATTTATTGCACAATATATCAATTTTAAAGTTACACATAATGTTGAGTGCTTACCTTGTAATTTACTTGTATTCATGATTTTTTTTTTTTTTTTTTATTAAACTTGGCAAATAACTCACACACCCACGGTGCCTCTACGGAGACTTGAACCGCAACCTTTCACTTTGGAAGGTGAGGATATACCACTAGGCTTTGGTGGTATATAATGATTTGACTCATGTGCATTTGTGATGTAACAATATTGTTTGCACACTTAATAATATCAGCCAACACACTTTTTGAGCAGTTGATGCCAAAAATCAGTTGTCTTGAAATGTCTTTCCATCATACTTTATTTGTTATTTTTTTGTTGATGGGTCACTCCCTTGTCACTCGAATGATATCTCCTTAAACTTCAGTATATGATGTTTTTCAATGCATCAACACTTGATACTAGCTACTTCTTAGTCAGATACCTAGGAAGCACAAATACTTCTCTTAAGGTGCCGTGGCGGTATTGGACACTCAGACACTTGCCAGATACACGGATACGGCCCGGACACGTGTCGGATACGGTTAGAAGTATCTTGAATAGTGAATATTTTATTTTCTAGTCGGACACGTCATGGACACGGTAAGGATATGTTTTGGACACTTCCAGGATATGGCGGGGTGATTTTGCAATTATTTTTTTTAGAAAAATGGAATTCAATGCAATTTAAGATATATTATGGGTTAATTAAAAAATAAAAATAACATAAAATTTAAGAAAAACAAAAGTAACAAACATCTAGCTCTAAACTCCAAATTATTGATTGATTATGTTTATATGGATAAAATGACAAAAAAATTATTATATATATATATAATATTATATTATTATTTTTTGATGTATCCATGCCGTACTTGTGTCCTATTTTTTGGAATTTGCCATATCGCCGTGTCCGTATCTTGTTGTACCCGTATCCTGTATCCATGCTTCCTAGGCGGATACCAGTTTGTGTGGAATGCATGTATTAAGTTGTAAGGTTTAAACACTAAACCTGAGATTTAAGTTCCACTCTTCCAACTTGTGGAAATCTGGGGGGAAGGTATTGGAGAAGGGGGAGATGTGATGAATGAGAGGGCACAATCAAGAGAGACAACTTTCTAGGTTATCATTTTTGACATCATTTGGCGGTTAATTCTTTAATAATCATACCCTCTCTACATGTAAATACTAACTAGCCTTTATGCAGTGCAGAATAAAAAGTTTCATTTTTCATTCTACATCTGTCAATTCTAGAACTCTTGATATATTCTTTGTACCTAAAATTAGAAGAGATGCTGGTTTCTTGAGTTTATCGTCCCATCTATTTCAATATATGCCGATTGTTTCTTTGATCGCAGAAGGCTGACTTTATTTTATGGTAAGATTTATTGGTTGACAGCTCACATCTTTACCTAACCTCTGTTAGTTAGTAATTGGTGTTTCAATGTGACAGCATTCATGCATGGTGTTTCAGGATGAATACAAGGTCTCTGTAAGTTCTTTTTACCTCAATTTTTGTCCTGCAACATTAGTAGCTGCTTTTACTGTTGTTGATTTTTGTTTTCTTTTTAGTTCATTTCTTACTACCAGTTACACTTCTCGAGTTTATAATTTGCACAATCACTAGTGGTGTATGAAAATTGTTCTTTAGAAATAGTTTATATTCTTTAAGTGCAACTATGCCATGGTTTTTATATTGGCAATTTTAACAGTGTTACTAACAATTCGTACAATAAACTACTATAAAATTTTATGGCATAAAGATGGCATCTCTTGCTAATAGAATTAATGTTATTGTGTTTTCCTACCACAATGAAGGTATTGTATTAACTCTTTCAATGACCTGGCCATAGCTACCGATTTTGCAAAGCATTTCTAAATAAAAAGATTGTAGTTTGGTCTTCCATCCTTTATTTTGCTTCCTTCTCTTTGACGACAAAGAAGAACCTGTCTTAACTCTTAAGGAGCCCTAGTTGAACAGTTAAGACCCTTGGAGAGCATAATATATTAGCTTCATAACTTCAAATGTTCCAATAGTATGATTTTGGAATTTCTCTTTATCTATGGGCTAACCTTCCATACCTCTTATAGCTCTAGTCCATTCTTAACAGCTAGGAAGCACATATACAGATACATATACGATACGGTACGGATACGGTGATGTGACAAATTTTTTTAAAAAAGGATACGGGTAAGGTAGGACACAACAATAAAAAACAAAAAATTATATTTATATATAAAATTAATTTTTGGTCAATTTTTTAAAGTATTATGAATCTAAATGTAATTTTTAATATAACATAGGAGTTCGTTTCACAACACATAAAGCAAACATCCCTAGCCATCACTTAATAAAATTTAAACTTTTTTTTAACAATTATGCTATGTTATTATTGTTGGAAAATTTACATTTTAGTGTCCAAAACTAGTTTCAAATATGTTTTAAAGTGCCTTAGAAGTATCGGATACGTAGTCGAAGTATTTGAGAGGTATCGGATACGTGTTAGAAATTTTAAAATTATGGATACGTTTAAAAAGTATCAGTACGTATCCGCGAGTATCCGAGGAGTATCGGTATCCAACACATAGCCGATACTGGTACGTCGCTCTCGTAGAAGTATTCGTGCTTCCTAGCTTAACAGCAACAGTGTCCTGCTCATTTGGTCTGCAGAACATTACTGGATCTGTAAATTCTAATGCTGTTAGAATTTGTGAAAAGGATGGAGCTGTAGGAAAAGAGTACTAGGAAAGATTGCGCAGAGTTTTTGAAATATTCTACTTTGTTAGGTGGATAAGCCAAGGGATGAGCATTTGAAACGACTTACGGTGCAAGGAGGTTGCATTCGTTCTTTTATTCCTTGATTTATTTCATGCAACAGTGGATAATGCACCTCCATTAGTAAAAATGTGAGTTTCCCTGGAGTTACGTGGTCTGGGAGAGTTTTACAGGATTAGGAGTTAATGTCAGTTGATGAGCTCTTCAAGTGTCTGATGGTGCTTCAATCACCAGAGGTAAAGGGTATGCCGTGACATGGAGGATTTCCAAGAATGGCTAGTGTGGGATGAATTCATTTTACCATGCACTGTGTGGGGGAAAATATCACCTTTACATGGATAGTCATTTGAAGTGTCAAGGTTTCAATTGACTTTTTTTTCACTTGGACAGCAGCTTTGGAGGCGGCTGTTGTTATTGACGACAATGTATGAAAAAGGAAGGTACTACAAAATTGGTGTTGCAAGTTTACAAGAGTTGAGGAGACCGTACAGCAGTAGGTGATGCTTATTCAGTTGTATAGGCATTGGGTAGCTGGTACGGGAGTTTTTTAAGAGATGGGGATTAGTGTAGAAGGCTTCCTGATATGTCTTTTTTGGATTCTTTGTTCTGTGCTATAAGGTCTTTTGAAGGAGTAGAAATGCTGGTATGTATCATATCACCACCTATCTGCTTTGATTCCTTTAATAATGCTAGGCTTGTCCTTATTTCTTACAGGCTTAATGTTACGGGACGGTTCCACACCCAAAAGGACCAGTCACTTTTGGGGTTCCCTGCACCCACTTAAGAAGCCCGACACAGCCCAATACATATCCAATGTAGGATTTAGAACATGTCTGTATTTGTGACATTAAGCTGCAAATGAATTGAGCTTCCATTTATTACAGGCTGCAATTAAAGTTTGATTGCAGGTATCATGTAGAAAACTAAAGTTATGAAGAAGAAATAAAGAAGTATTTTGGATCATACTAAAACAAAACCAAAACCACTTCTGATAGACTTATGCTAGAAACTAGCGGTGAACCATGGAGTGCTCTGTCCCGTCCCTCAGACTCTAACCTCACCCCTGAAGAAAGGGGAATGGAAACTGGGATCAAGCCCATTCTCACCTAGTGGTCAAGGAGCTGCCGTTCGAATGATTGTCAACCACCAGATCTGCTGGTCTGCAATATTCACCCTGGCCCACAAGCACAAAACCTCGGCAAGGGATATAATCACAAAGTACTCCAAAGACTTGAAATCACTTGGATTGAAAAGCAAGTCGATGATGCCATCTAAGGTTTATTTTGCTCACACAATACCAAACTAAGAAGTATGAACATGGATGCAAGACGTGACAATCTTTAAAAACTAGGATTGGAATACGGATACGGTGAAGGCACAACAGTAAAAAATATATTTTATTTATATGAAAATCATGCTATATTTCATGAAAACTAAATCAAATATTCTATCTGATGAAGTTTATAACTTGGCATATTCTATAATCGTAATCACACTAGTCGTTTAGAGAGAGAAAAAGAATACGTCAAATATATATGTAAGTGTTTGTGTATCTCTGTAGATATGTTTACATTTATGCATATATACACAATTCGATTATTCCTATACCCTCTCCTACTCTCATGCCCCCACTCTAAGTGATTTGTTTTTAAATATTGTTACCTTATTTATAAAATTTATATAAACCGTTAATTTGAACTTTCTTTTTCATGCTAAAAGAAAGTCTTATCTAAGTACATGGTCATTAGACACATCTTAGCGAGTGTTTGATAAGTGTTGGTCACATGTCCAAAATGAAGAAGTTTATTTTAAATTATAGGTACGTTCAAACTTGTCCGAAGGTGTTCGATGCATGCCCGACACGGACACAACCCTCTTTGGAAGTACATGGTCATTAGACACATCTTAGCGAGTGTTTGATAAGTGTTGGTCACATGTCCAAAATTAAGAAATTTATTTTAAATTATAGGTACGTTCAAACTTGTCCGAAGGTGTTCGATACATGCCCGACATGGACACAACCCTCTTTGGAAGTGTTCATGCTTCTTAGATCTCGGAAGAATTAATTTTTTTTTTTTTTTAAATTAACAGAAATTCTATGAAAAGAAATAGAACATAGATGATATGGATACTGCTGGACTTTTCTTACTCCTATAAGGATTTTGAACATAGCTTACTCCAAAATATAGCCCACGAACCATATTGTAGCCCATATCCAACAAACTTGAAAGTACCCAAGTACCTTAGATCTTGATTCTTAAATTTTGCTCCAACTTATAGGAGCCTTGACCCCAAAAAAGATTCCGGGCTGAGCTGGAGTTCCATAAGCCATTAAAGCACTAGTTTCTGGACGACTTTGTTATTGCAATTCAGAGTTGGGGACAAATTGTAGTCTGTAGTATTGAATGTTAATTATCTTAATTCCTTCCAATAGAGATGTTTTATGTCAGCGCCATTGTCCTCTCACTAGACTGCTACTTGAACTCACTGCATCTCGGATGGTTCTAGCCCTAGCCCTCCAAAATAGGGCCTAGGGAACACCAATTTCCAACTGGAGAGGATATCTCTTGTCACTGAATTCATATTTAAGCAAACTGTGAGCTCTAGCAATTAGCGACTTTCTACATGACCTGGAACACAGACGGTATGATGATGTCCCAACAGGACTGATTTATAAGCAAATCCCTGCGAGCCCACTTAGCCATAATTAGCTACGATATTTAGCAAATTCATGTCTTGTCATTGTTGCTTTGTCACATTTTTCTTTTCTTCGATGCCTTAACCCACCTTCACTCTATGGAGTGCAAACGGCTTCTCAACTTACGTTATTTGAAGCCTTTTTGTATTGAAATATGACAATGTGAGGCTTTTCAACTTTTTCTTTTTGCCCTTGATGACCTTTTGTAGAATAAATATACTGCTCTGATAAATCTGCAGCACATGCTTGATAAGCAGTACTCTACTAGCATATGATAATGATCTGTTAGGTCAACCATTTCTTCCTTTTGTCATTTTTCCGTAAGCTCCTTGTAATCATCTGTTTTCCAGTTGAGATGATTAGCCAAAAAGTGGCTTCTGAGTCAGCTCAAAGAATAAACCAGCACTCCTATGGGGTTTCACCTTCACAACCATACAACAGTGACCATAAACGCCTGGGACAAGAAGGGAGAATATCCTCCCTAATTGTTGCTGCATAGCTTGCATGTGTAATGCTGTGGAGGAGTTGGTCGATCATCTCCTGATTCATTGTAGACTTGTTTGGGACCTTTGGGGTATGTTTTTCCTTTGTTTGAAGTTTGTTAGGTGTTGGCGTACTTGGTCTCTGTGATGTTGGGAAGTTAAAAGGGAGAATATACTAGCAAAGAGGTTTTTGAAGGCTTGGCAGGAATCACATTTGTGCCTTATGTGGTGGTGTGAAGGAGAGGATAGCTGCACCTTTGAGGAAGTGTAGATGCCAATCCACAGATTGGAGAGGCATGATATTGGATTATAGGGAAGTTTCTTGATTTGTTACACTCGTATGATTTGTCATTTTGATAGGAGTTCTTTTTTTGTTTTGCTTCTGTAACAATGTGTGTACATGAATTGCATCTCTTGTAGTATCTTTTGATTGACAAATGATATTGCTTATAAAAAATAAAATAAAAGGTTCTAGCTTCATCTTCTGTAGATTATCACAATCAATTATTAACTAGGGCACTGTTAGATTCTCTTACCCCCTTTTGTTTGTCCAAGTAAATTAAAACCCATTGAAGTTTATATCAGTTTAGTGCGGTGGTCCAAAAGCACTGTTCCCTCCAACACAATGTTTAAGTTCCCCATCTATATCCAGGGTTCTTATATAGGCAAAGAATTTAGGTTTGTGCACCAAATTCTTATAGCAACTGAGGAACCGTGGACAAAAACTGCCAATGACCGTTATTATTCCTACACTTTTTCCAGATTTTGCTGTCTCTCATTCTGAATGTCCAAAAAGCATAGACTTTGCGTATTAACTAATTTATTCATTTTTATATTTTAAGGGGGTCATTTATTGCTACTAGATTCCACACCACCTATGAAGCACCGACATGGCATTCCTTAGCGCCGTATCAGTGTCAGACACGTGTCCGATACGCCTGAGAAGTGTCCCTTTATTCTATTTTATTTTTCTGATCGGATACGCTGCTGGACACTTTGGGATACGTTGCCGGACACGGCTGGTGGGAGTTGGACTGACGATGCCGATGATATATAAGTATATGTATATATGTGTATGAATGTATCGATTCAAATAGATGTATAAAGTTGAGATAAGAGGATAAGGATCTAACTGATGAGGGATGAGAGAATCGCTGGGTGAAGAATAGTGGCTGACAGCCGAGAAGATGAGGAAGTGATGGAGAAGATGAAGATTGCGGAGCGAGAGTAATAACAATTCTGTGAAAAAAGAGAGGGGGGATAAGACTCATCTTGTTTCTATCAAGTTTTTTACCAGGATTATAAAATTGCATCTTTTATTGTGTGGTAATGAAATTTGGGCTTTTTTTTTTTTTTTTTTTTTTGTTTTTTTGGTTTTTTTCCAAAGAAAGTTTGGAGGGTCTAATTTATAATGGTTTTGTTTATTAATATAAATTAAAAATTGAGCAAAAATTAAAATTTTATATATAATAAAAAATTAATATTATTTTATTGTTGTATCCTCGATGTGTCTGTGTCCTATTTTTTCAAAATTTTCCGTGTCACCGTGTCCGTGTCATATCGTACCGTGTCCCGTGTCGGTGTTCATGCTTCATAGCACACCACTAAATTTAACCATTGATATTAGGAATTAGGTTTTGCTGCCTCTTACAGAGAAGAGCCTCCGTTGCCTCGTAGGGGCACCACCTTTTAATGTTGCCCTTTTAATGTTTCCTATTCTCATTTCAATCCATTTCCCCCCTCATTACCTGTTGCAAATATTGAAGACTCAAAATCAGGAGCTGAATAACTAGGAAAAAAATAAAAATCTGGAGCTGAATCAGAGATATTAGTAAAAATATTCTTGGCGGGAGTAAATCTTATGTCTTGCTCTATTGCAGTGAAGAAATTATTCAAACCTTAGCTGGAGACTTGTTTCAGCAATCTGTAATTTACACTCTGGCAGGTTTCTTTGTAAAATCTACATCAGCATCTCTGTTCTGGCCTCCTTAGGATCTTGTATCTTTGCCCTCACATCTTGTACTCTCCCCTCGACACCCTGATGAAACGCAATGCCAATAGGCCCTTCTAATGGGAGTATGTCATTGAAAGAGAAAAGCCATTGCCATTACTGGGCCCGTCTAAGTGGGGCACGGGAGGGAAATGCTAAAAAACAGACATAACATTTGACATTATTTTACACAAAGTAGTTGCTCTCATACCTGAACCCGTGTCCTCGCGCTTGTCAGTCCGAATTTTTTAGCATTGCACAATAGAAAAATCAACTAGATATGACACCCAACAATGGCAGTGGAACAGCTTAACTAACAAAGGGGCGGCACAATGCAATACTCCGTTAGCCACTTTAGGAGCATCTAACACTGAACTTCTATGAGAAGGCGCTAGGTTTCTGCAGTTTTTGAGATTGTAGCTTTTAAGGTCAATGTACAAGAATCCAAATGATGATTTGTTTATTACTGAAGTAATCATCTAAGAATCTGAGTTTTATATGAATTTAGAGAATCCCAATTATCTTACCAGTTGTATGGTCTCTGGAGACTATTAGCTCTGCTTGAAGGGTAAATGGAGCAATTACCGTAAAATTCAGGGATGAGCACACTACAATAGTTACTCTCAAGGCTATTGGTTCGGCTTGAAGAGTAAATGGAGCAATGACAGTAAAATTCAGGGATGCACACTGCAATAGTTCTCTCGACTAAGATGGCTTCTGAGGTTTTGGCCTAAGGAGTGGCATTGCCATGTAAATCAAACCACTGCTTATTCGGAAAGTGTGGAGCTCCTGTTCTGAGATGTTTGAATGTTATATGCTGTTTATGTTGCTCTGTAATTTCACATACTGAAGCTTCATATAAGTAGAAGGAAAGGGATGGCTTCCCAAACAACTTTTGAGGTGACTTGGCTTTTTCCGAAGACAACCAAGTCAGCCTTCAAACAATAGCTATTTCAGATTACTTACCAGGAAAATAAAAAGTTGGCTATTCCAGATTGAGAATACCTGAATATTTTGATATGTTTGAAAGAACTTCTAGAATATTTATAACCATGTATTAAAGTTTAAACACGATAATCTGGTTTTGACGAGTAAACCTAGCTCCATGATGCATGGTCACGGGTACATATGCTTTACATAGTCTAGCTTTTATATTACACGGCAGGTGGGGGAAGCATTTCTGCATAGATTTGATTTGTTTCCAGGCAAGCTCTCCAGAGGAAATGTTCACCCTCGAGTCCTTGACGGAAACCTGATGTTTCAAAATAGTTTTTATTTTCTTTAACATGAGAAGAACTTGCCTTGGATTAGCTGGTGGCTGTCTTGTGAACGGTTCCACTTGCATGCACACGGCACAACCTGTGTTCTTTTCTTTTTCTTCTCTTTTCCCTGTATTGTGTGGTATCCCAAACACCTTTTCACACAGATGGCCACTGCTCTTTATTAATCACAACTCTCATACAAATGGCATGTGCGTCACAAAACTTCCATACAGATGACGTGCTTGACAAAAGTATAGAGAACGAGCAAAATTGAGCTCACCGGGGGAGCTTTTCCACCGAATGACTTGAGTGTGGATCATGACAAAACACAATATATATTTACAAATGAGTTCTTTATTCTTATTGTACTCTTATACTGGCAATAGAGGTAAAATGGATACATATTTCATTATCACTGATATGGACACGCGTGAAATAGCTCTGCACCATACCACTTCAAATTCAGCTGTAGGAATTTGAGATGATAATGCCATGTCATGTTGCAGGACACTAGCGAAGCATTATTATTATCAGCATTGAACCAGTCTTATGAAGCATGATTTGTGGAGAAAGATGAGGCAGTGCTGTGGTTGGACCATACAAAAATCCTCCAAAAAGGCCGTTGCTTGCGCTTGGAATGGTTGGACATCAACTCTGATTCTGATCTCCTCAGCATTTCCCACATCACCTGCACGTCCTCATATCCACAGGTCTGTATATCATCATGAAGCTTTAAAAGCCCGGCACCTGCGCAGAACAACATCGTGGAGAGAAAGCAGGTAAGTGGTATTTCTAAAACTACTAGTTCCAGAAGAGAAACATAATTAAGGACACCGTTGCAATAATTGTCATGATCATGCTATTAATTGACATTAGTCACCCATGTGAAGTCCTAATGCCTAAAATCAGCCGCAGAAATGAACAGAATAATATTATCTGCTAGTGAACTGATACATGTGAATCCACACCACCCACAAAAAGGGAATTAAAGTGAACCGATACATGTGCACCAACCACAAAAAGGGAATTAAATGGATAATACGAAAATCTTTAGGCCAGATATATAGAAAGTTGGTAATAAATTTACATTGGTTAAGATAGAGGTGCTATCTTTAGGCCTAATTTTCATGTCTGCAATGCATATGAAAGGGAAAAATTCAAACTCTAACCATACGAACTTTTATCTGCTCATTTCTGTGATTGCAATGCAAATGAGAAGGAAAATTCAAACCGTCTGAACTTTTATCTGATTATCCTGTTAGGACTATAATTGTTTATACCAGATCGAGTGAAATCTTATTTGCTAGCCGGTAATAAGTTTTCTGTTATCACATTTAAATTATTCCCAAGGTGTTTGTCATCATTTTAAAGGCTAGAGTTATAATCTCGTGTCATCACTTGCACAATTCACACACTTAACTGTGTAACTGTGTTTCTGAGGGGATTCAGCCTAGCTAATGTAGAACACCATTATCTTTGATGATTTTTTGGCATTTTATGTGTGTAATAATATAAAATAAATCGAAAAAGATGGAACTTCTTTAAGAAGCTTAATATAGCTCTGCTGAAGTTCCAGAGTGGGGTTGGACATATCTTTATAGCAGAAATTAATCCGTACTATAAAGAAGAATAAATTCTTCTTTAAACAAGTGACATTATTTTTTCATTCAAGTGGTCCCAAATTTTAATAATCAGATGTAGGATTATCATCATTTTGGTTGTTAGCAAGAATACCTTTTGAATAAAGGAATTAATCTCTGATTAGGGTGGCACTGTACTATATATAACACTATTTTTTTTTAATCTATGAGTGGATATATCCTAGCGGATACAACCATCATCAATAGAATCTTTTAATTGTGTTTTATTTATTTTTTTATATGAAGGAGAAAGATAAATGAATCACAACCCTTTCATAAAAAAGATTTTGGAACAACTTTAGTAAGATCTAACAGTAATGTTGCTAATAACAACAAAGGGCTGGGGCAAGGATCTTTATTACTACCTGTTATAGTAAAACAAATTGCCCAAAGAGGTTTGATAAACTAGTTTAATCTATGAATATCTACTTATTCATATATAATTTATTCATACCATGCTAAAGTAGCACGAGGCCATTTCCTAGTAGCCAATTATGGAAATCTCACCACTATAAGTGCCGTGTAACCCTTCCAACCACTGTCCATTAGACTTATAGTTGAAAGGTAAACCAGTGTCGATGCCAGAAAATTTGTCTGAGATCCTATTCAGAGCTGCTACGCCTTGGGAGCACTAGAAGCATACATGTTGCCCCTTTTTTTATTTTTTATTTTCTATTATTATTATTATTATTTTTATGGTTTGGTTGATATAGAGAAATTAGGTTAGAAATAACATATTGGGACAATAACATCAATTTCTCGGATGGACCGTTCATTGCCAACAACTTGGGGAAAGGCTTTGTGAATGAATGAATATCCTTGAGAAGTCAAAAGATGAATGAATGAGAGCCACTTTTTAGTTCACTAACAAACTCTAAGGAAAGAGTGGTGCTGAGGAACTGCCCACATAGAAAAATATAATTATAAAATTAATGGGTTTTAATTCTTTTTCCTGAAAAAGACAACAATAATGCTTCCCTTCAACGCAATGAATAAAAAAAAAAAGGAAAAAAAAAGAAAAAAAAGCAGAGGATCAAAGAGGAACATTCCTCAAGCAATTGCTCTATTCCTTTACTTTTTATCAATTTCTTTTTTAAATTCTACAAAAATTTGTCCATATATAAATACTCCAATATTCTTTTCAAAATTAAAGGGAAACTTAATTATATTAAGATTAAACAATTCCGTGTCCTTTAAGAAAAAAGAAAAAAGAAAAAAAAAAAAAAAAAAAAATTCTAAGAGAACTAAAAACATAACCATGCACTGTAGAGAATCTGGAGATCGAAATTAAAGATGGACTAGACTCTCAGAGTTAATTTCTGTATACACCATGCATCACACTCTCTCTATAACTAATTCAACAATAAACATTTTCCAGCAAAATATAACTTTGTTTTCTCAAAAGAACAAGATTTAAACGCAAAAAAAAAAAAATGAAGGAGAAAGAGAGAGATTATATAGAGGGAGTACACAGAGAAAGAGTAACAAAACTAATTATTCTCGTTATTGCAAAAAAAAAGAAAAAAAGAAAAAAAGTGAAGTTACCCATTAATTTGTTCCCCAAATGAACCAAATTTTGAAGGCAGAAAAAAAATGAAAGAGGAAGAGAGACGACATAGAGAGAGTAGAATGACTAACCATTCTTGCGATTCTTGAGTCGGGCAGAAAAAGCAACCCAAACTCTTCGGACAGGAAAGACCATCTTGTGCCACAAATCCATGACTTTTATCTTGACCTTCCTCCTGCGAATCCCAATCCCAGTGGGTCGACTCGCAATCCCTCTTAACCAGGCCAGACCTCCTGTCCTCTGTATTTAACCTACCCACCACTTACATAGATAGAGACAGAGATAGAGAGAGAGAGAACAACAGTAGAGAGATAGAGAGAGAGAGAGAGAGAGAGAGAGACAGAGACAGAGAGCCTAACTGCAGAGCAACTGGTTTGATCAGTGATGAATAATAACCGACGGTGGTCCAAATGGGTGGTTTTTAAAAAAATATATAGGAATAGAATTCACCGACACGTGACGGTGTGGGTTTGGCTTTTTGTAAATAATAAATTGGAAGACGACACGTGGTGTAAATCTTGTGGACATTTGGACTTTCGATTGCTATTAAGGTCTCGTTGTGTCAGAGAAGGGGAAGGCCATTTCCAATAGAATTTTGACTTTTGTAGGATAGGATTGGAAACGTGTGTGCCTTGAGTTGGGTGAGGATCAGTAAAAAGGTTACCATTGGGCGGCTTCACCCTCTACTTGTTAACCACAAATTTCCATTCCTTACTTTGAAGGGTATGTATCTGTATCTGTATCTATATATTGGAGGGATTTAAATATCCTACCACATTATGCTTTCACCCACTAAAGTAAGAAGGGGCGAGCTCGTTTAACCCAGTTGGTAGGTAGGGTTCTACATTCCACTCACTCCATCTTTCTTAAATTTCAATTCAACACATTTTCTTCCTCCTCAACTATTAAGTATGAAAGGGTGAACTCGGTAGTTCACGGTATGCTTCCATAAAGTTAAGCGACTAGGTAATTTGTATGTTGACCCAAATTTACTATTTACAAATTCAGTAAAAGATTTAGTTTAAACCACATTGAATCAAATATATTATTCAAAATAATATGTTTAACACTGAAGTAATTATAGTCTTTTAACTCTTTTTCCTTTGGATTACGGATTACTTTAAGTGTTTTAAGAATTTGTTCTTGAAAAAAATATAAAATTAGAATTGCATAAGGAAAAGAAAAATAATTTGGGTTAACAAAAAAACGAATTAAACGGTGAGCTAAACATATCAAAATGTCTTAAATCGTTTAAAGGGATTGGTGGTAAATTTTTTTTTTTTGTATTTTATCGTATTTTTCAAACCTCAACGGCCGGAATGACAAGTATAAGTATTTTTCCAAAGAATAGTATTCCATAATTTACTAATTAGGATTATGAGTTGAGAATATAATTGTCTTTTCGCACAAATATTAGACAAAAGTATTTTCACAAGCATTTAAAAGGTACTAGTACAACGTACGTGGGTTGCATGTGAGTAAAAACTTATTTAAAATTAATATTCAATAAAGTAATTAAACAATTATTTTTTCAATGATAATTAAAATTAATTTCTTAAAATAATTACATTGATATATTAATTAAGATAAACATATTACAAGATTAACCAAGGATAACAATTTAAGAAATCTTTACAATAATAAATTATATATTTCCTTGTCTAATTAGTATTATTATTAACTAATTCGTACTATATATTTCCTTGTCTAATTAAATTTCTTTTTAGTAGTTTTATAGAAATTCTTCTAAATACCTTATATTAATTTTAAAAAATAAAAACTCATAATAAACAGTTAATTTGTGATACAGTTTTATAAAAACTCTTAACACTACTAAGACGTATATATTTCTTTTATATATTTTCTTCTTTAATTAGAGAGATTAAATTATTTATTTTCTTTATGTATTATCTTGTCTAATTAGATTTTATTTTATTTAAAAACTCATAATAAATAGGTAATTTGAGTTTTATAGAAACTCTTCTAAACACCTTATATTAATTAAAAAAATAAAAACTAATTCTAAATAGGAAATTTGTGTTAAGACTTTTCTGGGAACTCTTTTAAAAATTATATATATTTCTTTTACATATTTTCTTATCTAATTAGGGAGACTAAATTATTTATTTTCTGCATATATTTTCTTGTCTAATTATATTTTATTTTATTAAAAAATTCATAATAAATTGGTAATTTGAGTTTTATAGAAACTCTTTTAAAGAGCTTATATTAATTGAAAAAATAAAAACTAATACTATTTATAATTTGTGTTAGAGTTTTATAGAAACTCTTTTATATTTTTTATATTAATTAATAAATATTTTTTATATTTATACATAAATACTGAAACACTGAAACTTTTTACACTTTTAAATTGAAAAAATAAAAACTAATACTAAATAGGTGATTTGTGTTAGAGTTTCATAGAAACTCTTGTAAAAATTATATATCTGTTTCTTTTATATATTTTATCGTCTAATTAGAGAGACTAAATTATTTATATATTTTATTGTCTAATTAAATTTTATTTTATTAAAAACTTATAATAAATTGGTAGTTTGAGTTTTATAGAAACTCTTCTAAAGAGTCTGTAGTAATTAAAAAAAATAAAAACTCATACTAAATAGGTAATTTGTATTAGAGTTCTATACAAACTCTTAATTTTTTTTATATATTAATTAATAAATATTTTTTATATTTATAAATAAATATTAAAACTCTTTACACTTATAATGCTTCTGTAATCATTCAAAATATAAGAAAAATAAGTGTAATAAATCTTAATCAGAGGGGAGGTAAATTTAATTCACCCTTACATCAAAATCCTCCCCCCAAACTCTACTGTGACGACAGCCTCTGGGCTATCCCTTCATATATATATTGGAGAGGACTTAGCCCAACATCAAGTTTTTATTTATTTTTTAATTATTTTTATATACAATCACACAAGGAGACTTCAAATTAAAATGGAGGGTTGTGTCAATTTTATTTATTACAAAATAAAAAACTGCTTTAACTAATCTCCAAAATATTTTTTTTTCTTTATTTAATTGAATTTGCAGAAAATTGACAACCAAACAAGTTTCAATTATTAAAAATTACGTTAAAAATACTGAATCAAACATATTTAAAATTTTCATGTATACTGATGCGCTCGAATTAAATGCAATTTAATGTCTACCAAGTAAAATTTTACACGTATCTCACTATAGTTAATCTTTTGGAGGATTCGGTTCTCTATTTTTGATTGAGGATTTCAGTTAAAACAAACTTGTTTTTCTTTTTTGTCCTTTTAAATGAAAAATAAAATAATTGATGGAATACTAATGAGTGGGGTTTCTAATTTATATATAAAAATTTGAGTTAAAACATTAATGTTAGTATATAATTGTATATGTAGAGGTTTGTAATATAGAGTATAGACACCCCTAGTGTCGGCAAAGGTCTAGTCACAGAGGTAGTCAACGAGTGAGAGAGAGGAAGAGTGGATATGGTATGAAAAAGATTGCTCATCCGACAAGTTCCAAAGTTTTCGTCTTAAAAATAATGCTGACCAATCAGATGTGTACAGCGTATAGCAATCAAGGGTGCTTTTGTCCTTTCACTACAATCTCCTTCTCTCTTTCTCTAACATTTCAACACTGCTACTTGTCAGTTATGGAGTGGAGTCATCAAATGTGCTCAAAATCCACTGAGGACACACACCCACTCATAATTTAGCCCTAATTATGTATGAACTTTGAAGTGGAGTATATTCTACAGGTTACACACACACAAACACACACACACACATATATATATACTTGTTTGTATGTCACACCTCATTTTTCTAAGTATATAAAGGAATAGAAAATTTGTCTTGTCAATTGTCACCACCGACAGTTATTCTTCGAGGCGTGCCAAACGTGGCCTTTTATAATTAACATTAGCCAATAAAATTTCTTTCCCTTTTATGGTAATAAACTTTTAGTATATCCCATTTTACAATATTAATATTGTTTGCTCACTTGTGGTATTTGGGTTCAGCCAACTGGAAAATGGAAAGTAGTTTGAGAGAATTTTATTTATTTTTTAATGCGGGTGAAAGACTTAATATCATCCTGAGTTATGCTTCACATGCATAGGTTTAATCATATGTATTTTACTTTCGAACTTTATACCATAGCTATTTACAGTATTATTGTTTTCAAGTATATTAGAGTTCCAAGTGAACTCTAGAGCGTGATGTGTAATGTTATATAATAGTATAACAATAGAAGTGATTTCAATTGTCACATGATTGCTCGGCACAAGTGCCAAACTCAGCCTTGGAACTCTAGAGCGTGATGTGTAATGTTATATGATAGTATAACAATAGAAGTGATATAAATTGTCACATGATTGCTCGGCACAAGTGCCAAACTCAGCCTTTGACCCAATGTCACACCAACTCTTTTTTTACTTAGATTGTGTTACTGTGTTGCGGTTCAATTATGACTCAAATTATGAGTATAAATAATTTGATCAATTTTTTGTCATGTGGGTTTTAGATCTAGTGTGTAAAACCCTCTTATAATATAGGTTTTGTGTATAAATATTCCTTCTTTTTGAAAATATACATTTCAGTCAATATAATTTTAAAAATGTGCAAATAAGCCCATCTGATTATTTTTTGGTCAAAATTGACATAAAGTAAATTTAGAAACTCTAATTTGCCCCTTACTCTCCCTATTTTGCCTTTATTTTATTTTATTTTTATCAGTTGGGTTTCACCCGTTTAACAATGGATCTTCTTCATTTTTATTTTTATTTTAATATTACATAAAGACCAATACTTTCATCCTGCGCAGGGATGATGAAGACGAGACCACATCATGTTACGTTACTTGTCCAATATTAAAAATGGGCAATGCTCATTTTTGCGGGTTAAACCCACTTTCCCTTGTTAGTCTCTCCTCTCTCTCTAAATGCAGAAGACCCAATTTTTCATCAGCCTCAACCTCCGCATTTCCACTCCTTCTCCCACCACATCACTGCCATTACCCTCAATGCATTCGCAGCGGCACACTCCGGCTACACCATGGCTCTCAAGCACACCGTCCTACGATACCCTCCCTCCGCCTCCCCTTATCTTCCCCTCTCTCTCCTCTCCAATGCACCGCCACTATGCCCGAATTTATCTCCAAATCCGATCTCAAGCATTCGGATCCAATAATCGAAGTAGACAATGAAGACGAGATGTGGAGGACGCCACCGCAGAGTGATAGAACGTCGCCTCCACCTTCGCTACCTGACACTCAATTTTAACAAAACAAAATCAAAATCAAAATCAACATAACATAACATTCTAAACAAAAGTGTTAGGTGGGTTTTGGATTATCCATCTACATTGCAGTCTTTGCCATTTTCATAGTTAGGTTGGGAATT